AATGGGTCAATGACTTTCAGCTCAACCAAATATCGATGCATATTATCCCAAAGATCTGCAGCAAACATCCCGTTGCGAGTCCTGAAAACGGCTATCAACCAATCTCAATTTTTAAATCATTTTGGTTGTATTTCTCTGATATTTTTTACGGCTCAGTGGCCCTCGAAACAATCAAACTAATGGGACACCGCAAAAATAAAGGCACGGAAAAATCTCTATAAAAAAACCTCTTGTGTTGGTCAAATTCACTTCCACTTGATTACGTGCAAAGCTCAAATCTGTTGTGGAAATCATTTAAACGGAATTAATGCTCGAACAAAACATGTGAAAACTATCGCTCTCCACTCGAATCGAATCGCAAATGCGTTTTGCGAGGCGGGGAATCATTTCGATTCAAATACAAATATATTTATATTTCTTTTGATTTTGGTTTCGGATTTTGAATCTGGGTTCCCCCATCCCTTTTTCGAGGCGCACAAATGTCGGAATATCGAGATATTGGCAAAAAGGTAGAGTAAGGGCGTGTGCAAGCTTGGCGGGTAGCACATGAGTCGGTTCTTTGAATAAGAAATATTTTTTTCTAAAGGGGAAACACATTTGCAGAATCCAAATAAAGCGGGAGATTTCTCTAATTAGTTCGGTGGTTGGAGTGTGATATTGTTGGAAAATTTTGTTTGCCTGATTCAAGCCATTGTATATAAACACCTGTGCCTTTAATTAATTTATACAATTTTTCTTATTATTTTAGAAACTGTCAAATCCATGCCAGAATGCCAGAGTTTGTGGAAATTTTGTATGGCTCCATCTAGCGGATGTTTCAATTTGTGCTTATAATGAATGGTCCGATAAAAAAAATTTCTTATACACTTACTTTCTAAACATCTACTTAATTTTTATATACCTACTTTATATTATAATAGTATTAATTATTACTAATAATGACAAAAAAATAATCAGAATTGGAAATCTCAGACGAAATTGAACTTCGTTAAAATAATCTCAAAATAAAGATAGTAAATACTTGTAACTTTCAAAAACCATTTATTAATCAATGAAAATCTCTAAATGATGATAATAATATTTATACTTTTAACAAACCATTTTGAGTTCTCAAGAAAATGTTCTTATCTCACGCAGTCATTAGGACTCATTATCCCCCACTAAATGTCCTTTTTAACAGGGGTTAACTAAATCAGATTGCTGTCGCCACTTGTGCGTCGCCGCATTGCACTTAACGAGGAGCTCAAAACTCAGACTCGGGGTAAAAAAAAAGTGGCACGAGGCAAGAAAATCCCCAAGCCTCCCCTTACACGTGTTCAAAAACTATATGGTGTATACGAAAAAAGCATCCTTTTGGCAGGACACGGTCGGCGATGCAAGTATAAAACGCCCAGAGAACACAGCACGTGACAATTGCGTCAACAGATTTTTCGCTGAGATGAGCACAAAATTGTTAACAACAATGGCACAACAAAAAGTATAAAAAACGTGAGCTAAGAATGGGAATATGACAGGAAACAGGGGCGGCGGTGGGAGGGGTTTTTTCTAACCAGGGGGGCCAGACAAAATACTAAAACCCTGCTGCTGTTGTTGTTGCCGTCTGTAGTTGTTGCTATTGACAATATTTATGCAGCAGCAGCACCAACAGCAAAATGGAAAAAGGGGCTTTGAAGGCGTTTTTCCAAGCCCCAAGGGCGAAATTGTGGTGCTTGTCTTTCCTCTGTTTGTTTTTGCATTTGGCTACATTTTACAGCTTTTGTTTTATAATTTGGACCCGCAAGGCGACAAACTCGAGGAGGTAACAAAAAACAATAAGTCTTAAAAAATGAAAACAATTTGAGCTCTGATAAGTTGATACAACTAAGAAATATCCCTTAAAAGCTTACAAAAAAAAATTTCACAAGAACATAAAATGTTCTTAATGTTAAACATGTTGTACCTTCACTTTGAAAAGTAAAGAAAAGTTATATCGTTCATTTGGTAAAAATATTTTTTTGTTACAAAATATAAGTGATCCCAATAACTATATTAAAAAAATGTTAGCTAGAGAATAATTTTCAAGGCAACGCGAATGATAAAATTAGTTTTGGAAATAGGTATTAATACTTTCTAACCTTCAATACCATTAAAATTTACATTAATCTTAAGAGATGTTCAGAATGCCTTATATACCGTCTTGATTTTCAGGGTATCTGAAGCTCTCTTCAGCGATCGAACCGCTCTTGATGAGGCTCCTTTCCGCTTCCTCTTTTTTTTTGCAGCAGCGAAAAACTCGAGTCTGCGGTAGGTTGGTCCTGCTTTTGGTACATGGTCCTCCGCGCCAGATCCGTGTGGTTGTAAGGTGGTTTCGCCACTGCTACACTTGTTTGGTTGTTTCCGAGTATGGGGCTTCGATTATTTCCGAGGCGGGGAAGGGGGAGGATAGCACCGCAGTACGTGACAAAGAACAAAAGAAGGTACTTGGGCACTTGCATGTTTCCTCGCGCAGGATGGTGGAGGTCCTTACGCTTGTGTTGTGTTTTTTACAAAAACTTACTTGCCAATGCTTTTGTTGTATCCACAAAAAAGCACGCTTATGATAATAATGGTATTGTATACTATGTAATAATGTACAAAATGTTGACAGCCGCAGTCTTTTTTGCTGCCTCTTTTTTGCTACACAAAAGTTCTCTAACGAGCTAAAGGCAAGATGGTAGAGGAATCAAGTGGGAAATATTTGCTTTAGTTTGGAAAACTTCTCAAAAAAAAAGTTATAATTAAAATAATTATTTTGTATGCGGAAGATAGTAAAAGAAATCTTAATCATCTTCTCAAAAATTCCCAGAAACTAACCATAACAATCCCATTTACTCAGGCAGGTTAATACTTTTCTTTTTTCGCCAAAAGTAAATATTGACTTTTCATATTTGCGAAAAATATTTTAAAACCACAAAAAGAGCCTCGTATTTATTTATACAGAATTTAAGAAAACTATAAACCAAAAACAAACAAAAATTGCTTGGTAGCTCGCAAAATAAACACACAGAAGATAATCCAAAGAGGCCAGCGAGTCAGGTAGCATTGTATCTATATGGCTTAGAATTTAGGATGGTATAAATCAAGGGTTCTGGTGGGCAGCTGGTGGGCGTTACTAATGTGTGAGCCAAAAAGCAAACAATTTGCATTTCCCCCTAATGAAAAAACAATATTTATATGGCGCACAATAATATTACAATTGAAAGGCAAGGCCAAAAAAAGTATTCACAAAAAGAAACAAAAACATTTGAAACTCCTTGGGAATTTAATTTTACCTACCTTATATTTAATTCAATACAAAGAGAATTTACAAATATTTGGAACCCAATTTAAATTTATTTCTAAAACAACCATCTGAAACATTTTATGATTATAGTTTTTCCTATATTTAAAATGAAACACAATAAAAAACAAATACCTAAGTATTTTTAACCCAATAAAAACATCTTTTTAAAATCTAATAAAATTCTATTCTCTTCAAAAACAACTATTAAATTAAATAGTAATCTGTTGCCATATTGAAAACCACTAAATTATTGTCTCCCTCTTTTGGGAATTTCCCTATTGCTCCAGAAACCAATTGGTTGGAACATAAAGATCAACAACAAACAGAGCCATAAACATTCCCATTACAAATTAACACTTCATATATATTCCACATATTCTGAAGTGGCACATAAGCCAAGCGGTCCCCCCCATTTTCCCTCGAACATCCCGGAACATCTCCAATCTCCATATGGCCGCAAACAGGAAGCTAATCCTGCTCAGTGATATATCAACATATTTATGGTAAACGGATCAGCGGGCTTAGGTCCACGAATAGGGGAGCCCATCCATATCCATATGTTCCCCTTTGGTATTTTTGGGCCCGACTTCAAGTGGTGAACAAACCGCAAAAAACTCCATAAAATTTTATGAACACTCTTTTCCAGAATTTTATGTGACGAGCGACGGCTGCTTAGCACTTCGCCCTAAAAGTCTATTAATGTTTAATAAACAATTATTAGACAATCCACACATATTTATTGCGGCTTTGCAGCTTTTTGATCTCCTGACTGACTCACTGAAATTGGTGTAAAAATAAATACCAACCGGCTTTGTTTAGATCGAATCGGATAATTACGCACACGAATTCCCATGAATCATAACAATAACAATGGAATCCCTTGAGGAATCCATCAGGGAACACCTTAAGCGATACGATTGACAAGTCACGCGGGGGAAGGCGGCTAAAGTTTGAGAGTCGAGAACCAATGCACTTTGATGTTTGAAGAACTCCAATTCGAAGGGGATTCACCATAAATCATAACAAACATTTTGATACTAGGGAAATTTTGATACGTGTAGAAACTAAAATGCAGAACTAATCGGTAATTAGGTTCATTTTTCATATTTATTTTATTGTTATTTGTGGGTGGAATCTTATAAATAAAAAAAACTAAGCATTTTCATGAAGCAGCATTTTTTCAATTACCTATTTTATCTATTTATTTCTTTCTATCAAGTCATATATATTCATTTTTATTTCTTAAAGTGTAGGAAAAAAAATTTTAAAATTTGTCACAATATATTTCCGTTTATATTAAAGGCACTGAGGAGGTCTTGACAAGTGGGTGAATAATAGCAGAATCAATTTAGTGGCAACATCAGTATTTATGTTTGTATTTTATATTTACTTAAGATCAAAAAGAATACATTTTTATAGCTCAAATTTGCACATAAAAAAATATATATTTTTATTTGGGGGTTCACATAAATCTCTTTCAATTAAAGACAGTTTGTGCTGTGTAACGTTAGAACTTTAACGTATTTAGTTTTAAAAATATTTTCGTCACTCCCCCGACTGATAAGGTATCTTTTTAAATTTCGCGCTACAGTCGTGCACAATGCAATCGATATTTTCCGCACGACCGATATTTTTGGTATATTTTAATAAAGTATTGGTATTTTAAGTATTTTTCGTAGAGCCACACTAAACAGCTGATTGATTTTTGAGGTGGTAGATAAAGTGAAAACATTTTATATTTTTAATGAATTCAGGTGAAAATCGGTCAAAATGGAGCGCAAGGAAGTGGACACCCAACAGTTCATCGATCATGTAAGTGGGGTGCAATGAAATATCAAGAGGAAACCCGGAAATTAACCCATTTTCTCGAACAGACGCTGCTGGCCACGGAGCTGTATAATAACAATAATAATCACTTTATAATGGATCTGATAGACCACACGAATCGCACGAATCCCAGTTCGGGAAATTCGGAAAACGGCGTGGGTTACGTGGAAAAAGAATCGCTGACGCCGGAACTGAATTTCCACAATACCATCTTTCAATTTGTGAACAAATCGTCGCCGGAAAACGATGTTGTTCCCCATCATCAGCCGGTGGCCCAGCCCACTTTTCCCGCTTTGGCCATTGAACCCACCGTTCCCATCGATGTTTCCACGGGTCTCCATGTCCACGAGGATGAGGATCTGCTGTATGCCCACAACAATGCCTCCTGCAATGCGAATGCCCGGAAGGTTTTGCCTCACAAGAAACGAATCTCGCGGAAGCTCAAGGGCAACATAGACGCGGAATTGGACCATGTCCACCATCATCATGTGCACAAGCATGTCCAGGATGTGGCTCCCAGTCCAAATCTCTACAGTTGCGAGATCTGCGGCTATGCTGTGCACACCCAACTGGATTTCTTTGCCCACCTCAAGCAGCACTACGAACCCACCGTGCTGGAACAGCGACTGGTGGTTCAGGATCCCCAGCAGCAGCAACAAAAGGAGCCACTGGACATGTGCGGGATGTCTGCCCAGGATAAGGTTTGCCTTATAACCAGGGTTCGGAAATTGACACACATGTTAAAAATATGAAAAATTTTATTTTACGGTGTGAGGAAAATTGTTGACAAGTGTGTCAAATACAAGTGTTAAAATGTGAAAAATAATTGTTAACACACACAGCTCACTTGTGTTTTTTACACAATGTGTTATTAACACGACTTGTTTTAAACACACTGTGTTTTCAGCACAAATGAAAATTGCATTTTACTCACATTAACGAGTCCAAGGGAAAATGAAAAACCAATATGGGCCATGATATCTTATATGTTGGTTCTAACCATTTCAAAGCATATACGAATTCTTATACTCTAGAAAACCATGCATATATCAGTTGAACATACAATACTTTTAGCGTTAGGAAAAATAAAACCAAAATTAAATTAAGTTTGACACGTTAATGTCAAAAACTCATTCTGTTAAAAACACGCTGTGTAAAAAACACGTCGTGTAAATAACACAAATGTCAAGTATGTGTTATTTATGTTTCTAACATATGTAGGATACAATTTTTTGGAACTTAACACTTTGACATTTGACATGTTAATAACACAAGTTTTTTACAGTGTGTGTTATTTTCCGAATCCTGCTTATAACTCTTAAAAACCCCATTTGATAGCCTTTTAACATTCTTTTTGCCCCACAGCTGCAACAGGAGCAAGCCAAGCTGGACCAGGTTTTCCACGATGTCCAGCTAAACTTTGAGAACTTCCACAACATCAGTCACCATGTCGACGACGATGTGGTGGCCAATGTGGGTGTGGATATGGACAAACTAAGTCCCGTGGTGGCCAACACCAACAGCACCCCGAATTCAGTGCCCGTAGTCGACGATGTGGAGTTCAGCGACACGGAGGACATGCTCGAGGGCATTCGCAATGTGGTGGACAAGGTTTCGATCGAGGACACCTGCGATGAGCTGGTGGATCTGGAACTAACCTCGAGTGGAATGACGGCTCCTTGGTTTAATAACAACTTTAGGGATATAACTTTCCCCGCTCTTTTGCTGCCCGGCGAACCGCCGCCAGCTTCTGCAGAACAGAAAGATAATCCCATTGAAAGCGAGCACATGGCTTTGGATTTTCTGAGTCCCGAAAAGAGAGAACCTAAGATGGAGAAATCTCTGTCGAAAGTCAGCGAATCGAATGAGCAAACCCTGTTGGTTGCGCCACCAGTCTGCCAAACACCACCGCCTCCCAACTCCTCCATCGAGCAGCTGCAAAGATCTCCCCTGGTGATCAACGACGGCTTTAAGCTGGAAGACGATGACATGACAGACAGCCGACCAGCTTCGCCCTTTGAGGAAGGAGATGCAGAGGATCCGGAAGCGGAAAATGAAAGCTTTGCGATGGAGGACTTGGACACGAGTTTATCCGAGGAAACCACGCAGAGCAAGACGAGGAGGAAACACTTTTGCGACAAGTGCAACAGGGACTTCAACTCGTACAATGCACTTAAGTACCATCAGTACACGCACAACCAGCAGAGATCCCACAAGTGCGAAAGCTGCGAGAGATCCTTCTACACCCAAAGTGCCTTGAAAGCGCACGAAAGGACACGTGAGTAGTGGCTTTAAATATGTGCGAGATAGAGCCCTGCGGTGAATCATTCAATTTTTGTTTTATCATAGTATTCCATGGAATTTCTGATTTGTTTAATTTAATTCTGTGTGAAACAAATTGAATGTTTTTCTAATTCATTTCGAATTGAATGAGCTAATGAATATTTTTTATGAATTTGTAGAATTTGCCAGATTTTTCTTGTGCTTTCTTTTTAGAGCAAAAAGTAGAAAATTTTTAACAAATCAATGTTAACTGCTTAGTAAATAAAATTCAGGCAGATTTAATCACAAAATTATTTCGGAATTCCTGCTATTCATTTTTTCAATTCTATTAAATTAAAATTCAAATTCATTCAATTTTATTAAACTCCAAATTTTAATTAATTCATTCATATAAAACAAAAAATTCAAAATAATTCATTGAATCCATTCATGCATGCCTCTTAGTGCGAGACTAGCAAGTAATCCTTGATTTCCCCTCCACAGATTCCGGCGTTAAACCGTTTCAATGCGACAAGTGCGACTTTAAATTCCGCCAGTGGGGCGACCTAAAGTACCACGAGATTTCCCGTCACAGCGACGTCAAAGCGCATATGTGCGAATTTTGTGGAAAGAGCTTTTCCAGGCGATACTCCCTGGTTTTACACCGCCGCATTCACACGAGGGAACTGAACTACGCCTGCCAGCACTGCGACAAGACCTTTCGGGCCAGCTCATACCTGCTGAGTCACATTAAAGTGCACACTGGCGAGCGACCGTACGAGTGCTCCATCTGCGAGAAGAAATTCCGAGTCTCGGGGGATCTCAAGCGGCATGCAAGGATCCACGATCCCGGCAGAACGAGTCAACCGCCTGCGGAGAAGGTCAAAAAGAAGAAGGCAGTTGCTAATGACACGGATGACAAACAAATCAATAAGTCTGACGCCTTGCGCGACCAAACTGGGCAGAAAATCCTGGGCTTATAGCCATGCTGTGCCAAGGTTTCTTCAAAGTAAGCTAAGTAATTTATCTGCTGTACGCATTTTTGTACAAGCTATGTGTGTATATAAATAAGAACTTGAAAATAGGAAACGAAGAGCTGCATGCTTGTATTTATAAAATAAATTAAGAAATCATGTAAATATTTGCGCTGCTCTTTCGAATTTGACTCTAAAATATATCTGAAAATGTAAAAAATATTTAAAAACTCCAAGTTTTCTATTGCAGAGCATTTCTTTATTATTTTTCATGTTTTCTTCTTGTCATCTTCATTTCATTCGCTTTTTTTCTCAAATGTTTTTTGTTTTTCATACTTCTTTCTCTCTTTTGCACTTGTACCGTTCGTCGACTTAATTGTTAATGAGTAAGTATATATTAAATATATATTGTTATTATTAATGTAACTATGTACAACACAAGTGTTTTGGGCGCCTGTCTGTGGGCCCGAAACGCAATGAAATCTTTGTATTCTTTGTTTACAACATAATTTGTTTTTCTCTTTTTTTTCTGTTTCTTTGTCGTTTTTTTGTTTTGTTTCTCAAAAATATTCAACATAAACGCCCCGCAGCCATACATTCCATAGATTTGTGTGTGCTTTTCAGTATTTGTTAGCCGTTTCTCTCACAGAAGTTCCATCGCTTTAGAGCCTATCAACTAAAATCCTAGTAATGGTTTCTTCACCTCATCTCGTCTGCTTATCTTTTCCACGCTTTAATTTACGCTCAGTCCATGATATCTTCCGATTCTCCCGTTTGTTACACGTATATATAATATAATTCATCTGTTTTCTGTTTAATTAATTAAAAATTACGAAAACTGCATTCCTAGTATCAGTATCTTATCTGCACTTCGCATCTCCCAGCCTGATCCCACCGTTCGATCCCTCGATTCCCCGCTATTATCATATATATTCTTGGTGTCTTGGTGGTGTGGATTATGCTGTTTTGGTAGGTTGAATGTGTTGTCGAGTGTTGTTTTGTTTTGTGTGTGAAACATTTTTAGTGGGCATGAGATGGATATTGAAAAAAATGCTGGCTACTTTTGGAGGAAACTGAAATTTTGCCTGCCTTTTGCTAGTGTAAATATGATTTAAAATTAGCATTACATTGACTTTGCTTCATTGTTTGGTTTTTACTTAAAAGTGTAAGTTTGGTTTACTTTTTCTTTGCTATGGTTGCACACATTTACTGATTTTTCTTCTTTTTTTTTGTCTCGTATCTTTTGTTTTTTTATTGAATTGAGTATGGGTTTACTTGCTTGTTTCTTCATTTGCTTGACAAAGAAAGGTAATAATTATGCTGTACTAATACACATATGAGCTGGCAAACATTTTCCAATTGCCTACTAGTCCTCATCAATCAATCAATCATATTGGTAGGGGGTCAGTACTCAAGCAAATCGAAATATATCCTTTTTTGCTTGAATACTGAGCCTGAAATCAAGGAGCTTTAATCGTATGCATGAATGTTGATGGCAGCTTTATGTTTTTGTTTGTTTTGTCGTTTCTCTTAATTGTGGATAAATTGAATATTGTTTATAAAATAGCTTGCTATTTTATGTTGCACATTAAACACATAATTTAACTGTTTTTTTTTCGGCTCCCCTTTCTTCTCTTCATACAAAAGGTTTGTTTGCTTGTTTCAATTATTTCAGTTGCTATTGTTGCTTCACATTGTTGCTGTTGCTATTTCTTCGTACCTACATTTTCCCGTCATATTTCCCGCTTTCCCTCTCTCTACCAGCTTTTCTTCATTCTATAGAAATATAATTTTCATTTTTTTGAGTCTTCTTCACCACAGGAGATTTTCTTCGGCTCTCTAAAATAATTAAAATACATTCTCCCTCCCCAATCGATGGCATGCCAATTCTTCAAAAGTTTTTTGGTTTATCCCACACAAATACAATATTTACAGTTCACAGTTTCCACTGGCTGGTTTTCTCTCACGTTATCATCTAAATCATCATATACACCCAGAGCTTTGCCTTAAATTTATTTTTAATCATCTTTTGAAGATCCTTTCTTTTGTCATACGACTAGCATATGACTTTCCTTCTTTACACACCGGAGCTTTTCTAAATCTATTGTGTTTTCCATCCACTTTCGATTCGATCCTTACAGTTTTTTGCTGCTTACAGTTTTCTCAGTTTAAAATTGTGAAAAAATAGCTGTATCTATTGTAAATTTTAGGTTCCTCTTTTTTTTTGGTTTGTTGGTTTGCGTTAAAATTTGAATTACCTTTAGATTTTATATAATTTGATTTGATGATATTTCTCTGTGCTGTTTGTCCTTGAATCTGTATCTTGAATCTGCCTAGCTAACCGCCGAATACAGTTTCAGTTTGGTTCGTATAAAAAGTCTTTGATTTGCCCCCCATTTCCGGTTGTTCTGCAATCTAGCGTTCCTATTCCAATGTATTCCGGATTTTCCGAGTTTTCCGGCTGCTCTGGTGCTAGCGTGCTCTGCATTAGAGGCTAACCTGCTGCATCTTATCAAAATCTAAACACGGCCGATGCGGTCGCTGCAGTCTCTGTGTGGCGACGGCGGTGACGTTGGCGGCATTTCCCGGATTCCCGGCACTTCCGGCGGAATTGGCAGCATTTTGTGTCGTTGTCGTGGTGGCTGATGATGTGGCTGATGATGGTGGTGATATTGTGGTGGCATTGTTGCTGGGTCGCCGCCTGGGCGATATGGCGCAGTGGAACAGTTTCGCCGGCGGACTCACCGATCGCACCTCCATATCCAAGCCGGTGGTGCTGGCCGGACTGCTCCGCGAGCTGTTGTAGTGGAAACTATACTTTGGCTGCGGCTGGTAGATGTGATGGCTGCTATTGCTCATCTTCAGCGAGCTGCTGCACGCCTTGATCACACTCGGTTCGTTCTCATTGCCACCGTTTCCGGTTCCGGTTATGGTTCCGCCTCCAATCTTAGCACACTTACTGCTACCGCCACCGCCGTTGTCGCCATTCTCCTCGTTTACACTATTATCACATAATTTAATATTTTCGATGCCACATCGGGCCTCCGATAATATCAGTGGCGTTGTGGAGCGGAACATCATATGGCTACGATTTGGCTTGAATGCCTCCAATGGCGGCGATGTGCGAAAATTCACGGGCGTCAAAATCGGCTCCAGCGAGTTGCGCAACTGTCGTGGGAAAGAAAAATATATAGCATTAAAATTTTATGATTTTTTAAATTAGGAAAGATTCTCATACTTTGACTTTAAATAAAGATCTTTCAAGTGATGTTTATAAGTCCTATCATCAAGATATTAACCTATTCTTCCATTTTAATGATATTTTTGTTTAAATTATGGTGATTATAATAATTATTAAAGATTCCATAGGAATCAATCGAATTTTATGAAATACAGAATATCGTTTTCTTATATTCAAAACCTTTAAATTGATTTGAGCTAAGAATTACATTGAAAAAATATCTCTTTACGATTAATCTCCAGTAACTTCATAAAAATTATGCTTGTGTAAGGATATTATTACAGTTTTTTGATTTTTGGCTACATTACTGGATATATTAATTAAATAAATCCATTAGGTCGAATATCAAGCAATGAAAAGTCCAATATTCTAAGCTAAATTCAAATAAAATAGTTAGATTTACTTAACCACCCACTGTTGATGCATCGTTTATAACCATCTTATGTTTTTGAGAGTTGAAATTATTTAAATATATTTAAAGCCTTTAAATAGATTTGGGCCAAAAATTACAACCAAAAAATATCCGATTCCATTCTCTAAACGATGAACGTTGAGTAATTTCACAAAAAATATGCTAATATAAGGATATTAGATCAGATTTTTGGCTACATTACTCTAATATCAAGGACTGAACAGTACAATTACTAATTCAAACTACAATTAAATAGCTAGTGTTTAAGTACACCTATTGCTGATGTATCGTTTTTAACCATCTTATGATTTCTAAAGAGTTGAGAATCCATCCAATAATTACAGAACCCAGAACCCACCTCATCATCCGAGCTGTGGGCCAGCGATCGCTTGCGGTTCTCCACCATCAGCGTGGAGCTGGAACGCTTCGAGTTCGAGGTGGTGGCCCGCTCCTCGTAGGGCGCCTCCGTGTCCAGCGAGGAGGTGCATCCGCGGTTCGAGATTCGGGAGGCACACGAGGAGCCCGTGGCCGCCGTTCCGCCGGGATGCTGGCCCGCCTGCGAGGAGGGGCCGTTGATCACCTCCAACTCCTCCTCGGAACTGTGCTGGTCGTACATGAGATGGGCACAGGATGACGACGTCTGCTGGTGACACATCATTTCAGGAGAGATTTTCTTTTGGCCAGCAACACCTGAGTGATCAAATGGAGATGGATTATATTAATAAAGTTCTATAAATATTTAAAAACTATAAACAAAATTCAGGAAAAATCATAGCCGTTGTAAAAACTATTTGCAATATTAAATAAAAGAAATAAGTTCGTTGTTATTCGTTTGTGGCTTTTATATGGAAACTTTTGAACCAAAACGTTAATGATTTAAATTTCGAAATAGTTTCAAAATTTGTGATCAAAACCTGTATTTGCCGTTTGGCACTTACTAGTTTCCATATCCACGTCTAAGTGACGTTGGTTTTCCACATCGAGGAGTTCACCATCAGATTCTGTGCCAGAGTCATTCGATTCACGCTGTGGAAGAAAAATAGAAAATCAAATTAATTTAAATTAGGAAAACTAACAATAAAATCTTTAAAATTTAAAATATCTATAGATCCATCTATAAACCTTACAAATATAAATAAATAAGATATTTGAAGACTCTGAATTGATGAAACGAATATTTATAAAGTTTGAAATGAATAGGTACTCATAGTTAAGTTAAAACTATTACAATTTGGAAAATTTATCAGAAAATTCAAAAGAACGAAATTTTTTAAAATTTATTTATGGTTAACACATTATTTCTTACTAATTATAAATTAGGACTTTTTTTAATGCTTGACTAAATGCTTCTTACAAATATAGATCTTAAAACTAAGAATGAACTAAAAAACGATTTTTCTGAATCTTAAATTTCGTAATATTGAAAAACCGCACCTTCTTACGCATAAAATTTTTGGATGCCCGTATTGTGTTTTCTCGATTTTTCTGCCTGACAAACTTTATCATGATTTTCAGCTTTTGCCTTAATTCGCTTCACATGCCACACGCACACAACGACAACGATGCACCCACGCAGCGCGCACACACACAGTGGAGAAAACTTACTACGACGCCGCAGTCGCTGTCGGCGTCGCGGTCGACGTTATTCCTCTTCTCCTTCTGCTTCTCCTTCGTTTCTACTACTATTACTACATACTAATTTTTCGCCGTTGCGCTTTGCACGCCGTTTCTATTTATACGCCTCCGCATGTATTTTTGTTTGTTATTTTTACGCGCTGCTTCGTTTTGCGATTCTCCGCTCTCTTTACGCGCGTGTAAAGTGTAAGCGGCGCTTCCCTTTTGTGCAAAAATTTCGCTCTCTCTCTCTCTCTTTGGTTGTAAAGCCGTAGTTAAGGAGTAACGGTAGCGGTTCGCTCTCTTTAACACTCAGGAAATGTTTTCCTCATCTTACATGTTTTTTGAATATTACAATATTTAACCGATTAAAACCGCTGTTTTTAAATGTAGAAAAATGAGTTTTAGCTTGGAATTTGCAGTTCCACGTTTTGTATTGTGAGCTGCAATCTCTCTTTCCTACAATCTCTTTCGCGCACACTTGGTCCTTACGCGTAGTACTCAAAACACCCGAACGCAAATCCCGAACGGAATATCCGCGCACCTTTCGCCGTAACTTATACAGCACGGAATTATCGATTTTTTTTGGCACGGCCACGGGAACGGAAACCAGACGACGCGAAATTTGCAAAAGAAAAAAAACAGCCACGCACCACCGCCGAAGGGTTAAGCTCTGCCCTTTTTGGCCTTTTAACCCATCGAAATTTGGTTTTCAAACACTCTGTGGGATTAGATTGGATTGATCTCTTAGGACGATCTATGGGTTTTCCCCTGGAAATGCAGTTGTGCAACGGTTTTGGAACCGCCTACGCCTGCTGACTTGGTTACTACGGTGTGTTACTGTGTGTATCGGGTATATAGTATCGGGTATATATCGCATGTAGCTCTACCGCCCGTCACCGGCTAATGTTGCGCTCCAACTGAAAACCCATTGCGTCCACAATGTGGCAAGGCAACACTGTTGTCTCCAACTTCTCTGGAAATCTCTGCGCTGGCGCTGGAGAGAGACCATCCCCCCTTTCCTCCTATCCAATTCTCCACTGCGTGCAACCCACGATTCACTTGCAGTTCCAGGGTTACCAGGTGTCTACAACTTGAAAAACATTTTTTGATAAATTACATGGGTTGATATTTTGAAAGAAGTAATTTATTATTAATTTTATTTTATTTTATTTTTATTTTTTGGTTGTAGAAAAATGTTTTTTTTTTTATAATAAAAAAAGATTGTAAGATTATTGTTTGATCTAAATTATGTAATGCATACTCAGAGAGTGAAAATTGGTTTTAAAAAAAATACATAAATTACAACTCAAGCTGTTAAAACCCAACTGCATTCGGACCCAGGTCGTATTACACAACAATGTAAGTCTGGTTTAATTACAAAGTTGAGCACTATAATTGATTGTGGATAATCGGCGTGTAGTAATTAGCTGTGCAAAATTAACATTCCCTGGCAAATTTCTTTCGGCTGATTTTCTTTTGTCTGCCGGTTGTTTTTTCCCATTCATTGAATTCTTCGCCCATTCCCACCCAACTATTGCGCAAATTGCGCTTGTCTGGCAACCCTGGGCGCACTCACAAAGTGCACTTACTACTTGGATGCTATGCCCGTGTGGGCGCCCATGGAAAATTGGGGGGCGTACGGGGGGTCTGACGTTGTGCTGCTCGCTTTTGTACATGCGCGCTCAACTCGTGCCTCCAACAACGATTCAGAATATGCCGAACAAAGGTGTATGGCGTTTTTTCAGTGATTTGAAAAGCATTTTTAGTTTACCAAAATGATATCATCATAAGGATTTTAGGATTAAGTAACGGTTAGATTGACAGAACAGCTAATCTCAAAATAATCGACAGAAGGAGATATGGTGACAACGTATTCTTGTATAACCGATCAATGTAATAGATCTGCAATCCTTGACTGGGTAACTCTAAACAAAATATCAAAAAATTATTAGTTCAAACTTAATTAGATTTTTAAGTTTAGTTTGCGTGGTAAAAAAAAATTAATTGCTTTAAAAAAGTTTTTTTTTTCGGCATTTTAAAGTGAACCTACAATTTTGTCGTGCACCTTCTTATAGACGGAAGAAGAAGCAGCTGGAGCGGGCAGGTTCCTAGTCCTATGACTAAACATACATATATCCATGCCTATGTATATATCAGTTTATATGAGTAGTAACGTGTGGCAGCCAAAAGAGATGAGGGGCCGGGGCCAAAAGTGAAATAAAACGAAGCGTGCGAAAGTCGTTGCAACTATGATATGGGAAATTGCAGCCGCTTTTCGCCACCGAATGTGGAAAACATGACATGAAAAACTACGCACGAACTGGTTTTTCGGCTGCTCCAGGCAGTTTTCCCAAATGTATTTTATTTTTTCACAAAAAAATATTATTTTCTGGAGTCTGCTAAATGTTGTATTAACAAACGACATGTCTGGTAGGAAATATAATAAAATTCTGGTTTGAAATAAAAGCGAGAATATTAAAAACACTTTTCGATTAGATATTTCAATATTGTTTTAAATCACTTTTCTACTAATTTTTCAAAGTGCCATTTGGCAAAAACTGTTTTTTTACAACAAAAAGTTTTAAATGTTTTCTCACATTTTTTCAGGCAATAATTATAAGTTTGGGATTATTTTATTGTACTATGGTAACTTGCATTTTTATTTTTAATGTTTTTTTATGTGCTTTAAGTTTGTGCATACTTACTAATATTTTATTTAAATATGTTATAATTTTATCTTTTTTTTTATTAATTTGTTGAATTATTTCTCCTTATAATATCACACTTTTTGCAAACTCCCTCGTGAGCTATTCAATTTGCTTTCAATTTTACGCGGAAAATTTTACTACGAGTCTACGTGCCACAAATACATGCACACACATTCGCTGTCTCGCTCGCTCGCACGCGCAAGTACTTTTGTTCCATTCATACCACACACACACGCGCGCAAGCACACTCTATCTCTTTTTCGCCCGCTGGAGAGAGAGAGCGTCTGACGTAGGTGGGCGGTGGGCGGCGAGGGGGTGGTGGTGCTGGTGCAGCCTTCAGCTTGAGTTCTAAATTTAGCACTTGCAACTTCAGCAGGACCCTCTCGCCCTCTCTCTCTCACTCTCTTAGACCGATGTCGAAAACTTACTTGATTCGCTCGCTCTCTTTCTTCTTATCTCCGTCTCGCTCGTTGGCTATTGGTTTTCCTTTTGTTTGATCACAAAATTGTTTATTTTCTTAGCACATAATTTGTTATATTTTTTTTTTCGGTCGGTTGCGGAAATGCAGGAAAGCCAGCGAAAAAGCGGACCAGCGACGGCGAGTGAAAAACGATGAATGGCGCTTACTACAGGGAAACAGCACGCGACGCGTTTTTTGGAGAATTGACTAAACAAGCGCTCTCTTCACCGCCCCCAACCCACACACCCACTCCAGCAGTGCTGCCAACTCAGCCTTTTTCCCGCCATTTTCAGCGTGATAGCCAAAGGCGAGAATTCGTTAGCCAGTGGAATTCACTCTGGGTATTCTTTAAAGTTTAAACTCATGGTATTCCCAACTGTTAAATTGCTGAACTGTTGAAAATTCAAAAGAAAATTTCAACAATTGAGGGATCGATCCAAATTGGTTATTGTTAAATTTGCAAACAGCTGTTAATTGTTGAAAAGTTTTACGAAACTCAAAACATGCAAATTACATTTTTTATTGATAGTTACTTTTTAAAATTGTTAGCAAGGTGAGAAGAACTACTATTAGACTTTATAATATGATTTAAAAGAAAATAAAACCAACTGATAGTAAAATTTTGTAGAGTTGTCATGACTTTTAGTAAAATAAGGTGACAGCTTTGGTTTTCAACGTTGACTTTGTTTGGAACAGCTGATTAACAGCTGACCGAAATTCAACAATTCTACAATTTAGGGAATACCCTTAATTTTATTGTAAACTAAAGAGTGAACATTCCGAAAACGCGTCTTTTGCCATACTGAAAAACGCAGTCACATTAAAATGTTAGGCGAGACACCTGCGTACATTTTAGCGTGACCATGCTAATTTATCGATATTTATTGAATGATTTTGAAAATGGGCGCCAAAAATGGAAGTCCAATTTTGGGCAAGTTGCAGCCCGATAGCTTTAAAACGGTCAGACGCTAGGGTTATATCGATTTCCCTATTGATCCTGATCAAGAATGTACATATATACTATATATGAGGTCGGAAACGTCACTACACTGCGTTGCAATTTTATGACTGAAATCATAATACCTTCTGCAAGGGTATAACAAATATAATCCTAACTAATTTTTCTTGGTATTTCATTTAAAAATCAACTCTTTGATTTTGACCTATAAATTCTTAAAAAAAAGGATTATTAAATTAAGTACCAATAAATCGGGAAAATCGGGAAAATCCCGTGATCTAAAATGTAAGTTCTAATCTCCCATATATATATAATGTGAAACAATAGCTTTTATTGAATCATCCGATCGGATAAGAAAAACACCTTCGATAATGGAACTTAAATAAATAGCTCTTATGTATGAGCTTTTTCTCAGTCAAGAAATAACTTCAGAAAAGTAAGGACATGTTGAGGCTTGGAATATTATTTTTTTTATTTTTAAAAACTTCAGTGAGCCAAAATGGCAATGAAGTCTGCACTCTTCTATCCATTTGTAATAATCTTGAACTTTTAAAATCTAAGATGGCAGCCGTACGGTAAATAACTCTATTTTTTTAAAGAATTTTTATAAGATTTTTTTATTTTAATCACAAGTGAGGAGCAGAAACGCCAGACGGATATTTTGGAAAGACTAGACAAAAGACTTGATACTTGTACGCCAAATTCATACCCCGAAAGCTGCGCTAATTCATCGAAGAATAAGCTTGAGATCCGCGTACCAGAGTACAGTGAAGATCCCTTCGAGGTGTCCTGCGATCAGGAGAGTCATGGAGGAGGGTGGACCGTAGTTATGCGGCGAAACGATGGAAGTCAGAACTTCCTTCGCAAATGGTGGGATTACAAGCCGGGATTTGGCAATCTGGACAATGAGTTCTTCATGGGCCTGAATAAATTGCATGCGATAACCGCATCGGAACAACACGAACTTCTAGTCCTCTTGGAGGATTACGGAGAAGATCATCGGTACCAGATGTTCGATAACTTTAGAATCGGTCCCGAGGCTAACAATTACACTTTGGAGTCATTGGGTTCATCGTATGGGACCGCCGGGGATTCACTTGCTTATCATCTGGGCAGCCAGTTCAGCACTACGGATAACAACAACGACTCAGCTACAACAACGAACTGTGCTGCATTTTGTATGGGAGCTTGGTGGTACCGCTCATGCAATAAGGGGTAAGCGTAGGAAGTACTTTACTCTATAGTGAAAATGCACGAAACTCCCATTAAGATTCTGTACATCTTTAAAATCGAAACAAAAATAACTCTAAACTTTGCTTTCAGCCACTTGTTTGGTGTTTATGGCGAAAACAAATCTTGGAAAGGAATATATTGGCCTACATTTGGATCCGATTATGGCGACGATTATCACCCGATGAAACGAGCTGCAATGATGATAAGGCCGAAAAGGTGTTCTTCTCGTCGATCTTAAGCGTTAACAATAAAATTGAATTGTTAACTGTAATTATTTAAACCGTCATTAATACCTTCAACTAAAGTTTTTAAATATATTTTATTTGTATTTTTCAAGCTAATACGAACTTTAACTTCCACAAATCACCAGCTTACAATACTATTTCGGGGCAATAATGCCTAGGCAATCATAAAATTATTTTCCTGGAAAGGTAAATGTATAGCAGATAGGAAGAAAGATTATCAAAACGTTTTTTACGGGTTCTTGCTCGCAGTCCAAAGCTTTTTCTCAGTATACAAAGAGCTGCCAAAGTGAAGTCATGTTGCGATTCGGAATACTACTTCTCATATTTATAAATACTTCTCTGGGCCAAAATGGCAAGGAAGTCTGCACTTTGCTATCCATTTGTGACAATCTTGCAGTTATAAGGACTGAGGTGGCTGCCGTACGGTAGATAAATCATACATTTTTTAATGGAGTTTTATACGAGTTAATTAATCTCAATTGCTAGGGAGGAGCAAAAAAGGCAGGCGGATATTTTAGAACGTTTGGACCAAAAATTCGACTCTTGTACGCCTAACTCATACCCCGCCAGCTGTGCTGAATCATCAAAAAATAAGCTGGTAATTCGCGTCCCAGAGTACAGTGAAGACCCCTTCGAGGTGTCCTGCGATCAGGAGAGTCATGGAGGAGGGTGGACCGTAATTCTGCGGCGAAACGATGGAAGTCAGGACTTCTTCCTCGAGTGGAAGGATTACAAGCAGGGATTTGGCGATCTGGATAATGAGTTCTTCATGGGCCTGGATAAATTGCATGCGATGACATCAGAGCCCCAGGAAATGTTAGTCGTTTTGGAGGATTGGTATGGATATCAGGGCTATGAGCTTTACGATGACTTTAGAGTTGGGCCGGAGGGTAACAACTATACGTTGGAATCGAAGGGATCATTTTCAGGGGACGCCGGTGACTCGCTAACATTTCATCAGGGCATGCAGTTTAGTACTAAGGATCGCGATAACGATACTTGGGACGGAAACTGTGCGATGCATTATACTGGAGCTTGGTGGTACCGTGATTGTCATATGAGGTCAGTATTAAACTCATAGTCATAGATATTCTTTTATAATAACTCTCTACTTCACCTTAAACTTAAATTTTTTCTTTAGTAACTTGTGTGGAACGTATGGCCGAGATTTATTCTCCAAGGGAGTATATTGGAGGTTTTCCAACGGCACTATGAAACGTGCTGTAATGATGATAAGGCCAAAAGCGTATTTTCTGAAACATAGAAAATAATAATTAGTTTTAATATATATTTATATATAATAATAGTTCTACAATAGTTCTGGCCATTGATACAAATAAATTCAAAATAATATAGTTCATTTGTTTAGATTATTGTATTTAAAAAATGTTAATTAAATAAAATACCAATAAAAGTGGATTTTCAAAGAGGACCTGGGGAATCACATGATCTAAAATTTAATATTTAATCAGCTAAACACCTTTTTTGTAGTTAAGGTAAAACGAATGCGTTTATTGAACCCCTAAATCAGATTCGATTAAAAACTTTCGATTATGGAACTTGATTACAGATTTCTTATATATAAGCTTTTTGTCAGTCAACGAAAGCCTTCAGAAAAGTAAAGACATGTTACTGTTTGCAATTCTATTTTTTTTATTTTTACAAACTTCTGAAAGCCAAAATGGCAATGAAGTTTGCACTCTGGAATCCATTTGTAATAATCTTAACATTTTAAAATCTGAGATTGCTGACACACGGTAAGTAATTAAATATTTTTTAAAGGAGCTTGATTTTATTTATCTTAAACACAAGTGAGGAACAGAAACGCCAGACGGATATTTTGGAGAGACTAGAAGAAAAATTCGACTCTTGTCTGCCCAATTCGTATCCCGCAAGCTGCGCTGAATCATCAAAGAAAAAATTGGTAATCCGCGTACCGGAGTACAGTGATGACCCTTTCCAGGTGTCCTGCGAACAAGAGAGTCATGGAGGAGGGTGGACCGTTATTCTGCGGCGAAACGATGGCAGTCAGGACTTCTTCCTCGACTGGAAGAACTACAAGCAGGGATTCGGCGATCTGGACAATGAGTTCTTTATAGGAATGGATAAATTGCACGCGATTACCGCATCGGAACAACACGAACTTCTAGTCCTCCTGGAGGATTACGTAGAAGATCATCGGTACCAGCTGTTCGATAACTTTACAATCGGTCCCGAGGCTAACGACTACACTTTGGAGTCAGTGGGATCTTCTTATGGGGACGCCGGGGATTCACTCGATTATCATCTGGGCATGAAGTTCAGCACATGGGATCGTCAAAACGACTTAGCTGGAAAAACCAACTGTGCTGAATTCTTTATGGGAGCTTGGTGGTACCGTAATTGCCATTTGAGGTAAGCATAGGAAGTACTGCTTCTACGAAGACCCCTTAAGTTGTATTATATTTTTAGCACTAACCACTTTATTAACAAAACACAAAACACCTTAGGAGTCTGTATTTCTAAAAATCGAAACTAAATCTTTAAACTTTGCTTTTAGCCACTTGTTTGGTCTTTTTGGCGAAAACAAATCTGGTCGAGGAATACTTTGGTATACATTTGGATACGAATATGAATACCTACCTTACATGATGAAACGAGCTGCAATGATGATAAGACCGAAAAGGCTTTCTTCGCATCGATCCTAAGCATTAAATATTAAATTTAAAAATTAAATATTAAATAAATATATTAAATAAATATATAAATAATTGATCTTACAGTTTCTGAAATGGTAATCATACGATTCGAAATACGTTAAAAAAAATGATTATCCTAACTATCTTTTCTAGGTATTCCATTTTGAAAATAGTACTTCCGTTTTAATTAATAGTAATTAAAAAATTTTAAATTTAATTAAATACCTTAAAAGTGGTTTTCCATTAGGATCAGGGTAATCACCAGATCTAAAATTGAATTTGTAGATAAGGTGAATCACTAAATGAGATTAGATTAAAAAACTTCGAACTTGATTAAAGAACTCTTTTAAATAAGCTGTTTCTTAGTCAACAAAAGCCTCCAGAAAAGTTAAGACATGTTGCGGTTTGGAATAGTATTTTTTTTATTTTTAAAAACTTCAGTAAGTCAAAATGGCAATGAAGTCTGCACTCTTCTATCCATTTGTAATAATCTTGAACTTTTAAAATCTGAAATGGCAGCCGTACGGTAAATAATTTATTGTTTTTTTTAAGGATTTTTATTACATTTTATTTATTTCAATCACAAGGGAAGAACAGAAACGCCAGACGGATATTTTGGAACGTTTAGACAAAAAATTCGACTCTTGTACGCCTAACTCATACCCCGCCAGCTGTGCTGAATCATCAAAAAATAAGCTGGTAATTCGCGTCCCAGAGTACAGTGAAGACCCCTTCGAGGTGTCCTGCGATCAGGAGAGTCATGGGGGTGGGTGGACCGTAATTCTGCGGCGAAACGATGGAAGTCAGGACTTCTTCCTCGAGTGGAAGGACTACAAACTGGGATTCGGCGATCTGGACAATGAGTTCTTTATGGGCCTCGATAAATTACATGCGATGACATCAGAGCCCCAGGAAATGTTAGTCCTTTTAGAGGATTGGAATGGAAATCAGCTTTATGAGCTTTACAATGACTTTAGAGTTGGGCCCGAGGGTAACAACTATACGTTGGAATCGGTCGGAAAATGTTCAGGTACCGCAGGCGACTCGCTAACCATTCATCAGGGCGAGCAGTTTAGTACAAAGGATCGCGATAACGATATTTGCGACAGAAACTGTGCGATGGAATATACTGGAGCTTGGTGGTTCATTATAGGTAATTGGAGGTCAGTATTAAACCCATGTTCATATATATTCTTTTATAATAACTCTCTACGTCAACTTAAACTATAATTTGTCCTTTAGTAACTTGTGCGGAACGTATGGCCGGGATATGGGCTCTCGGGGTGTAAGATGGATGTCTGCCAACAGCGTTATGAAACGTGCTGTAATGATGATAAGGCCAAAAGCGTATTTTCTTAAACATGAAAAATAAAAAGTTAGACAAGCCATCTTTATAAATAAATAATATGTTAATGAAGTAATAAAGTATTTAATAATATTAATAACTAGTTATTGCCATTAGTACAAATCATTTATAACAAATGTCCCGTAATGTGACAATAAATTCAAAATAGTATATTTTACTATTTTTAATTGTTAATTAACACTATTTTACATCCAAAATTCAACAAGAAAATGGTGGTACTTCCTGGTAGAGTTAGACCCCTAAATAGAGTTAGTTAGACCCAAAATAAATTTAAAAATTGTACTTAAATTAAATATCAATAAAAGTTGTTTTCCATTAGGATCGGGGGAAAACCCTGATTTAAAATTTATAATTTAATCAGGCGAACGCCTTACTTGTAGATAAGGTAAATCACTAAATGGGATAAGATTAAAAACCTTCGATTAATGAACTTGATTAAAGAACTCTTTTATATAAGCTTTTTCTTAGTCAACGAAGGCATTTAGAAAAGTAAAGACATGTTGCGGCTTGGATTACTATTTTTTTTATTTTTTAAAACTTCAGTGAGTCAAAATGACATTGAAGTTTGCACTCTTCAATCCATTTGTAATAGTCTAAATATTATTAAATCTGAAATAGCTGACGTACGGTAAGTAATTAAATATTTTTAAAGGAGTTTTATTTTATTTATCTAAACCTCAAGTGAGGAGCAAATACGTCAGACGGATATTTTGGAACGTTTAGACAAAAAATTCGACTCTTGTACGCCTAATTCATACCCCGAAAGCTGTGCTGAATCATCGAAGAAAAAGCTGGTAATCCGCGTACCAGAGTACAGCGAAGACCCCTTCGAGGTGTCCTGCGATCAGGAGAGTCATGGAGGAGGGTGGACCGTAATTCTGCGGAGAAACGATGGCAGTCAGGACTTCTTCCTCGAGTGGAAGGACTACAAAAAAGGATTCGGCGATCTGGACAATGAGTTCTTCATGGGCTTAGATAAAATGCATGCGATGACATCAGAGCCCCAGGACATGTTAGTCCTTGTAGAGGATTATAATGGAAATCAGGGCTATGAGCTATACGATGACTTTAGAGTTGGGCCGGAGGGTAACAACTATACTTTGGAATCGGTGGGAAAGTTTTCAGGAACCGCCGGCGACTCGCTTACAGTTCATCAGGGCATGCAGTTTAGCACCAAGGATCGCAATAACGATTTTTGGAAATCAAACTGTGCGGTTCAATGTGGAGGAGCTTGGTGGTACGAAGCTTGCTATTGGAGGTCAGTACTACAATCGATTGTTTGAATGTTCCACTATTATAACATCTATTTCCATTAGCAACTTGTGCGGAACATATGGTCAAGATAATTATCCTCTGGGTGTATATTGGGCCAACAAGTTTATTAAACGTGCTGTAATGATGATAAGGCCAAAAGCGTATTTTCTTAAACATGTAAAATAAAAATTAATTCAGCTGTCTTTATTAAGTAATATGGTAATAAAGTGTTTAATAACATTGCAGTATACTGACAATAGTTATTGCCAATGTAAAATGTCTCAATGAATTAAAGAAGGATTCTATTTTTTAAGATTGTGTGTATTATCGGTCAAATACCTAGCAGGTTTGCTGAAACTCGGGCAGTTCAAATAAAGTATTAAAGGCAGCAAAATATTTCAATTAATTTAAGAAATAATAAAATATGAGATTGTGGTATTATCGGACATGGGACGATAAGGCAGTATATATAGCTACATATGTTGCGTTTCGCAATATTCTTCTGCCTTTTATCATTTTGAATAAACTGCTAGGGAAATGTTGGAAGACTTGGATAGACAATTCACTCAGGGTGATAATCTTGTGACCGTTTGCCCAGTATTGTTATTCATGGTGAGGAGCAAATTCGAGAACGCTTAGAATAAAAATCGACTCTTGTCTGCCCAATTCGTATCCCGCAAGCTGTGCTGAATCGTCGAAGAATAAGGTGGTAGTCCGAGTACCAGAGTACAGTGAAGACCCTTACGAGGTGTCTTGCGATCAGGAGATTTTCATCGAACCTAAGCATTGAATATAAATTTAAATTATAAATTGTATTTATAAATTGTTCTCCAGCTCTTTGACCAGTGTATTTGGCGATAGTCGTTTAAAGCAAGGAGGGTTTTGGTTATCATTTAAGGACTATGGCACCGAATACTGTCTTAAGCGGACTGCAGCACTGGACACTAAATAAAATTGTAATTTTTTAATGCGATCCTAATTCCGATAATTAAATAAATGAAAATCAGTAAGAAAAAACTTTTTAATTTCTCATGTTTAATTTTGTTTTATTCTTCAGTTTATATACAACAACTTAGGACTAATTCGTTTCGGCAATAGTTAATCGTAGACTTAAGGCTAATGGATGGAATGATCTAAGTATACCACACAAAAAAACAACGGGCGGGCGTGTTCGTCTCTCTTGGTCTCTCTCAATCGTAATCTCGATTTTAAAAAGTATACTTTAAAGGCAAACTAAAAACTACGAAGCTGTGGGTGTTGAAACCCTAAGCGAAACTGACAAAGATATAATAAAAGATTTCTAAACTCAAAGAACAACATAAGGAATTTTCTTTAACTCTAAAAATTTAACTGGAATTACTTCTAGTTTTTTGTCAGATTCGCAGAGGGCTAAGAGTGAGTGTTAAATTAGAGTATGAAATGGATGACGACTCTTCCTCACATGGCCGTTTCCAGGGGCTGACTGTGACTGCGTCCGTTTGTTTGCAGGGGCTGCAGACCCCCCGTTCCACCATCCCCATCGAAATCTGTCTCGAGCAGGGCCTCCGACTTGGAGCGATGATACGGATTGGTCAGCGGCGAGGGGGTCGTCGGCGAGGACTCTTCGGATCCCGTCTGATAGACCGTCTTGGGGCGTCCGTGCGTCGGTCCACCCGGGGGCGCCAAATGTGGTGCGGCCGGCGGTTGGGCCAGTGGCCTCGGTGTTCGGTAGTGTGAAACTGGAGCCTTACTACTCCGCACGGCAGTGTAATAAGAGTCCGGACGTCGCATGTCCGCTGGAGTAACCTGCCGACTACTGGGCACAGCAGGCGCTGGACGGTACAGTGAAGACTCCGTGGAGTAGTTGAACTGGTCCAGCTTTTGATCGAAGGGCAGGGAGTCACCGCTACTTCGCTGCGGCATAAAGCTGCTGTGCGAGCTTCTCTGGTATTCGGGCAGGTTCTGTTTGAGTTCGCTGAGGAAGGCCAAGCCTGGTTGGCCACGTCTTCCGTTTGGAGTGCCTCCTCCTCCCTCAGTTCGCAGTGGCAAGGTACTGGCATTGCCATAATAATCGGAGCCACCCTCGTCGACCTCCTGATCGGTGTGATGTATGATCGGCGTATCCTCGGCCACACTGGTACTAACGGAATTGGCCCGAGTGCCACCGCCATAGGTGGAATTATCACGGAATCCCTCGTTCCGGTAGCTCAGCTCAAAGGCGTCGGGCTCCAAAGCGGCAGCAACAGCTCTCGCTCGATGGCCACTCGCCTTGGAAATGGTGGCCACCTTGTGATTCTGACCCTGATTATCCTGTACTGGTCTCAGGGAATTCTGATTCACATACTCGTTGTAATGCGGCTTCTGTTCATAGCCCTCAAAGCTGCCAGCCTCCGAACTTAGAACACTTTTGTCCATGGAATCTATGGAGCCATTCGCCACCATCTGCTTGTAGTCCTGACTCTTCGACAGTGTTCCATTGCTGGACATGTTCTGAACCCAAAGTAATAAAAGTAGTAAAAATAAAAATAAAATAAAAATCAACGATTAAATAAAACAAAAGCAAATCATACATAATTGGGTCTGCGGCGAAGGGAACCCTGCGGATCGATGCTGTTCAAGCTGCGCAAACTCTGGCGAATGCTGTTCCTTCGCTGGAGTCGCTGGACATGGCGGTGTTTTGATTTGGCAAACCAGCAGAAGGCCACCAGGATCAGCAGGATAATGGCGAGGACAAAGGCTGAGATAATACTGATGGCAAAGATGTCCGCACGCCAGGATAAGGGATCAATAATGACCTAAGAAAAATAAGATCAATAATATATGTCAAATTTCTTAAACTTCTTTTAGGATATCCTTACCCTAGGATCCATTTCGCATATGAAACCCCGCTCCTTGCCGCAATCCTCCAGTTCGATTTCTCCAAAAACAAAACTAGTACAGCGCTCAATGTGATTGTAGTCCTGAATCCAAACCTTATCGGGATACTTCAAGTGCCTCATCTGGCTTTGCAAATACTTCCACAGCGTTGTCTTATCGGTGCGTATAAAGGGCATTGTGGAGTTCTCAGAGCGACAGAAGTCCCGAGCTTCATGGAAAGTCATCGGAGCACCCACATAGATGAAGCAGGTATCGTGGACCAAGGCCCAACCAGGAGGACATTTACCATCCAAAATAGTCTCGTTGTTCATTTGGAAGGGCACGGCCAGGACCTCCAGTAGCATAGGATCGTCTGTTGGGATTTATAAGAGGATTAGTATTCTTATTCCATCTATTAATATTGGTAAAAACTCACCTGATTTATCTCTTATACGAGACTGCACCGAAATTGTATTATTATAGCTCCAATAATTGTGACGAGCATCGATCTTAGAGCTCCAGGTTTCAAAGGTCCTGGGTTAAGTGAAACAATAAATTAATGATTTCCCAAAAAAATTGTGCTTTGTTTTTATCTTACCTGTTTTCATAGTCAAAACTCAAACTACAGGTAGGAAAATGGTAGGAAATATAAAAAATGAAGTAAGAAATTAGATTCCCATTAATAGTTTAAAAAGTGAGATTAGAAGTAGAGCAATTGAAACAGTTTAGGTTTTTTTTAATAATAAAATAAGTAAAATTACGTTACTTACATGGAATTATTGACGGTTAGCAGCTCATAATCGTTTTCGTAGTTCTCGAAAATATTATCCACATACTGCTGACCCGCCGTTCCGGCCACAATTGTTGCCCTGGTCATCCAGTTGGTGGCAAAATTCCTAAAAACCAAGGTTATTAATTAAAAGAATTTTAAATCTTCTTTAGTATTTAAGGCTTACCTATAGAAACCATTGTGAGCCGTGGTCTGATAGATCTGCAGTCGCACCTTTTCGAAGCCAGAAACCTCCATAATTCTTCCGCCCACATTGCTGTGCACATAGTTATAGCTAAAGTTGGACACCACTTGACATAATCGTATCACATCCTCATAGCCAGCCATATTTTGGGCAAAGTAATTGCGATAGAGCTCTACTTCCTGATACGGCGATGATTGTCTTCCTTCCACATAAAGAGCGGGACGATTGCGGTTTCTCATAAAGAGATTGTGATGAACGAAGCCGCGAAGTGAGGTTGCAGAACCCCGAGAATCAGCTCGGATCCTTAGGCCTCCTTGATTTTCTGTGATCAGGTTGTTCTGGGGATTTCAAAATTATTATTATTGTTTTTTTTTTATTTTTTTTTTTATTATTTTTTTTATTTTTATTTATACTAAAGAGATCTCCCACTTACCATAAAGTACAATGAGTTCATGTTCTGCACATCCAAATTCAAAGCCGACGTGCAGGTGGAAAAGTTGCCATACAATTGTCGGCAATTCTTCTCTATCCGATTGCCTATCAAGGTCAAAGTGGGCGTGACCTCACCGGCAGAAGAATACGTAACTGCACCTTTCATCGCACCTGAGATATGAGTATCTGTGATATTGTGCAAGGCATCGCGATCTAAAAAGAGAAGTAACGATTTAATATGTAAGATTCAGATTAGATAGGGATAAACTTACATTGACCCAAAGTGGAAATGGGCACAGTCACGACCTCGGCTATAAAACCATGGGTTTCGGGAGCACCACTGGCCACCAACTGAAGACTCATCGTCGGTCCCTTCGTCTTGAAGAACGACCTTTGATTATCCGTATCCGATTCGATTTTACCCAAATAGGTGGCAGTCACATTGTAGATATCCCCATCGAAAAGCCTTATGAAATCGGTTCTGCCATATAGCTTGGAGTGATTAAAGAGATTGGATTGCAGCAATCGGAAACCTATGGGCTTTGCTCGAAAGGCGGAGGTGAAGATCTTCACACAGTTTACGGGATTATTATCGTACTTGTAGTAGATCAGCATACGCTCCTCAATGGTCAGCACCTTTTGGGGATCGCATATGTCCACCAGCGAGAAGAGTTTGTAGGGCAGATCCAGTTTTTTCAGCGGTGCAAAGCTAGATTCATCGCTATCGCGACCTTCGCCACTTAGCGATACAATGCTTATTCCCGTTCCCAATGTCTTGTTGATGTTCAGGTGATTCAAATTCAATTTACCACTCGGGGCTATCATATTGATGCCATGATTAGCCGAGTTCTCGATGCTCACCGAGGTTATGGATGGGTTCTTGTGAATCGCCTGAATGGCAGCCGCCTTGTGATTATGCAAAATGCCAGCCTGTTCAATGCGAACAAACTCTAGTTGACTCTCCCTCAATGGCAACCTCGCATGAGATCGTGTGTTGTGCAAACGATGTTCATATTGGATTTCCTCGAACTTGGAGTTGGCAAACCGTATGCCACCCCAATAAACCTCATCGTCGGCCATGCTATTGCAGCTGACAAAGACAAAGACATCATCCCAACGGCATTCATGGCGATGTCCATAGAGTTGACCATTCAACCGCTCGGCACAATCCTCCATTCGCTCCTCATCACCTCGGCACTCCAGTGGTTGAACCCATGACCAAATTCGTGTCAATGAGTTCGTGTGGAACTCTATCCTCCTATCATGTCCATAGTAAACATTCAAAGGATCATATCCGAGTTCTCGACAAACAACTTGGGCATTTCGCTCGGTGAATCGGCTATCACAAATGGGAACCCACTGAAGGGTGGTGTGATTGAAGTACTCCAGAAATCCCTCGTTCAATCCAAACATTCCATCGGCATCGCCCGTGCAATTATTCGCACTGGTGCAGAGTCTTATGGAATCGAATTCGGTTAGGGGAGCACTCATATCCTCCAGAGCTCGCTTCTTGGGCTGCGAATCGGTCAGAGATTCCCGAGTGGCATTCCTAAATGGTCTCATCACGATGGGTGATTCCTTGTAACCAATGGCCACTAGGGTACCCAAAACTAGAATTCCCACATTTGGTTCAAATTCCATTGTGACTCCATGGTTTATGGTCAAAGTTTTTCCAGGCATCACCGTGATATCCGAGTGTATATAGTAGGGTGTGCTCTGCTTCGTCAATATCAGGTCCTTGTACACCCTACCACCTCTATATGTGGCCAAATCTATCTCCTGATCCTGATTAAACGGCACCACCACCGAAACACTGGCATCGTAACTGTCTTCGATGAGGAAGGGTTGATATATAACATCCGCATGATCATTCCAGTTGTCAAAGTCAAAGATCTTGGCCTCTATAAAGGCGGTATCCTTGGTGCCCCACCAATTTTCCCTGGCCTCAAAGTAGTTGTTCAATCTGGCCGATCTCACGCCTGCCACCAGATTATAATCCATTTCATTCTCCGAAATCAGATTGCGATACAATCTGACATTCTGGACACCATCCAATCGAATCACAGAGGTGGGTACCTTGTGTTGCTTCTTAATTCGCCGCGCAGCTTTCATATAATGGTTTCTATAGTTTGCCGTCATGGTCACAATGCTGTTACCCTTAAAACTATTATATTCAATGCTAGCTGGTACTTGACCTATAATTTCACTCAGGGAATCGGCATTGAAGAGCATCACAAACTTGGCATTATTCGACTCGAAGCGATTGTTGTCGAAGCGCAGACGCTTTTCCATTCCATCGAGAGATATCAGAGCTCCCGGGCAATTATTCTCCCTAAAGACATTGGAGGTTATGTTGAAAACCGTGTAGTGACCGGAAACGGAAATGCGGAAGTCGCGATTCCTTTGCCAGGTGCTGTTGCCAAAATAGATCGAGTGGGTAAAATTCTCGTTGTACTGCCAGACATAAGGTAGGGCCACCTATAAAGAGATATTAGAACTTTAATACATTTTTAAGGATTAAAAACGTGGCTAGCACATTAATATATATGTTTAACTTGTAGTGCTAGAAATTTCAAATAAATAAAAAAAAAATAAAATAAATAAATACATTTTAATGATTACCTGAAAACCTCCATGAGTGTTCTGCTCCACCGTAGTATCCTGTATCACGTAATGGAAAAGATTATTGGAAGACCGCAGATCCTTTGACATTTGGCGTATTCCATGACCATTTTGGGTGATCGACGAACCATTCACATGCAAAGTAATCTCTGACAAATTACTGGAGATCACATCCCAAAAAGGTGACCTTATAAGTACAGCCTCTCGTTCGTTGAAGCTCAGTTCGGAATTTATAAGCTTGATCGATTCATTGGCTTTCCTTAGATAATACTCCCCATTATCGCCTATATAGCGATTGTAGTAAGTACCCGTGATTCCTCTCAGATTCTTTTGTATCTTCGTTGATCGGATGGTTAAAGTTGGCACCGCACCGCTTACAATGCGATTCCTGATGTTTTGAACTGGAGCGGTGACTGTACTTAGCATTAGGACAGCTCCTCCCAAAGCCTGCAAACCACTTTCGTAGTAAATGATAATGCCATAACTGCTGCTGGTGACGGGGAATACGTTCAAGTCCCTCTTTACATGCCACAAATCACTCCTTATATTCTCTGTTCTGGCATTCAGGATATTTAAGCTCTCCGTGGACAGGTTGTGAATGGGATTCAAGAGCTGGATACCTATGACATAGCCAGCTGGACACTGAACCACTATCTTCCTATTGATATTCTGTCCCAGGATCTCTTCGGTTCTAATGTACTTGTGCTCAAAGGTTCCCAAATCAATGTTGCTTAATTCGTGGGGCAAAATATAGGGATCGTAGTCCGTATCAAAGGAATTAAAGTCCGTGGCCATGTTAAACCACCCGCCGATTTCCTTTTGATCCAAGGCAGATATCACGGCATCATGCGAAATGCCGCTGCCTTTGTTGTCTTTGATAATCGATCCCGAGATCCTAAAGTCCAGTTGCTTGAGGCTAATGCCGCTTCCTCGATTGCCTGAGAACTCTGAGTTTTTGATGTTATTCACCGACTTTCCAGCATAGATATCGGAATATACGATTCCCAAACCGTCTTGTAGATTGTTCACCACCCTTACATTTTCCAAATTGTGACGGGCATGATCCATTTGAACTGCTGGCTTAAAGGCATTGGTGGTGTAGTCGAAGAGACCGGCCTTTTCCACCGTAACATATTGTAGATCAGCTCTTTCGGCTAGCATACTGAATCTTACCCCAGCCCAGGCGCCCTCATAACACCTCAGACCCACATCGTTCTCATGGCTACAGGTGTTTTCAAACTCGTACTCGGCTCTACACTTGGTAACGTCACGATCTTGTAGGGTACACCTGACATTGGCGATCAGAATATCCTCAGAGGTACCAGCATTTGGTAGCTGCGAACGAAGTAAACGCCAATCTTGGGGATTCAGGGAGTAACCCAATTGGTGGCAAACCAAGGCGGCATTCAGGACATTCCAACCGTAGTCGCAAACGGTACCCCATCTTCCCTTGAGATACACCTGAAGTCTTCCTTCGTTGGCACCAGCTCCTCCAACCAATCGAACCGGAACTCGGGGCACTCCATCCGAGGGTATCACTTCCGTTTCCATATCAATGGCCTCCGTTTCGCTATCCAAATCGACGGTCTCCGTCTCGTTGTGATCGCTCATAATCGTTTCTCTTTTGAGGGTAAAAAGTATATCATCGGGGCGACGTCCTCGGGCCTCCAACTTTCCAGCCACCATCATTCCCACGCTGGGTTCGAATTTGAGAGTGGTGCCGGGTTGAAGGATGAGCTTGCCACCCGGTCTTATGTTGATATCCTTGGTAACCGTATAGGTGCCAGCAGGAACCATATCCTGACCATCGACCTCGCCACCAATGATGTCGCTTCCCTCGTGGAAGAATCGCGGCACCACCGTGGAAACCGTAATCATGGCTGTGGAACCAGGATTCGAGCTGTGCAGCAGGTAAGGTATATAGGTGATCTTGGCCAGATTATAGCGATCGTTGCGATGGAAGAGTCGAGCGTAGATCTTATTCTCATCCGTGTGACCCAACCAATTGCAGGTGGCGTTGATAATCTTGCTTTGATCGGTCAGTTGAGAGCCAATCTCGTACATGGAATCCAGGTTGTGGAGGATATTCCGGAATATATCTATATTACTCGAACCCACGACAACGGGGGCTGCCACTCGAGATCGGGGATTTAAGCGACCGGCACCATCGCTTCCCTCAGATCCTGCTATTAAAGGACCAAAGGCTTCTGTGATATTATTTCCCCTCACAAAGTTCCTAGTAAAGAGTATATACTGTACTTCGGCTCTACTATAGGGCGATAGTCCCAGGGAAACCACATGTACACCACTGTTTCGCATAAAGTAGTTGCTCTGTATGATCAGCTTGACGGGAAAGTAATTAAACTCCGGATATATATAGTCGTTATTTACGAACAAACAGCCATAGGATCCATAACGAAACATGTTGTACTCAATTCTGCCCTGGAGATTCAAGGCGGGACTTAGATTTATCGAGTTTGCCTGGGAGTATTTAAACTGATTATGTCCTAGCTGCAGTTGCATATTGGGTCGTCCATTTTCGGTGGCCTGGTAACAGGATTCAATGAAAATATCATTCTGTTGACTGCCATTGAAGCTATTTCCCGTGATATTCACCCAAATGGGGCGACAGAAGTTGCCGTGAAAAACACCAGTCTCCAGATTTCCACCAATCTGTGAGTATTCCACAACGCTAGTTTGATTGAAGGGGATATATTCCATTCGACTAACATCGGAGGTTTGATTTAGCCAGGTGGCCACGCCATAACCTTTATTCGCAGTTAAAGCCGATCTGGAGATGTTACGATTACCACCATAATAGGTGATATTTACACCAGCTCCATTGTTGAAACTTATATTAGAACTGGTTATATTGACATCCCCGGCTCCACTGGTCACATGAACTCCAGCCACATGACCATTTCCCGAGACGGAACTACCGTGCACATGGAGTTTGGATCTGATATTATCGATGGCAACGCCACGACCTCCGTTGTCCTCCACAGTCGACTGGGAAACCCTGAGATCGTAGGCCACCGAATCGCCGGATGTCATGCGGAAGAAACCATTCAACTCCTGTCGGGCATCCGCTCGAATCCTCACAAACATTTTCTCCCTCGTCGAGGAGACACTTTGGGGCCTCGTAAAGTTCCGGGCCTTCCATTCAAACAGCAAACGATCATTGGTCGAAGCTCCATCGTAAATCTCCACGGTGGCCGTTTCATTTTGCATTAGCACAAAGTTTTCGAAATGGAGGGTTAGAAGATATCCAGGTCTTGTGAAGAAATACTTGCCACACTCTTTTCCCGATCCTGCATAATATTTCTGGGTAAACGAGAGGGAGATAGGATAAGTTTGCCCCGAGGTCGTGGGTAGAGTGCAAAAATCATATATGCTGGCACGATCTTTTCGCTCTGTTCCTCTCAAATCGTGACCCACATATTTCACTCCATCTCCGGCATTATCCACTATGGAACAGCCGTCCAGCTGCACGGATCCCTGACTCGAGTTGACGAATACTCCAATCCCATTGCATTTTCTAACCGTCACGTTTTGTAACTGAAATCCCGCCACGGGTCGTGTGCTATTAAATCCTGTGTACGCTGAGTGACTAATCACCACGTGTTCCATCTGGGGAGGTAATCCTTGGACTTCCACCGCCGACTTGGCACTGAAACCAGCGCCATTTCCTGCCCTTATGATATCCACATATTTCAAACGAGACTCTGACTGAGCGGCATAGACGATATTATCTCTGCCCAGCGCTTTTGTGGATGGGGCATTATCGAAATATATGCCACGCCAATGGCCCAAAGTTTCGGAGTGAACGGGCAGACATTGGATGCCCAGATCATTGTGATAATCGCAGGCCCCGGCGCCCATTTGTCGGGAGGTCCAGGCGCAGTTCTGTAGATTACTTTCGCCACCCCGGCACTTGGGCTGTTCGTATAGAAGTCGGGGATAATATCCCGCCGTTCGTTCCACCCAATTCCAGAAGCGACCGCCCCTGAAACCCAACTGCTTACAGGCCACTCCATAATCCGCCAATGTCCAACTATTGAGGGGTTAAAAAAAAAATAATTTATATAAAGATTTATATGGCTTACTTAGATGCTTACTTTCTGGAATTGGAGCATACGGATCGCCAGGCTCCCTTGTGGAAGAGCTGCAGTCTTCCCTCGACCGGAGTGGGTCCATCCACTAGTCGAATGCCCTTCTCCTGGTCATCGGGCAGTTCCAACTTATAGTTGTCCGTATTACTCTGCGATTTCAGAACTATTCTAGAGGTTGGTGTGCCCTAAAGAAGATATTTTTTGGGAAATTTAGTTGTTTCTTAAAATATATATTTTATTTACATTTTTAGACGGAAAAACCTGATTTTAATTACCCTATATTTAAGAAATCACTAAAATATAAATATATCTTCCAAGAAAATACAGGTTTGTCTAAGGTCAGGTCTATTAGAAATACTTCATAAGGGAAAATCAAATAACTAAAATAATTAAAAAATTTTAATAAATAAAAAAAAACATTATCAAAGTATTTATGAAAATATATCATATTTAATACTAAAATGTTGTATCCCATTCCTTTCACTATTTACTTAAATTATAAAAAATTAAAAAAAAGTATAATTAAAAACTCCCGAGAGTTGAGAAATAAAGAACGTAAATAATAACTATATTTCTTCTTCATTATTTTCCCAGTCAGTTATGTCTGCATTTTCTTTTCAGCTCACACATTTCACCTCGACTTTGTTTCTCTCACGTAGCATGCAATTATTTTCGTTTTCAATTATGATATCTTCTCGCCACTTGGCCTTCGTTTGCCAATGAAAATCGACATGATGAATACATAGTATATATAATTTTCAAACACCAATTGGGGCATCAATTAACACCTATGCTACGAAGATCTCCAAACAAAAAGTCGCCCACTCTCGCAAAACAGTTTTATTAAATTAACAGCAAAACGTTCTGAACTCTTAACCCATTAAGACACACACATGACTCATTAGTGTTTTGCATATCCCCAAAAAAAAGAAGAAAAACAGTAGTGTGAAATACACAATATCGAGGGCTTAGAATTGGCTTAAGAGTTTGACAAAGCTAATTTAATCATTTCCCTTTCGGTCTGTGGAATTGTCAATTATGCGACTCCGACATTCACTTAAATCTAATTAACCCCCGGTGACCCCTTGACCGCTGATTAAGGGGCTATAGATGTTAAGAACAGAGCGGAACATGCAAAGTGCACGTCATAATTGAGAGGAAGTCAACTGAACTTGGCTGACCCAATTATGGGGTTAAAGATGGAGAGAGCAGGCCCTAACCTACCACATATAATGCCCTATATGAATTCCATACTTTCCCGCTTTGTGGTTTGCAGTATCTCCCCCTTTTCAATGATGTGTAAATCAGACAATCGCAATCTTATCGCTGGCTATCAAAAGTCAACAATGAGAGAACTTCAGAACGAAACTTTTGTATGGAGCTTATCTATCACTAAGATTACTCATAGGTGGACCCTCGACGGCTGATACCAACAGGTGCCGCTTAATCATTCGCAAAACGCCTACAGGTGTAGACAAAAAATGGGATCCGACTTGGAAAATACCCTGTAAATATTATATTTTTTTTCTAAAAAATTTTAAATATTTGCATTGATAGGTTTAAAATAGTTTTATATTTATTGTCATAAGGTCGAGTTTTCCAAAAGTTAATAAATATTCAATATTTTGCTATATAGGTTTCAAGTAATTTAATATTTTTTTAAACATAAACAAGACAAAAGTTTTAAGGTTACTAAAAAAAATATTTTTCTTTATAGGTTTTTATTAATTTCGTATCTTTTAATAAAATTGCGTTTTTAATTTTCCTACATTATATGTAATAAATTGTAATGCCTATAACTTTTTCTTATCATAATCATTATGATGAATTAAATTGCATTACTTTATATTATTGGCAGTTTCAAAGCTAAAAATAAGATTTCATTATTGGATTTGTGTCCATTTCCCAAGCTTATTTCCTAGAAGCATTTTCTTTTCACCCTCTATATAAGGTTTCACCGCCAGTCAATCGTGCTCGAGTTACTTGGAGCTTTTCCTGCCACCCAGCCCATAATGAATTTCCCCCCATTAGGATTTTCCGACTTACCACCGCCTGCAGGACGCCGTTGATTTTGAGTCCTTTGGTTGGGGCAAATTCGATGGTAACACCCGGTTCGATGGTCAAACGGGCTCCTCGCAACACCTCCACATCCTCGCGTGCCAAGTAAGGACTCTCGCTGCGCCGAAGGATTCGGTCGCTGAGGATTTCCCCGCCTTGCAGTTCGGTGTACGAGGTCGATGACGTCATCGGGGGGGTGGAACTCGGTGGCGCCGCGGTGACGTCTGCGCCGGAATGTCGGGTTGCTGGCAAAAGTTGGGTGGCGCCATCGAGACTGGCGAACTCTATGTCATTATCCTGCAGCAATTCCACCTCTTTGGAGTCCTCTGTTTGTCGAATTTCCTGGCCCCTTGCCAAGTGGGTCGAAAAAATCAGCGTTACGACCGCCCATAAACATATGTTGGCCCATTTTGGATCCCTGGGGTCTTTAGTTTTTCGCTGGCAGTTGGTTTTATATCGTTGCAGCTTCATTTGTGCATCGTTTTCGTATCACTTTTCGTTGTCGTTAAATTTGGTTTACTTTTCCTTTTAATTAATTACTTCACTATGGGGTTTTTTATTACACATTCGCCATGGCAGTTTCGTGATTATTAAACAGCTGGTGAAAGGAAAAGGATTGGATATTGAGAATTTTATTAGATTTAGCTTCACAATTAGTATTTTATGGTTTTTATATTTTTTACACATTTATATATATTTTTTTTAACCATTTCACTTAATTTTTTAGAGCCACTTTTACCACTTTTAATTTTTTAAGTTTTTAAATAATTGTTTTCTTGTTTAAAATAGTTTTTCTCATTTTCTTTGTGTTTAAAGTCACTTTTCATGCATTATTTTGAGTATATTTAACCGCTTTTTAACAGTTTTTCATGCTTTTCAGTTATTGTTCACCAATTGTTGTTTTTTTCAACACCCAACCTCAAAAATCTTGAGATTTTCCAACCAGAAACATGAGAATTTTGGTGGGGTTTCATTGTTAACAAATTTTTGTGATAAGCCGCTAGAAGAACGGGCCCAAAAACAGAACCGAAAAAACAACAACAGAACTCCTACCAAAATACTCACACGCACAAACAAATATCAGCTTTTCTAACTTTTTTCTAGTTTTCCCATACAAAACACGTCCATACGCAAAGAACCGTTAGCAACGACTGAAAAACCGAGACGGTTTACTATACTGCACTACCCACCAAAAGAGGGAGATAGCGCGATGAAAAGAGTGGCTGAGTGAAAGAGAGAGACCGAGGGCGACGAAGAACAATAACAAAAGAAGTGAGGCAAACAAACAACAATATGTAAAATATTGGGGAGTTGTTGCTGGAATTCCCCCACTTTAGTAAAATAACTGTAAATGTGTAGGCATTTCATTCATGCCGAAAGAGAGCAAGCGAGAGCGAGGGAGATGGAGCGAAAGAGAGCGACGCACGCACCGCAAGTTCGTGTCTTTTTCCCCAAGTTTTCTTTAATTTTCCTTCGTTTACGTGTGCGTAGTAAGAAGAAAGCATTTCCACCTTCGACTTATGGGCTTTACCAAAACTTTCCCCCACCCTCAATTTACACAGAACGAAATTATACCAAACGAGGATCCGTAAAGAAATAATTGGAATGTATGTAGTTAGATAATTTCTTCCATTGGTTTTAAGATTGCATAAATATTTAAAATTTGGGAAACATTTTAGATTTTATAGAAAAAACAATTAAAGTCCTATAAAATATTTTGAATTGATAGGAATTTTATATAATTCTAATTCCTTATAATTAAAACGAAAAAAAACAAATTCTTTTTACTGGAAATGTTTAAAAACGTTATAATGTCTTGTTTATTGAATGAAAAATATTGTTAATTAGGGACTAATTATAAAGAATTTTCTCCTGTGCAATCCCCAACATTCTTGATAACCAGCATTTTAAATTTATCGAATATGCAAAGTAGCTTTAAGGAGAGGGGTTTTGGACGGGGGTAACGGGGACAACGGTGCGTGTGTGGATTGTATCTTGTATGTTCAATCTTTGTGTATGACGGTCGATGGATGTGACTCAACTGCAACGCTGAATGTTGTTTTTGTGGTTGCCGTGACTGCATTTGAAGTGCATTCAAAAGTTTATTGTCTGCCTTTTTATGGGTTTATTAACTTTAGTTTGGTTCGGTTTGCGCTTTGGCATTTGTGCGTTTCTCATAAGCTAAGTGAATGCACTAAAAGCGGGGCTCTCTTTAAGTTGCGCTTAAAAAATCAATAAGCTTGATCAGTTTTCCCTTCTTATAAAATTTAATTTAAACTAGAAATGAGTGCTTCTTTGTTTCTATATCGAAGAAAGTTCATGAAAAGGTTTAAAGTACCTTAAGACATTAAATGATAAGATAAGAAGGATATTCAATAGAGTGCAAAAAAGTTCATTTCTAAAAATACACTTCATAAGTCGTAAAACTTCTGGTGCATTATATAATTTACTTAGTTCTTTAAATAAGAGTATCTTTCTAAACAGAATTTTAAACTAGTTCTCCAAACTTCTTTTTTAACCCAGAATACCTTCTAAATCTGTTGTATTCAATTCCCATAGCAGAGTTCTAGTTTGATTGAGCTTTCTCTGAATGGTTCGGTGATGTGAAAGGGTTTTCCCGCTGTGCAGCTGTTTTTTGGTCAATTTTACAGCAATTTAATTTAGTTTCCGTTCTACCGAAAAGAGTTCAACAACCCGATGAACTAAAATTGCTAGAACAATTCCAATTGTCTAAACAATTTTATGGTCGTTTGAGGTCTCGTTATTGTCCAATTTGTTTGGATCTAAATATGTAGAATTTGTTAGTCATTTGCCGGCTTCAATGATTGTTAGATGACTAATACAACCCACTGCTCATATGATAGTATTCCTCTCCGTCTCTCTACATATGTATTTCTATCTGAGAGACTGTCATTGATGATGCGCACCGCGCTAAAATGTTAATTAGCTTGACCAGCGAACTTTGCATTCGCATTATCTCTGAATTTTATGGGTACACATGCACTGCATCTATTTAATTTCCTAGAAATGGTGTTTCAAAAGAACATTTTTTAGTTGCTTAATTTTTGGAAAAAAAATAATTAAACTTGTTACACTTAAGTCACAAATTATCTTTCTGAACGAAGAAACATTAAACCAACTTTATTAAAATAAAGTACAGAGTATCTTTCAGTCCTTAAACCTGTTTGTTTAAGTTTCACTTTTATCTATGGGATTTTATAATGCACCGGGAATATCTTCGGTCTTTGTTTTGCCTTTCCTTATCTACATCAAATGATTGATAATGCCCAACTTCCTCTTACGTATGCGAAAATGTTCTTTTAATTCACTTTTTTCCACCTTTTTACTACCGACCTGTTGTAACCAGAATGGCAACGCGTCATCGGCTTCCATATTCAATTGCCAGTTGAATGACTAATGCGGAACGGAAGTAGCAGAGGAACTCCGAGAGGAACTCGACTATTGGGAACAACCTGTCTATAAAGAGGGATAGGATACAAGGGAGCTCACACAGCGGTATTAAACAAGTGCAACCAACGTTGCGGCTCGCTGAACGCATCGACTTAAAAGTTGCAGTTGCAGTTTATTGGCCACAAACCAACGCAAAAAAAAATAATACAAAAAGAAGGAAAAAACTGCCGTAGATGGGGCAATTAGTTGCTGCCAAGAAAGCGTGCAAAAATAGGAAGAAACAGAGCAGCAGCTAACAGAATTTTCGGATCCAATCTTTGCACTCCAGTGGTTTTCTTTTCGCTCAGAAGAATCTAAGAAACGAAATTTTAAGTAATAATCCCTTAAAAGCCCTTACTTGTTCTCCAAAAATTAAATTTATTTTTATGAATCATAAATCACTAAGACTGTTTTAAGCAGCACATGTTTTTGCGGTGGAAAATGAATGGTTATTTTTAATTTTTACCAATTAAAGACACTAATTTAACACATAAATTATATATTTATTTTCATCCGTGCTAAAAAAAATCACTTTTTTTTTAAGAACCGCTTCTTTTTAAATTCGAAATTGTTGAATTAAGGATCTTTTTCCTGCTGAATCACATAGACCATCAATTTTTAAGTGGTACACAATCGTAAAAACAATTCTTCCACTCCAGAATCCTATCTCTTTTAAGCCGTAACTTAATGCGCGTCTTGTATGTTTTCTTTGTGTACTCCACTTGGCATTTCACAGGTATTGGTGTGTTTGGTAATACTTTTTTGGTGGTGCCACCAACACAACCTCACTTTTTGGCCCAAAGCTTTGGCTTTTCACTCATGGTTTTCTTTTAAAATATTCAATTTAGCCACTACTTTATCAAATATATTTTTCGTATTTCTTTTCCGTTATTATTTTATGCGTTTTGAAATGGTTTTTGCTAACATTTTAGCAGCAACACTTTTCGCATTTAAGGCGCGGTCAGTTGGCGATCACTCACACTCTGAAGAACCGACTGTACGTATACGTGACAGCCAAGAGAAAAAACAACAAAGCACCGTTGAGATCAATAAGTTACTACTGCCAAGCGTTATTTTCCCCGATCAAGCGCACACGTCCAACAGCGAACACCTTCTGAACCGAACTGAGTATCGTTGCTCAAAGCTGAAAAACTGAATAAACCGACTCGTTGAGCGGCACAGAGCGCATTGAGTTCGGAAGAGAGGAGCCAGCGTATCCAAAAGTGGCCAAGTAAACCCATCTGGTATAGACCAAGAGCTTTCTGTGTTTCAGGCGGCGGGAGAACGTTACCTCTGAAATGTCAGTTACTCCAGTCCACTCTCAGTTACCTTGGCCGAAATACTAAAATGCAGCAGCCAAAGCTTCGGGTTCCAGCCACAAAACAGAGTTGCTAACTTGACCTGTTGCCGTTGGTAGCCGTTTAACAGTCGCCCGACTTGTGGGTGGTTTGTGGATCTGTTAAACCTCAGTTGAATGTTACAAAAGTTCGGAATTGGTTATCACTATGATTATTATGAGCAAAGGGCTTTAAAAATTTAAAAAGATGTAAGGCTAATTTTTATAGAAATTCTGTAAAGTATTTTCCTTACAGCTGCAAGTTTATTTCCAATATTAGTTTGCACATCTTGAAGTTGATTTTACATCTTTTTGAGTCTTTCATGACAGTCTTCGAAGTCCCGTCCAAAGACTTTTCCATCGCCTTCTATCCTATCCAGTTTGTATTGGTTTTTGCTTAAGCTAAGATTAAACTTGGCCATGTGATGATAATGAGATCCCAGGGCAGATAAGCAAAATGCGCCGTATTGTTGTGGAGCATTTGTAAGGATACATCTTTCGCTTGAATCCTGTGAAGAATCAACTGAGGGCCCATAAAGATTCAGTAGGATTACTAAGTAAAACATGTAGTGGCTGGACTTTAACATTTTTTGACGAGTGCCCAAACCAACGAAGGCGAAAGGCAGAAGTAAACTGCCTTTAGAAGGAAACGTTTTGTTTTGTACATATCTCTGAAAAGCGATAAAACCATAACTGGTAAAAGTCTGTAACTGACTCTGATCAGAAAATCCAGTGTATAAGCTAAAATTAGCTATTAAGATGAGAGAAAAAGTAAATAAATTCCCATAATTAAGTGCAAGAAAAAATATTATAATATTCGCTGGATGGGTATAACAAAGTCGGTCAAAAATCATCATAAACCATGGCTCAGTGGCGCTACCTCTTTTTTTATAGGAACTATTTGTAAAAAGCGCCACCACTGAAGTGGCGTTATCGGGAACTAAGAGATCTTGAATGATATCCACCATGGCGCCACATTTGTGGCAGAAGTTGGTACTAAAAGAACTAGCGCCACCTAGGCAGCCGTAAGAAGTACTAAGATTTTGAAATCCCCGGATCTTTAGAAACATGGAAGGAAATGAGGTATGATTCAAAGCCTCTTCATTAAATCATACATAGTTTAATCATACATTGTTATTGATTAAATATTTTTTTCATTGCAAAATGTAGATAAGGTACGGTACGTAACAATCATTGTAAAATTCGATTTGTCTTGGAGACTAACGCAAGGTCATCATATTGACAAACTCCTCAAAATTGATGTGATTGTCCTGATCGATGTCGTACTCGCGAATCATTTCCTCCAGCTCGTCCTCGCCGAGTTTTTCGCCCAGAGCCATGAAGACAGCCCTCAATTCCGTGGTAGAAATGTAACCGTTGTTCTCCTTGTCAAAAACGCGGAACGAATCGCGCAGCTCATCCTCCTTACTTGTGTCGCGCATCTTGCGCAGAATTACTCCGTAAAACTCTTCAGCCGAAATGGATCCATTGCCATCCGAATCCACCTCATTGATCATCGACTGCACCTCGGATTCGTTGGGCTGGCGACCCAAAGCGCGAATCACTACGCCCAACTCCTTGGAGGTAATGGCTCCCTCGTTCTCCTTGTCCAAGATCCGAAAGGTCTGTTTAAGCAGATCCTGCTCCTCCTTCGATAATTCATCCATTTCGCTTGGTAGATAATACGGAAAAAGAATGTTTATGTTTCAAACTATAGAGCTCAACTAAACTTTTACCACACACTCGTTTGTTAGTTGCAAATGAGTGATTTTTACAGTGCCCTAGGATTGAAAACTATTATTATAGAAATCAAAAATAGGATTTCGGTGATCCGTTCGTATGCATTTTTATCCTAATTCTAAATAGTTTACAGTTCTTTTCCTCATGAAATATTAAAAATTCCTATCTGTATAAATTTACCGTATTAGGGTATTTCCTTTTCTCTTACCATTTACCAACATTTTTAATAAGCCTTAATTTCTAGTAAAATTTGGTTTTGCATATTTATTCAATTTGTGATAAAAATAAAAAGACCATTATCGTTTTCTTTTGTGAATATCCGAGCATTCTCACGCACCGTTTGGCAATCCACATCACGTGCTTTCCTGGACCCCAGATGATATCATCTCGAGGAGAAACTTTGCGGCTTTACGCGAATTATTTTATAGTTGAACCAGAAATTGATGTCATCAGGGGGGGGAAAAATATATTCCGCCCATTGAGGAAATTCCAGGAAGCCAACAGACAACTCCAACTGGCGGTGATGACAATTTGCCTGGCATTTTAATTGAACTTTCTACGTGTTCGAGTGGTGTACTTTGATTCCAGCCCCATCCAGCCGATTTTTCGTCGATTTGAGTCAATGTTAAAGGCGTTGCCACAAACCGCAAACTGTCGTGTCTAGGAGAAGGTCGGGGAGGGGCCTCGAAACGTGCCTGAAGTATTATTACCGCCTGTGTCTGTGATTGATGGCCTCATGCGAGTGAGTCAGTGGATTTTTATAACTCTACGCAGATCCCTCCCTTCAATCAAGCGGCAAAAAATCTGGACATCGATCTCTCTTGGATATAAGCTAACTTTATTTCAAATTAACTTGCCAAAGTGCTTTGAACAAAGTGGAAAAGAGTGGCAGCCTTGGCATTCTTAAAAGATCGATAAATATTTTAAATCGGTAACCAAAAATAAAGGTATTACTTTGTAAAGAAGAATATATTTTTAATTCACTGATTTTTTCGCCTCAGATCCCGTCCCAAAAAATAAACACCATTCTTTCAATATTAATGCAATCTTTATTTGAAATAAACTAACTCGCTATGGTTTGAATAAAATCATTTAAAATTGAAGGAAGACCATGGAACTCTAGTGGGCTGCTTACCATAACTACTACGAAACTCTTAAAAACTAGGCCTAATTACATAAGGTTCAACTGGAATGTTGCTTGTAGTTTTGATTTTGTTAAATGCTCTGTTTTACACTAACTTTTACTTTCAACCATTTTTTTCCCTACAGCGCAAAATCGATTTACGATTTTGTTTACTCATTAAGATTAGCTTACCGGATAAGGAAACATAAATAAAAAATTGGAATTCACTCAAAAAAAGACAACACTTAGTGTTGGGGCGGCTACACACACATAAAAAACTAATCGATAGACTCTCGCGTACTAAAAAAGGCTTAAACAACTAAAATGGGCAGATTTAGGCTAAGTTCCTAACACATAAGGGATCTATAAAATGCAACAACAGAGTTTCTTTTCGCTTACAATTATCGCTTAGGGGTGTAACTGCTTTTAATTACTTAGTTTAGGTTTATTGCCTTGCCTAGACATTGTACTAAAAACGTATTAAAACTTGGCTGTTAATTTAATGTACTTTTACGCGTCCAAAATGGGGAATACCCCTCGATTGGCCATTGGGAACAATTTTCTGTTTGATTTATCATTGTTTGAATTTGGCGAAAACGGAATTGTAACTCTCGATTTTCAACTACATATGTAGATCTTCTGTATATGGAATGATTATTGTCTCTGGTGATTTGAAATCATTTGAAATGGCGCCTAAAAGTATTCAATGCAAATTATTCTCGATATTTAATTGGAGTTTTCTTTTCAAAACATCGATAGTGTCAAAATATCGAAAAAATCGATAATTTTCAAGCTTTTTTTTCTAGTGATTTCAAGTCGCACAATTCCGAAATCACCAACTGTTATTATTATTTGTATTATTTTCAACGTCTCATTATATCCTCAATGCTGAATCCAGTTCTTCTGGGTGGTGCAGGCGGTGGTGCTATGGGTGGTGCTGCCACAGGTGGTGCTGCTTTTTCGGTGGTTGCCCCACTAGTTTCTGTGCTCGGTGGTTTACCCAGTAGTTGCCTCGGTGGATGTCGCGACATATTCAGAGCATATATACTAGGATTATCTACGAAGGTCCTTGGACCCAAGCCCACCGGATGGTGGTGCGGATCCATCATATCCAGCGGTGGTGCTGGAAGAATCCTCTTTCGCATCGGAATCGAACCCAAAAAGCTGGGCATAGCTTCGTGTGGTGAGTGCAGCGGTTGATTGGGTGGTGGTTTACCCGATTCCGGTTGGGTGATGATGGTGGGTGGTGTGTGTGGTGGCGGTGGTGCTGCTCCCTTCGAGAGGTTCAAGCTCTTGTGGTGCAAGTCGCGTCGGACGTGGAGAATGGGTAAATAGGGATCTCCATTGGGTGGAAGTAATGGAATTGGATGATGGTGAGTTGGTGGTGGTGGTGGAGCTCCTGGTGGTGGTGCTCCTGGTGGTGCAGCTGCCCCAGGATATCTCACAAAAGAGGGTGGAACTGGTAAACTGGTAATGCCAGGATCCTCGAAATGCTTCTCCCCATGTGGCCGCATTGTGTAGGTCTCGCCACCTTCGTGATGACAGTGGGTCACTCCCTGGCGTTCTCCAGGCTTGGTGACCAACTGACCCACTGAAGCCGATGGCTGTGTGGAGGAGGCAGCCTTGCTGGCCTGGAAACGAGCCACAAGAGCCACCTCCGCCTGTTCCTCGTCCTCGGGATCAAAGTCCTCCTCCTCGTCCCTTTGCAGATCATGAACTCTGGCTGGCAAATCCTGCAGCTCCTCCTCCTCATCGAAGTCATCGAACTCCTCTTCACTTTCCTCCTGATCAATGGCTGCCTTGCGCTTGAGTCTCATTCTTTCGGACTCGGATTTCTCACTTGGATTAGTGGAATCTCCTAAATTATGAACCGGCGACTGACGTGGCGAGTCGACCTCCAGCAGGGAATCCTCCTCATCGCCACTCAGATTCCTGGCCTCATCCTCCTCGCCCACGTCCACATAATCCCCCGAGTTGACCTCACCCACTGCATGGGTCAAGGCATGACGACGAAGGTCACAGTTCCTTCGGAAGACTTTGCCACACGACGAACACTCGTAGGGTTTGTGATCCGTGTGGGTGAGCAGATGGGTCTTCAGATTGGAACGCTGATTGAACGAACGACTGCAAACGGGGCATTTGTGCGGCGATTCCTCCATATGCAGGATCTTGTGGACAGCCAGGGTCCTCGATTGGCAGAAGCCCTTGCCGCATTCCGTGCACTTGAAGGGTTTCTCCTTGGAGTGGATATACCTGGATTAAAAGTGGCGAGAAAAGGTGAAACAATTAGACTTTGTTATTACTGCGAGGGCGTTTTATGTTTTCCTGGTAGCTGCAATTGGTAGCCAATCAGGTTGACAGTTATCTCTGCTCAAATGCAACCTTAACGTGAACCCCCGCAAAAAAAGAGATAATGCTCACTTATATACAGCCTTTAAATACCCTAACTGAGGATATTATAGGTCCTATCATGGGTTAAGAAAAATGTAATTTTTATATCTTATATTTCTAAAAAAATCCCCGAATGCTCTGCATACCTCCATCTCACTCGCACTCTCTTTAGCTGAGTACTTTTGTTTAATTTAATCAAATTTACTTTTAATATTTTCCTATCGTAAATCTTTAAAACATCCTTCTTACTAAAAAGGGTATTTAACTTTCGTGTCTGCGATCGCCTTGCATTAATTTTTTATGTTTATGGCGGCCATCTTGGCAATGGCGTCCACTTGTTGTTGGATTTAGCAGCAGCTTCAGTTAAAAGTTTAAGTCCCCATCACCGACGGAGCCTCAGAGATTCAGCATCGCATCGGAGGCAGCAGCAGCAGCTGCTGGTGAAAAAAAATACAAAATAAAACCCAAAACAGGTTCTGTCTCTCTGTGGCTCTGGGGCCCCGAGATTCATCTCCCATGCTCGGCGCGTTTCTGGTCAAAAAAAAAATACAACAAAAAAATAAAGAAGAATTAGCCCCGCGGCAAAGCAAACAAACGACAAATGGACCGATACCGAACGATCAAAAGACAGAACGCTCGGACAGGCCGACACATTGAAGTCGGGATGGTGGATGCTGGAGACCTGCTGCATCGGGATATATAGACCCGATATACAAGGCCCCCAACCCCTTGGCCGACCCTCGGTTTTAATGCTGGTGGAGGAGCCCCAAAGGAAAACCAAACAGAGTTAATTAACTTTGTGTTGTACTCTTCGGGTAAGATGGAGTTTTACTGGCTGTCGGAGGAGCTCTGATTTCGGTCTCTTTTTATGAGGGAAAATTTTTCTTGGACTGGGGTAAGAAAATTCTACGAGAGGAAGGGACATTTCTCGGAAAATTCCGTTCGTTTTATGTCTAAGCGATTATCTGATAATTTTTAATCCAAAATTTACATTTACCTCCATTAAAAAATTTAAATTAAAGTTTTGATCCTTTTCCTATCTTTCAAATGTTGAGTTGAAGAAATAAAAAATAGTTTGCTGTGTTTTAAAATTCTTTAAGATTATGATTTAACATCAAAATGTTTTAAAATCTGTTCTAAAAAATTTTAAAAACATTAAAGTAAGTACTTAATATACCTAAAAATTAAAAATTAATTTTTTTTTAAATCTGCTATCAAACTGTCTGATTTGTGCGTGTTTTTCATTCTTTACTGCCTTTCTTAACCTTTTTATTTTACGATTTTAGGATTATCTTTTTTTTATTAATGTTATCAGTTAAACTTAAAACTTAATTATAAATTTTTGAAAAGCTTTAAGGACAAAATACTAGTTATCTTCCATTTAAGAGAATCTACAAATTCGTCTATCAATCGCACATTGAAATCCCAACATAACTGCAGGCCTGAATGGCAATTACCAGAGCAGATACTCCCCCTTCTGTATTTTTCTGTATCCCCAATCCCAGTCCCATTCCAGTCCCAACTCACCTGTGATCCCTTAGGTGATCCTGTCGCCGGAACGCCTTGCCGCAGATATCACAGGAATAGGGCCGCTCGTCCGTGTGGGTCCTCTCGTGGATGAGCAGGTTGTACGACTTGGTGAACTGTCGGTTGCAGAACTTGCAGATGAACTGCTTCTTGGGCCGGGAAGCCCTTCCAGGCGCCCTCAGCAGGCGTCTATCCAAGCCGGCATGCATCCCAGGACCCAAACCAGGTGGAAAAAGAGCAGCGGCTGCGGCGGCGGCTCCCGGGGGAAAGGGGAAACTGCCGGCTCCCGTGGGCGAAGGTCCGGGTCCGGTGAGATATGGCGGAGGTGGCACACCAGCGGGTCCATAGAGCACTCCCGGTGGCGGTCCAGGTCCTCCTGGGCCTCCAGGACCTCGGCCCAACATGGCTGCTGCCGCAGCGGCTTCTCGAAGAGCCAGCTCCTTCCGCTTATCCGCCATCATGGCAATGATTTCGTAATTGGAATTACTACCGGGCCGCACCTTCCCGGTGGGCAGAACCGGCACAAAGGCAGAGATCTCACGGTGGTGCGATGGCGGTGCCGGCGGTGGTGGACCATGTAGACCCGCCAAGTGCTGCTGATAGGCCAGCTGTGTTTCATACGCCGAGATCCGGCTGGCCGATGAGTTGCGCGAATCGCCGGAGCCACCATTATCCGATCCAGATCCTCCGTTCCCATTCCTTTCCAGGGCACCAACACCACCACCACCCACCGCCGCCGCTGCCGCCGCCATCGAGTTCATAAACTGATCCATCCGCGAAGGTCGCATCATGGGCACCGCACCACCCCCTCCTCCGCCGGAGATCTCGCTGGATGAGCTTTCCGTGGGCATTGCTATTGGTGGGGCTCTTCACATTCCGTTGGAACTGCCGGGAGATACGGAGAAAAAAAAAACCAAACATTAAATAAGGGTGGTGGTAAATAACAATTAGTAGGCGATTGTGCTCGGGTTAATTGGGCTCTCGTTTTTTTAGGGGCTTATCTTAATTGCGAGCCAAGTGCAATAAACAGTTATTTCCACGTTGAATTTTTATAGCACTTAGGGTAGTACGGGGTATGATTATCACGTGGGCTAAGTGGTTTTAAGAAGATTTTTTTGTGGTAAGGAAGTATTACGATTTTATTGGCGTAGGATAGCATTCAGCATAATAACTTATCGTAACTCAGCTTCTGTTTGAGATATAACTTTGTAATCTGGTATATGAGTTTTGGGGGTTAAACTAAACATAACTATGCGCTTCTTAGATTTAAATTTTAAATATTAACCGTAATAACCTATGGTAACTCAGCTTCTGTTTGAGATATTAAATTGTAATTTGGTATGTGAGTTTTAGGGGTTATTCTAAGCATACCTATGCACTTTTAAGACCAACATTTTAAATCGGTTCACGCGGAATCCTTAAATATCATTTCTTGTCTCAGTGCTGTTGTAACTCACTTTTAATGCACCCCAAATTCTTCAAATTTGTTTTTTGCACTTCTTATCAGCGAATAAAACAGCTTAAACAATAAGCTTGCAAATAGCCCGAGTGAACAAATAAACACATCACTCAAAAGATGAATATTCAGAATTTATCCACGTGAACGCGCTTTATCACTTAATAAAAAGAAAACAAATTTTTCCAGAAAATTACCTATGGTATCACAAAATGTATTTTTTCACAGGGTAACTAAAAAGTTTATCACATTATGGCCCTAGTCTATTGTTGTTTTTGTGTTTTTTCCATATGAATTTTATTATTATTAGTGCCGCCGTTGCTGTTGTTGTTGGTTTATTATTATCAGCGGACTGCCGACGACGACGAGTGAAACTAAACTGAAAACGAGTCGCAGTTTGGCACCGCGATCGGGTGCTTCCAGTGCGCAGGTTAGATAAGATTGTGCGTCTAAAAAAACCTGCCTCCGAACCTCTGGGTTTCTGGGGTCTCTGAGTAAGCAGCACAGTAGTAACGATATAAACACACACTCTCTCGCGTATGTATGTATATGTTTATATATCTCCCAGATACAGATACAAATACAGATGCAGATACAGAGGCAGGCAGCCAAGTTGCCGTCGGTTTTGGTAAATGACTCGAACCGAACTCGACCGACTGCTTACTGGATTTACGCAACAGGAGCCTCGACTTCTGAGTGCCTCGACTTCTCGGAGAGAAAAGGGGGCAGGGGCTCGGGCTACGAAACGTGATCATCACGATAATAACAAAATAATGCAGATAATAATGATCACAATGATGGCCGGGACCATAAAATTTGTGGCCCCATCTCGCAAACGCTTCTTGCTGCCATCTTAAAGCTTTGCACAGGAAAAAAGTTACCGTTTCTATAGAAAAATTTACAAGATATATATTAGATAATATTATATGTTTCCCATCCCTCGTATAAATGGTCAAATTACACAATACAATATTGGAAGTATTTTAAAACCTATTTTGGTTCCTTTTATTTAAATAAACAAGAATAAAATCATAAAAGTGATACTAAAATGCCTTTTATATCTTAAATCAAATTTTTTATAATTTCCAGAAGTTATCCCAATTTTTGATCAGTGTACTTTCCTCATTTAAATTTATAACCAGTTGCCCGCAGACGAAAAAGCATAAAAAATAACCCTGCTGTCGGTGCAATGACAGTTTTGCTTATCATTTGCTAGAATCGTTCTCGCTGTCTCTCGGTAGATTTTAATGCAAAATGCTGCAACGTCATCAAGATCAACATTAGCATTCAGCCAACATCAAGCAAAGTGATCGTCATAGTTGGGTAAAAAAATAAAATTAAAGCTTGGCCAAGATTTTGTGGCAGCTGAAGAGGCGCCCATTGTTGGAGATACCGTTCTTTTTTTTCTTTTGGATGACTAGCTCAGGGGGTCTTATCTATGGAAATAATTTTGGCATTGTCTGGCTGGAGAGTGCGCTGTCAGATTAGCTCTATAAAGTAGCTGAAATCATGACTTGATCATGGGTATATCATTGTTGTGGTCTTTGGGGGAATGACTCCGCGCAGTTCAAGTGGAAGAAATATAACGAGATCCAAATAGGTAATTCAAATATATGTCAAAAGTGGGTAGGTCTTATCGTGAATCTGTAGTGGAAATTTTAATAATCTTTTTACAATAACTAAATACAAAAATTATATTTAAAGTTATTAAACATGATTTACATTATAAAACCTATCACAAAGTTCCCATTAATAACCATACACATGGAAACTTACTCTTTTTATAATCTTATACAATAACTAAATACAACAATTATTGTTAAAGGTATTGAACATGATTTACATTATAAGACCTATTATAAAGGTCCCATCACTAACCATACCCAATCGAAATTTACTCATTCTCTCTGATATCATAAGCACATGCCAAAGTAATCCTCACTTTTATTAGATAGTAATTGGATAATACGTCTGCTTCGAAGCCATTTAATGGTAGCAAGCCCCACGCAGTATTTCTAATCTAACCCACGTTGAGTTCTCCTGCCCTCGCTGATAATCTGTCGCATTCTATCTATATTGGATTCAATAAAGAACTTATCTGATCTTTTTATGACACACTGGGCTCTAATAAATCCCCCCACATAGGCGGACCCTTTGGGTTTTAGATGAGCGATGGCCCCGTAATATCTCATTCGATTACGATCCCGATAATCCCCCACCATTTTCGGCTCACGTATTTCTGGTAGCCTGGAAATAAATATATAACCCGTTTTGGGTTTTCGTAGATATAATTTTTCCTCGATCTCGGTACTTTTTCTAGGTTTTGTTTCCTCTTTTTTGCATTTACGACGTACCCACGTTTTAACCCACACCACACCCTGTGCACATACAATGTACAATTCAGCGTTCATTATCTGTTTTTTTTTTTGAAACATCGGCACTTTTGAAAACGTCAAGCCAAATAAGAAAAACAAATAAAATTCATGTAAATAATGGACATCATCAGCAAAAGCGACGGCACGTAGACTGCCGTAGAAATATTGAGAGAGAGTTGTGCTGTGGGCACAGATACATTTACCGATGCCGAGATACAAAGATACTCGTACTGAAAGATCCACAGATACAGATACATCGAGACGTTTGCGCAAACGGTTGCCCAGCAAATGAAGCCAAAGGCTTAAAGTTCCCAATATGCGTCTGTGCACTGTAAGAAATTACTGTCCAACCATATCTAAAGATCTAAATATATTTTTTCGATACCTCAATCTTTCTTTAGGTTCCAAAATTAAAAAATGTTGGAAGTAAGGGACTTTTCCTTAAAATATATGATTATTAACGATAAAAAAGATCGATAGCTAAAATCGATATTATCGATTAAGTATTCTAACAGCTCTATTTAATATCATTATAAATACGAGCGGAGCTTTAAAATTCGAAAAAATATAGTCAAATCATTGATCTCATTTCTTTCTCTGTATCGTACATATAATAAAAAGAGCCAGAAGACCAACTACTGCTGGGAGGAAAATAAAAGATATCGAGGAGCAATTTGGCTGCCACTTTTTTCCCTCCTCCTCTTCTTGGGCCCTCTTGCCTCTTTTTCTTAGTTTTCTGGGTCCGGGATCGGTTCGTTTGCTGGGTTTTTGTGTGTAAACATCTGAGGCCAGCAGAAACCCAGGGCCCAGCAGAGTGAAAAGGTTTCAGTTGATAAAATAAAAAAAAAAACAGAAAAATATACAAACACACACATACACACACTGGGCAAACGGATTTAGTGTTTGTATAGAAAACGCAGAGAGTTGGGGAGGCGAGTTTGTCCCTCTGATGATGGCCTACGATGGTTGGAAATGTCCATGCGTCTTACTGCCCAGCACTTAAGTGTTAAAAGGGGTATATCGGGTTACTCGCAGCGGTAAAAACGATCCATCAAAACCTAATCGATCTAAAGTATCTGTGTAGAACTTATAGAATACATTAGTTTAAATCAGTAGGTCAAAAAACAATGTAATAATCATTCTAACAACCAAATCAAACTATTAGAGAACTAACCCGATATCTATTTTTATGAGTTATATATTTTTTAAGACATTTAATTTATTAATATGATATTGTAAAATATTTTGTCTAGGGATTTAACCAAAGGTTACATTAAAGTTAACTAAAATTTAAACTAAAAGACAGTTAACAACTATACAACTACTATAAGTAATTGATGGTCTAAAATATATCGAAGTTAAGATTATGAGAAATGGAATTAAAAATCATAGGGCACTTCGCTAGTTTATCAGTAAACCTGCATTTCTGACCATATCTTCTGGGCCGAGTGCTTACCGGGGTCCCCATATGCACTTCAGTTTGCTTACAAAACACCAGCCAACAACAACAAACAAGCCAGAAGATGATGACGATGGAAAGTGGAGTGGTGGGAGGAGTTCCTCGGAGGAGAAGGAGGAGAAGAATGGGTATTACGGGTGAAGTGAGGTAAGGGAAAAAGGGTCGCCGACATCTGCTTTTGCAGTAAAGAATGCTCTTGGTCAGCCAGGTTGTTTTTAATCCCTTCGGGATACTTTTTTCCTTTCCTCCGTGTGTTTAGATATATGTTCGTGTGAAGGTAGCTAATAATCAAGACAGCGAAGAAGGGACGGGACGAAAAACGCCGCAGACTTATAATTATAGTCGAAGAGGAGAACCAAGAAAATAACAAAAAAGAGACCTGCACTTCACATGCGTTAATCTGAAAACCCTTTCGGGCCCAAGCAGCATCTGAGATTATAGTCAAAGCTATTAAAAATCTAGCATAATCATTGCCCATGGTGGAAAACAAGTTGCGTTGCTGTTTTCTCTGCGTTTTTTCGCTCCCGAGGTAGGCAGGCGATCTTCCTTCTTCGCTGCCTTGTCTATAATTTTCTTGATTAATATCCATGAGATTTACACATTTGGAGTGGTGGCCAGAACCCAGAACCCCCTTTTCCCCTACGCCTCTATGTGTGCTGGCCATTAATTTAAAAGCTTTGCTAATTTCGCGGGGAAAATCTGAAAACGAACAACTGCTAATGAAGTTTTATGGGTTCGAGAATGCAGCTGCAGCAGGATTGATAATGTCGTTAGCATAAATTGAAAATGCTTTAAAGTTATGACCGAAGATTTGTTATTATTAAAAGGAGGAACGGCTCTGGGATGTGCAGAATATCTTCGAGGGATTATGTTAAAATGATAAAGTGACCAGAAAGACCAAGAAACATCAGAAAACATGCTTCTAATTTAAATTGAAATATTATCTTTGGGATTACCACAGCTTCTTATATTTATTCTTCCTTGAAATTGAATTATTCTTGGCTTGACTTTGACTCTTTCCAAAAACTAATCCCTTTTGCAGTAATCCACTTTGTATGCTAAGCCGATCTCTTCATAAATTTCTTTGGCATATTGTGCTGTTCCTCTCAATCGAACTAAATCCATTCGAGAATTTCACCCTTGAATAGAGCTCTTAAGATCTTTTGTTAGTGGGATTGCTACTTTTTCCAGACAATCTATTGTATGATTATTTCAATGGGTCGATTCTTATTTATTAGAAGAGTTTATGCTAATAAGTCTGGAAGCCTTAAGACTATGATTTATTAATCCCCATGCAATTGGATGATGGTGAGTGCTCTCTGTATATTATATTCTTGATATAAAATTATTATATCTTATTTTTTAACTATTCAAAATAATTTTTTCCATCACAATCGATTTTCTCACATCTTCAAGCCCAACCCAAAACATAAAATGTTAACTTTCGATCACCTTTCCGCTGTCTGATTTCGTTAATAGAATCAAATATTCATATTCCCCGTAGACAACGTCTAATTTCCTCATCAAAATTGATGAGTCCCTGTTCCAGAGAACAACAATAAATGAACTGGTCTATCAGGTGAATTATAGACACGTGCCAAAACCAGGCGTGTCTTGTCTATATACCGATTCCCATTTTTAAAATCGAACATGGCGAAACGCTAACGAGCCATTGTTCCGCTGGCTTTATGGCCAACTAAAATTCATCAGCTATTTTGTCACGATTTTAATTAATTTCGATTTTCCTGCCCAGAAGGCAATTAAACACATTTTCCCCCGCTGCTGGTGCAACCGAAAAATAATATAATAGTTTCGGTGACCGAAGATGGAGAGGAAAACCCACCCAAAGAGGTAAAATGCAATAAACTTTTATGGTCTACTCCCATTCTTATGCTAAAAATCTTTTTCGGACACAAAACCAAATAGCCCATAAAGCAAGACAATGAACCTCCAAAATAGATCTCCACTGAGGCGAAACAAAAGCCAATAACTTTATAGAACCGCAACCAAAAAAGAAAAAAAAACAGCCAGACTGTGAGAGCGCGGGAGGCGTTTTACAAAAAAACCTAAAAAAAATAAGAAAAAAAGTAAAGCATTTAAAAGAAATCAAGAGATGTAGATGACGATGATGATGATGGTCTGAGGTTGAGGCTGAATCCGAATCCGAATCAGTATCTGAACCCAACAGAAGCTTGCGGCAATTGCGTTTCCTCTTTGGCCACACGTTCTGGACAATTAAAGCCCAACCAAGTCGAGCTCCGAAACTGAATCGAGCCAAGTTAAGACCGCGACCACGACCGAAAGCCGAAAACTGAAAAAAACTGAAAACTGAAAACCTCAAAAACCGGATTCAAAGCCGAGAAAGAGCGAAAAAGACGGCTAGAGCGACCAGTGGCCACTGGCACTGGCTACAAGTGAACTGGTTTACAAATAGAAGAAACAGAGGTGGAAAAAAACACGGGAAAATCCTGATTCTGATAACGAAGTTTTCTATACCCTTTTGAAGAAAATTAATCAAAAAGTAGCTTCCTAAAAAAATCGAACTAAAGTAGTCATTGTTAAAAAGCGAACTAGAATGCCTTCATAATTAAGACCCTCCAGAAATAAACATAATACACTAATAAACCTTAAATTTTAAATAATAAAAATAAACTTATACATTTTCGTTCTGATAGAGAAATCATAACCAAAACTTAAATAGATTTTGCCAGAAAAAAGTTCTAACAATAATTTTATTGAAGAAATAATATGATATGATATGATATGATATAATCAAATTTATAGATTTCTTGAGATCAGAGATTCCACAACTTTTATATTAGATATTTTTTGAAAGCTACTTTCTTTGATAAAGATTCTTTAAATATGTATATTTTAGATATCATCCTTATATTAACCAATATATTTTCTGAAAACTCGTAAGAAATCATATAACCCTTATAGAGGGTACATAAAAGAGACCCCCAGAATTCCAAGCGAAGGTTTTTCGAGTCCGGCTCGAGAAGCCCAACTCGAGCTGAGCGCCACAGCAACAACAATGGGGCAAGGGGGTGGCTCAGGAGGGTGGGGCACAGGCAGTTTGGTCTCCACTGCGGACTGTGCGGCACCACACTGAGTTCAGTGGCAATGACAGTGGCACATGCAGTTGTAGTGGAAGCCGCTTGTCGGTCGACAGTCCGCCAACCGCCAGCGTTGTAGCCCTCTCTTTCTCTCCTTCTCGCCCCGTCTCTTTCACTTTGTGGAGCAGGTTTTGAGATATATCTCGGCTCTTTCTCTCTCTCTCTCTCTATCTGCGTACTCGTTATTTTTTTGTACTCGCTGCCTTTTTGGCCAACGCAAAAATACCAAAATAAAAATAAAAAAATAAATAATTAGCTAGCCCTACGCCAAAAAACAAAAAAAATAAAGGTAAAAATAAGTGCTGTGGAATTTTTGTGTTCATCGCAGTGGGCATGGCCTGTTCTTGGCGGAATCTTACCTGTGGGTTAAACAGAAGAAAGCCCCAGGCTCTTTGGGCTTTATCTTTGCGGTCTCGAGTATCCAAGTAGTTTTCCTCAACAAGTTTCTGCTGGCTTTTGGTTTAGTTTGTAAGCACTGAAATGGCGTGCATTGTTTCTATTTTGTTTTTAGTAGAAATTTAGATTGTTAAAGTGGCACTTGAACTGTATTTTGCTTGGAAATTTTTAAAATTTCTTTATTTTGTTGTTAAGTTTCTGTGAATTGAAAGAAACAAATTTTGTTATTTTTCGGTTACATTTTAAATTTTTTTATTAAATATTTTTCGAGCGTTAGACGATTGCTCTCGCAATCGAATTGTATATTTAAAAACACGCACACAGTGGGACAATTTTGAGATTCAAATCACGGCACGATCGCCCTGGGGGGTGGGGCTGAGGGGGCGGCAGGGGGGCGGTTACGGGAGCAGCGGCAGCATCAACGGCAGTCAGCTACCACAAACCACGTAGTTTTATTTTTCTTTCCTTTTTTTCCAACCCAAAATCCACGTACAACTCGCGCACAACACACACACACACGGTGTATATCGCGTATCTTACAGATACAAAAAAACCGAAAACCCGAACCGAAGAAACCTCAACTAAAACCGAACGAGAACCGAACCGAACCGAGAGATACACGGCAGCTGAAATGTGTTTTTCTACATTTTGTTTGAAATAGGAGCTGAAGCCAGTGCAGCTACCAATTCGCTCCTCAAGTAGTCCCAAACTCTTCCCACACACATAGAGTCAGTTGCAGTTGAAAAGCGCTTTTCTCGAGGCAACTGGCGATGCAACAAGTTCACTCACACACACACACAAACTGGCAGAGCTCAGGGCCCGCTCAATAAGATACATCGGCGAAAGATACAGATAGATATATAGAGCGAGAGGCACTCACAATGCAGTTCACTTTTCCTATAGATAATACCAACGATCCGCGCGCAGGTGCGTTAGCCACGATCAACACTCGAAGACTGAGCCAGGAACCCCAGAACAGGGCCCGAATGGAGAAGGAGAAAGAGAGATATGGGAAGGAGAGAATCAACTGAGATACGGAGAAAGAGAGAGGGACACATCCGACGAGTAGCGAGCGGGAGCCGGAAAACCAGCTTAGTGCACTGCGAGGAAAATTTTTACAGAAAATGTCCTAAATAGTTGAGGATAGCAGTTAATGGCTTTCTTTTTAAAATCATATCAAATCATATTATATCATATCAAATCATATCAAATCATACCAAATCTTATCAAATCATATCAAACTTAAAGTGATTAATAAGAAAACTCCCAAATTCTTTCATATAGAGTCATTTCAAATCATATCAAATCATATCAAATCATATCAAATCATATCAAGTCATATCAAATCATATCAAATCATATCAAATCATATTAAATCATATCAAATCATATCAAATCATATCAAATCATATCAAATCATATCAAATCATATCAAATCATATCAAATCATATCAATTCATATCAAATCATATCAAATCATTCCAAACTTTTAGTGATTAATAAGAAAATACCCAATTTCTTTCAGTGCCGGAGAGGAATTGAACCGAACTCAACCCAACCGACCGCCAGTCGCACGCTGCTAAATGGACAGGCGGACTTATAGACGGACTTGTACAGAGACTGGCACTGGCGGAGCGTGGAACGTGCATTCGTACGACGAGTTATTGTCAGTTAGAGCGCTACCTGTTTACCGTCCGACTACCGACTGCTTTTTTTCGGGCCCAGTCGTCAGAGGGTAGGGTAAAAATTGCCCGGGTGTTGCCAGATTGCCGTTGCCTTCTACCCATGGATCGTTATGGTGGTCGTTCCCTCGAGAAGGTGGAGTGTGTAACTCTGGTAGTCCCCTGTTTATGGTTATTCCTTTTTAGTGGGGGTGTATTTTGTTCGTCGATCTTTGTTGCGGTTTCGTTTAGGGAAATGACTAATCGGAAAGCATTTTTAAGGAGGCAAGACGATAAAGTTTCTTCGGAGAAAGGGTTGCTAAGCGGCGATTATATGGAAAGTTTGGGGTGAAACATATTGTATTATCAACTATGATATAGCGTTTTGTATAGTATCACTGATAAGTAAATATGCAATTAGATTATTTAATAAGTAACAAATTTGGAGTGAAAAAAAACTTTTATAGTGGTATTTTCGATTTGCATTTTAACGATGACTGTTTGAAATTTCTTCAAAATTTCGGCAGCCCAGTTATAAATTTCGCTTTGGGAAAATGATTGTAAAATAATATGGGTCTGGAAACAAAATTATCGCCAGACTGACTTTTAATGATGGTTATTAGAGTTTATGATATTAGTCAGATAGGCGTGTGGCTAAAAAAGTTAAAAGTCAAAGTGTGAGAGTATAAAAGCGTTGCAAAAATTAGGTTTCCATTTTGCGGATTATTATAGTCAAATTACCATCACTATAATCCGTATTGGAGGCTAATTTATAAGGCTTTCTATAAATATTTTTTTAGGATTTTATTCCTCTATTTTTCTATAAGCCTTATCAGTAGTGGAATTTCAACCTTAAAAATCTGGCAACCTCTACTAGCGATGCAGCATCAATGCGGTCAAGTGGTAAGAGGAAAGAAGGAAACAAAAAAGCAAAGACCGAAAAAAACGCAGTGAGGGTCCAAAAGTAGGGGGAGTTACGTTTCGGCCGCGATGATGATGATCATGGTCGTAATGATCCCGAGATGCCGAAAAAGAAAACCCGAAAAGTACCCAACAAAACAGAGCCGGAGCCATGTAATTAAGGTGCTGCACAGTGGAACTAAATTGTGGCTGTTGCCACTGCAAAAACAGTAAATGGTAAATGGAGATACAAAGCGGCAGCCAGAAGACCAGAAATAAGTGGTAGAAAAGAGAAGAGGGAAAAACGGTAGCTGGCTCATAGGGCGAGCGAATTGTTATGCTAGTCGTCGACTTCCCCCATCAACAACTGTTGCTCTTGCTGCACTCGGAAAATAGTTGAGCTAAAAAAAATGTACAGTATAAAAAAAATTACAAAAAATATTAATACGAGGGAAAAATAAATAAAATCCCAAAAGGTAAATTGATAGACCAAGGTATTTTAAAATATTAGATAAATTAGATTTAGACAGTCCTAGAAAGTCTGCACACAAAATTAAAAAAATAAATAAAATGACCTGTAATCCGTGAAATATTTATAAGTATGTTAGTAATGCCTATCTAAAATATTTGTTACATTACATTACCTTTTTGGTTGTCCTTGGTCCCAATATATCAATAATGTTTGCACGTTAAGGATACTTTTACCATGACTCTTCTGCGGAGGTTTAGGTTAATTCAAATATTTATGCAATTTAAAGGATTTGCCAATTTTTTACCTAAACAGAAATTGTAAAATTATTTTGCAATATTCTTACCTTTTGTTTGACAAACCACATACTTCTTATAAGAATCTGAAAATCTGGAAAAGTACTATAGGTTCTCTAGATATTACACTGATTTTTTTCAGTGCGCGACTCTTGCATATTTTGCATCTCTTTACGATTTGAAAATAAATTACTTGAAATTTGTGTAAAACATGTGGCCAACTCGGAGTTCAGCTGGTAGTTTGGAGCTAGAGGGCCAGGCCAGAAGCAACAGGTTCATTGATCGCATTCGAAATGCTTCGTTGGCCCCAGCAGGTAGCTTGTGTTTTTCTTTTTTTTTTGGGCTGGGCCTGGATCGAATCCGATTCGGAATCGGATCGTTGAGCCATATTAATGGTGTTTAGATGCATTTCAATGCCCCCGCGCTGTCAGCAAGACACACATTTGTCATTTGTTCTCGGTATATTCTTTATTTAATAATTAAAGCTCTTATTTAGTTTTCTTTTTCTTTTGTTTGGTTTTTGTTTTTGCTGTTTCGTTTTCCACTCGATGAGTTAACAACATAAAATGGCTGTCTCTTATGTATATCATATAATCATCATAATGCATACATTTATTATCTAATTTTTATACGTTTCGCCCCGCCGAATTGGAAATCTCTATTTAAAATATATAAAATATATTTATATATATTCGCTACCGTCTTAATAAAAACAGAAAAAGAAGCTTCAAAATTGTTGCATCCTCACTCAATCTCGGTATTTGAACACTGACCCAAAAAAACAGGAAATCAGTATTTTAAAGATCATATCTTTATATATGACAAAGTAACTACTGGATTCCGAATTAATTGCTATTATATTATTGTTTGACCTACGATGAACGTGTTGTTGTGAGTATGTCTCCTAAAAAAATCCAACCTATCAAAAAAGCTAACTAATTCTGGCTTATATTGTAATCGCGTCTAACTAATAATCGTTTCCAATAAGGACGAAAACCGTTGTTAATTATTCACAAAATATTATGTGTTTTTCTTTTTTGGTGATGGAAGCAGCTATGGAAAATGGGAAACTCATCTCGAACTCGGCCTTTGATAATGACACTTCAATTTCAAACTGTTACACTCTGATAATTCCGAATTTTGGTCTCGCTTGAGTTTACTTTTGTTCTGTATTACCCTTTCTGTAAATAGACATTTATCTAAAAAACGTTTGTGTTGCCTTTGCGCCTGGATTTGAGCCATGAATACCTAATCGTTTAATTTTGGATTTAGCCTAGCCGAATTCTATATACATTAGCCAATCAATTTGGTCTGCTGTACGATCATTTCTCTCTCGTTTTTTATGTGGCTAAATATATGTGTTCTATGTATATTAAGTGACAAGACAACCTCACTAAACATAAGTTTTGTATATATATATATATATATGCCATTTGTTGTAAGCTATATAACAAGAATACACACCAAAAATGTTCTATCGTATTCCTCTATATATGTGTATATATTTTGTGTATGTACGCATTGTTCAAAATAGTTTTAAACCCGATTTGAATGACCGACTAAATTCCTTGGACTAAGCAATCGCCTATGCCTAAAACTAATTGGTTTGCTTGGCTTAAGTTCTAAGTGTTGTTGGTAGTACCCGTACTAGTGTCGAACAAATCAAATCTTCATATATCATCGTATTTCGTCCCGCCTAATCCATCAAGTAGCTAAAACTGCGACGCTTGAGCCGGCTGCTCAGAGCCGATCTGGAGCGGGTCTTTAACCTTAGTTACCCGGACTTTATCCAGCGATCGATGGAGTATTCCAGTGCGGATATCCAGCTAGAAATAGGGATTAAATAAAAATATAATAGTTATTGTAATAAAGTTTTCCAATATTATTAATATTCACTTATTGATTTAATATTCAATGGAGAATGAATACGGTTAGTACTGTCTTAAATATTTAAAGTTCAACCTATTTTTTTAAAAATCTATTAAATGGCTATCCTAAATGGCTTAAAAAAAATTTCAAAACATTTTTAAAGGTTACCTAAATAAAAAACTTTATGCGGAAGGGTGACTTTAACCTACTTGTTTAATTTATTTTATAAATACCCACCGCTTCTTATCCATTTCGCTTTCGGTGCAGAAAAAGTAATGCCGCAATTTCGTTTCTGGTGGTATTATCTCGAACGAGTTCTTCTTGCCGGATGCATTTGCGGACATTGAGGCCACTTTGTAGCCGTGCAAGCAGGCCATGCCTAAAAAGAGAATTTAAAACGAAATTAATTGCTGGCCAGTCAGTCACCTGCTTTTCGTCAATCTAATCTAATCTCGCACCCCGCGAGTTGACTCACCGAATGCACTCTTGCTATTTGCATCTTGGTAAAAATAGAGGCAGGCATCCTTAAGAACGCAATAGCGTTTCGACCATCCGCACCACCTTGAGCCCAATTTGAGTAGGTAGCCAAAGCAATCGGGCCTCTGAATGTTGGTGGGACTCTGGTACAAGCACCGCGCACTGTGAGGGAAGTGATGTGAGAGAATGGATCAGTAAAGATCGGGATCAGTCTCCGAGATCAGTGTCCCCCAACCTTTTGTCCAGCCACTGGTTGTCCTGCGAGGCGGCCTGCCTGAGCAGCTGGAGCCATCGGTTGGCCAACTCATCGGAATCGGCAGCCACGTACATGGGAATTCCCTCCCCGGAGTCCACTTTGAAGGCAAAGGGCTTGCCCACATCCACGGGACACAGGTCCACCGTGTGCTTGGCCATTATCATGGCGCCAACGGGTTGGGAGTCCTGGAAAATGAATATATTTTAAAAAATTAATATTTTAAAATTAAATTATTATTGTTTAACATTTATGAATTATAAAATATAATGGTGGTCTTAAATCTCTTGTAACAATATTGTGTCCCCAAGCGAATTCATCGCACTTTCGGACTAAAAATATGTTGTTGCATACTTTTGGACATCTTCAAAAGTGAATTCAAATCTCTAATGGTTTTTGAATAAATTTCATAAGTGACAAAGGCAGAAAAAATATATATATTCTTAAAAAAGTTGACTAAAAACCGTGTCAGTAAAAAATTAAGTAAAGTTAAAAATAAAATTAAAATTAAACTCCTAAATCCAAACTAGTAAATTGTTCCTCGAATATTCAAGATTATGCTATTTCCGGAAATATAAAAAACATTTCCCAATAATCCTATTAAAATTCATACTCACATCTTCCGTTTTGTAGTAGTACAGGCAATTATCGGGTCGCAGGGAGAACCAGCGTCGCACCCATTTCTTGGAATTCGGTGCTCCCTTAGCCTGACCGCTCTGTCGCCACAGATATCCACTGAATATGGGCTGGCTGGGTGGCTCCAGTTGTTCGTGCATCAGAACTCCAATAGTTCGGGCCACCTGAAGTTCCAGCTTTTCGCAGCCATCGTGTGCGATCTTCACCACCTCGGTGTGGTGTTTGTCCAGCACCTGAACGCCATTCACCGAGATGATGATGTCGCCCACTTCCAGGCCAGAACTCTCCGCCGGAGTCTCCGGCTCGATGGCAGCCACTACCACGGGCTTCGAACCGTGAATACGGAAGCCAAATTCACCGGAATCGCTCTTGACCACCACGGTTTTATCCACGCCTAAGAAGAACAAATATTATTAGATACTTCCACTTAAAAAGTTTATATATGATAATATAAATAAAGATTTAAAAGGAACTTTAATTTAAAGGTTTTCATATGGATCTTTTTAGTCAGAATCGATAGTATTGAAAAATGTTTCATATTCAAATAGCTTGTTTTGGAGTTAAACATTTCTAATCTAGATTTTTAAACTTTAATAACATTTATATAGTTTTCTTGACTATCAAAACATTCTTGTCTACTTTTTTCTCACAATTCTCATTCATTAAAGTTTATTTATAGAGAGATAGAGAAAGACGGAGAGCAAAAGACTTAAGTGATTTGTGTTATTTTATTTCCGGATATCGTCCGGACATCATTTACCATGTGCACCGTTGGATAAGTTGGATATCACAAAACTTTCGCGGGCCCAGACCAAGAGCATCAGTTTCAAGACCTCCTCCAACTTTCGTCGGATCGAATCCGGCGTGGAATTGGACGCTATTAATTCTGTGTGGTAATATGCATAAAAATTAAAAAAGGGGAAAATTCAAATAAAAACCCCAACCGGCAACGTTTGATTTTTTTTCGTTGTTTACCCACCAATCATTTGGCCTGAGTATTGTGTAAATACCACAAAAATATTCCAAAAACTTTTCGCACTTGTTTCTTTACATTTGACTTGAACCGAAGTACCGAACGGGAAGCGTTGCGGATTTTTTATGGTCGGCACACAACAAAGCACGCACCTCAACTATTCTCGATAATAGAGCCAAAAAACTACGGGTTGTTTTTTTTCGGTTCTGTCTGATATTTCCCATTCCTACATACATATCTATGTATGCCAAGTGCCGGTCATGAAAAGTCGGAGCGCCATGCCATTCATTATCTCTAAAGTTCTCCCATTTTCGGGCTTTTCTCTCGATCTCTCTCTATTTCTCATTCAAAAAGGGGCGCACGTTGTGCCAAAATTAGAATATTGTTTGGATGTTCGAACAGGGTGTTTTTTTGAGACTTACGAAAGCTGTTGTGTTTCTGCCGATGATACATTTCCAGGGTGCAACGACGCTGGACGAGACGATGGAGGATCACTTGGTATTTGGCATGGAAGCCCTTCTCAGACTCCGTTGAAGCTCGACGCTCCCTAGAACGATCTATTAAGAAACAAGGATATCATTTATCAACAAACTAGGAAATTTTGAAAAGTAGTTTCATACACTGATAAAATATATGCATATTTAATGCAAAGATTCCTATTAACGAATGGAAATATATAATCAAAGTTAAACGTTTTTAAATTTAACTATAATTTTTATACCCTTGCAGAGGGTATTATGATTTCAGTCAGAAGTTTGCAACGCAGTGAAGGAGACGTTTCCGACCCCATAAAGTATATATATTCTTGATCAGCATCACTAGACGAGTCGATCTAGCCATGTCCGTCTGTCCGTCTGTCCGTCTGTCCGTCTGTCCGTCTGACCGTCTGTCCGTCTGTCCGTCTGTCCGTCTGTCCGTCTGTCCGTCTGTCCGTCTGTCCGTCTGTCTGTTTCTACGCAAACTAGTCTCTCAGTTTTTGAGCTATCGGGATGAAACTTTCCCAAAAGTCTATTGCAGGTAGTATATATGTCGGAGCCGACCGGATCGGACAACTATATCTTATAGCTCCCATAGGAACAATCGGAAAAAAAAAACTTTAAAAAATTCTAACTTCGGTGTTTTTTGAAATATTACCTTCTACTTTTGGGGATGTTATTTTTTTAATATTTCTGAATTTCGAATTAATTATTTAAAAAATCGGACTACTATATCATATAGCTGCCATAGGAACGATCGGAAAATTAATGGAAAAGTAATAGGAAATAAATTCTAGCTTCTTTGGTTTTTATTGTATTATCTTCTACTCTAGGATATGACTCTTTTTAAATAATTCCGAATTTCAATTTTAATTTGATCAAAATCGGACGACTATATCATATAGCTGTCATAGGAACCATCGGAAAATTAATGATAAATATTAGAAAATTGAACATTTTTGCGATTTGTTAATTAATAGGAATGATCTGCAAGGGTATATAAGCTTCGGCTGGCCGAAGCTAGCTTCCTTTCTTGTTAAATGTAATATTTTCAGATTTAAACTTAATAAAAACCGCAAAGGAGAATATAAGCAAAAAATATTTGGATTAAATATGAAATCTTTCGATTTACTACTTTTTTTTTGAGTGTAGTTATTAAGCACCTCTATAAAAAAAAATGCCAAAAATTCAAATCAAATATATTTTATTTCATTTACAATTTAGAAATAATTACTTCTGGCATATTTGCCTACAAATCGCCTTTGTTGCAAATTTTCTGACTAACCTTTCACAAGGGTTTCTAAGTTTTTCACACTCATTTCTTTTTCGATTATACCAATAAAATATAGGAATTTTATCAGAAGGCACTATGCATTTTCTGATCGTAGGCTTCAAACCACAAATAGCTAGAAAGAAGTTTGTTAGCCTCGGATATAATAAAGTCACTAGAAACTTACGATCCTTAAGACAAACGACAGGAACAAGATATGTTGTGATCAAAATAATAAACTTCTTATCTATCTTCATCGTCTGTTTGACTTATACTAATTGTATTCTTATTCAATGTGAAGTTATTTTAAAAAGGTATTCTTCTATGAAGAACTGCGTCGAATGTTATTTGATATGGAACATTTAAATTTAACTTCTTAAACGCGAATTTTAAATCGGAATATTTACTTACCGAAACACTGATGATCCAACTGAGTCCATAAATCATCATCGGTGAGTCTTGTATAGCGACCTGCGTCATAATGTCCCTTATAGATGATGTGCTGACTCTGTTCTGTGTTGATATCGGGTAGGACACAGGGACTCGAACCGGCAGGACGAAGAACCGGAGTATTGGGCAAACTGGGAACACGTCCGCGCTCTTCGCTCTGTAAAATTATTATTGTATAATATTTATATCTTCCTGGTAAATCACTTATATGATTTTGAAACCCTACACACAAAAAAATTTGATTGGTAAATTTGACCTATACGTAACTATAAAAAATAGTTACGCGTATTTAGCTTTTGCTTTGGGTGAGTGTCCTTGCTAATTGCGTGTATTTGTTGTTGTGAAATTATATTGGTTAATTTTACCAAGTTTTTTGTTTGTGTGTAGTACTTGATTTCTTAATCACTCACCTTTGCCCTGATGTTCTCCTGCCTGGTTTTGTAGTGCCTGCCTCTTTCGCCGTGATATCGCTCCTCGGATCGGAATCGCTTGTCCATCTTCTTGTACAGCCGCTGTGTGGTCTTGGTGGTCACCGGTGAGTCGGCAAAGTCCGACGGCGGCTTTACGATGTCCTGTTCGATGTAGGGTATCGATTCGACCGAGTCGCCAGCCAGTTCACTGATGGTATTGCTCTGCTGCTTGCCCTCCATTTCCTTGCCGCAATGGTGACAGTGGCTCTGTTCGCCACTAGCGGCATTGCCATCGGCTTCGCTATAGAACACGGAATCGGAACCGGGTGATACGCTCCGTAGGGATTCAATGGACTTGGCTTTCAGTTGAAAGGTGTCCGATGTGGATTTCGACTGGGTGCCGCCGCTGGTTGTGGGCAGTTTGGGCGAGAGCAGGGATGTGGGCGTGGCGCAACTATGTGGTTTCTTCACCGTCAATGGAATAACTACTGCCTCTGTGGTCACTGACTCGGAGGTGGCCAACTTGGATGCGGTGGATGGAGCAGCTGTCATAACGGTTGTGGTGGTGCATGACCCGGCTAAGGTCCCTGCTAGGGCGCCACTGGTTGTCCCTGCTTGGGCGCCAGTTGACATGCTGGCATCTAGCAGTAGCTCTGTATCCCCACTGCCACTGCTTAGGCCAAAAATAGTGGGCGTGGCCCGACTCCTTCGTACCGCTGCCGCCGCCAAAACATCCTCTCTAGAGCTTTTCCTCAACTGCCTTCGTATCTTGGGACGAAAGCGTTTCATCTTGCTGGGACTACTGCCCCCGTTGTCTTGTCCTGCTGCCTGCGACTGCTCGGGTGATGTGACTTTGCTAGAACCCGTGGGCTTCTTAATCGGACTCGTTAGGGCACGCATATTCTCCTTCTCAATGTCCAGTTTCATGCTAGTCTTACGCCTCTTCCTCTCGTCTTCCTGTTTCAGACGGCGGGCCTTGCTTCGCACCCCCTGTTCTTCGTCGTCTTCTTCATGGGGACTCTCGTAATATCCAGAAGAGGAGTAACGCACTTCACTGCGCTCATCTTCCGATATGGAATCGGGCTTGGGCTTGGTTCCAGTCACAGTTCCAGTTGATGGTTGTATAGTTTCAGCCGAGCTGACCTTCATTTGAGACGTTCCCGAACTGGCGACCGTTTGAGGGATACTTTCCTTGGCTGGAGATTTGATGGCTGCTCCCGAGACAGGACAACTGCCCGAAGAGGTGGTGCTGCTTATCGAGTGCGATGGTGATTTCCTGGTCAACTCGGCCACCGAACCGATGGGGGATTTCAGCTGGGCCTTGGAAAGCGGAGCCTTCTCATCGTGCTGTAATAGATCCTCCCGCATGGAGTACAGGGAACTGGCGCTTTCGAAGGAACTCCCAGCATGGGTCTTTTCCAACTGTGAGCTCTGAGTGGAAACTGTCGAATAGAAAAGGGTTTTTCGAGAAATTTAAGTTATCTTTAAGTATGGTTACTTAATACAGCTAAAGCATTGCGGGCAAGGCATTTGATCAGGCATCAACAACATTAAACTAGGGAGGCGAGAGAGACAGCGAGATAGAGATTGACAGTCAAAGTTGAGGTGTGGTAGATGAGTCTACGGTCTATAAGCTATATAGGCTGTATAACACTAGGGCGTGAAGCATGGAAGCGGTGAGAGTGTACGGTGGTTTTGGAGCAATGATGGTGGATTGGTGGCCACGATTTGGTTTATTTTTTTTTGTAACACTCATTCATGGATCAAGACTTTTGGATTGATTATGCGATTTTTGGTACGAGTTCTACACACACAGACAGGAACACACACAGCACGAGTACGAGTACGAGTACGGGATTCAAGTACGTATCGGGGGGCCCAAACCTGGCACTTGTGTGGTCGACGATGAACTGGTCGTTGTCGGCGGAGTCTTAATACCTGGTGTGCGTTTCGAGGTGTCCGTGCAGGTGGCATACTCATCTGTATTCGTGCTGCACTCCGATATATCCGCACTGCGGGCGTAATCAGTGGCGCCCATGGGTAGGAACGAGGCATCCGAGTGTCTGGGGAAAGAGTTTTAAATGTATTTAATATTTTTTGAATATTTTATAAGAGAAGATGCTTTGGAAATCTTGAGAAATTGGGTTTAGGTTAATAGGAAATATTTTTTTTGTGCAATGACCTAATTCCAAGTATTTTTTAATAGATGATACATATTAAACTAAGTAAGTATTTAACGGAAAATATATGTATATATCTTTGTTGCTTGTACTATTTTAGTCAGTTTTTATACCCTTGCAGAGGGTATTATGATTTCAGTCAGAAGTTTGCAACGCAGTGAAGGAGACATTTCCGACCCCATAAAGTATATATATTCTTGATCAGCATCACAAGACGAGTCGATCTAGCCATGTCCGTCTGTCCGTCCGTCTGTCCGTCTGTCCGTCTGTCCGTCTGTCCGTCCGTTTCTACGCAAACTAGTCTCTCAGTTTTAAAGCTATCGGGATGAAACTTTCGTAAAAGTCGTATTTCTATTGCAGGTAGTATATATGTCGGAACCAACCGGATCGGACAACTATATCTTATAGCTCCCATAGGAGGGATCAAAAAAAAAAACGTAAAAAAATTCTAGCTCCGGTGTTTTTTGAAATATTACGTTCTACTCTTGGGAATATTTTTTTTTATATATTTCTGAATTTCGGTTTTTTTGTTTTTTAAATCGGATCACTATATCATATAGCTGCCATAGGAACGATCGAAAAATTAAATGAATATTTATGGGAAAAAAATTATATCTTTGTTGGTTTTTATTACATTCCCTTCTACTCTGGGATATGACTATTTTGAAATATTTCCAAATTTCGATTTTAATTTTTAAAAGATCGAACTACTATATCATATAGCTGTGATAGAAACGATCGAAAAATTAATGTGAAATAATAAGAAATTTAACATTTTTGCGATTTGTAAATTAATAGAATGATCTGCAAGGATATATAAGCTTCGGTTTGCCGAAGCTAGCTTCCTTTCTTGTTTATTTTCAGATTCAGTAAATAGCCAATAAAAATAATAATTGTATCTTTCCATTAAACATAATAAATCCCTATTAAACTATGTATGTATTTTCGGGACTATATACTTAGCAGTATATAGCTAGTATATCTTTGCTATATGTATTATTTTAGAATGTTTTATAGTACTTTTGAATATTGTGTAAATATCCAATAATTTTAATGAAGGCAGTAGAATATTAAAATAAAGCTTTGGGTGTAGATTTTCTCTTTCTATTAAACTTACAAAATTTCCTATGTAAAATTAGTGTAATATAACCCAATGAAGTTCCAATGCATACTTTTGGGCCTATAATAAAACCCCACCCCCAATGATTTTTAGTAACCTTTGTTTGGCAGCTCCACCCATGAAAATGAGCTGTCGGGCGTCTGGAACCGATCCCCTGGCCACCATGCTCCTCTTGGGCAGTGGTGAACTTATAGACGAGTCCAGAATTTGATTGGAAGAGGGAGTAACAGCGATGGCTGGTGGCGGCATCATGGGTTGAGTGGAAGTGGGCCTCGAGGCAGTTGGCGTAGGGGTCTTGATGATCTTCGGCAGTGTTTGTAGGCCATAGGTGGGGCTCTAAAAAATATATAATATAAAATAATGATCTTTAGAGCAGATTTTTTACCCACTTGTTCTTCAAAATCCAGGGCATCGGTGTCCACCGAGCTTCTCTGCTGATGCTGCAGCAGTAGATTCTTCCGCTTCGACGAGGGAGTCAATAGCAAATTGGAACTGTAAGATCCATCGGATATATCGCGCTGTTCAGCCGTCAAGACAGTAACCTGCGACTCATTCCATATCCCATCGGAATGATCGCGGGTATTGTCATTGGCCAGTGAGTCTGAGGATGGATAAGTTGAGACATTGGCCAGCAGTTCATCGCGGCAAGGACTCGCCGGGGTGGAAGGAAGTCGCAGGCCAGTGGTAGTTGGAGTACCCGAAACCTTGGCCTCGTAGTCGTCGTCCAAACTCACGGATCGCTTGCGAAACTGGGAGCGCTTATCCTGGATATCCTCGGGCTCCACTCGGCAGCCGCAGGGGGTTATATTCTCGTACAGCGGCTCCTCGTCCTCCTGGTGATCCGTCTCCAGCTTCTGCTCCTCCTCATCGATCTCATCGGGATCGGGATTCTGCGGCTCTGGGTCTTCCACTTCGGAAGTTTCATCATCCTCCTCCTCCTCGTCGCTGGGCTCAAGTTCAACTTTTCTAACCTCAACTTCGACTGGCTGTGGCTTCAGTTTGGGCAGCGTCAAGGCAGCCGCCTGTGCCATCCGCTGCTGCTGCATCTTCCTCATGGCAATTTCCGCCTTGTGCTGCTTCCGGTGCTTCAGCTGCAATTTAGGACTCGGCTTGGGTGAGATGTGTGGCTTGAAATCGATGAAGATTTCCTGCTCATCTCGTTCGGTATGTTGAGTAACCGGCAAAGGTTCGTCGGGAAAACAGCTGACCTTATCGCGCCGTCGAAATGAAGTCCTCGGTCCAAAGCCATCGATGAGCTTCTCGGTTTGACCATAAACCGGCATGGATTGACGTCTCAAGTCGTCGCGACGAAAGGGAGAGTCAATCATCTGGGGCAGCATGGACATGCGGCGATGTTGGGCAGCCTGCTGATCCATGCAGACCTCTGAGCTGTAGCTCTCCGTCTCGTGGGGATGATCCTCTTCCTCGTCGTAGTACTCCTCCACATCCGCAGGCTCATCATCGTTCTTGCAATACTCACTTGGTGGCGGCAGTAAATGCGATTGGCTAAAGTCCAAGGGATCGATACTATCGGCTATGAGATCGGCACACTCAGAAATATGTCTGCGGGGCAAACTGTTCGAATAGAAATCCGTATGCGAGGTACACGCCCGTCGAGGCAAACTGTTGCTCTCGTAGTCGAAACTTTCATTTAGAGCCACTGCCGCCGCATTCACATTCACATACTCCACATTTTGTTCGGAGGGCGAGGGTCGCGATCTGCTCAAGTGCTCCATTCCCAGGCCATAGCTATGGGGATCCAGCAAAGGAGGTGGCGGTTTGTAGTACATGATGTTGTTCTGGGCATCCGAAAGGGTCTGCAAAGGGGTCACATCCTGCGACTGAGTGCGGTAGATCATCTCATGGGGGTAAATCGATCTAGGGATGGGATTAAATATTAATATTGGATCAATGTATAACAAAATCTTCAAATAAAGAAAATAGCTTATTCAAAAACTGATTTATTCAAAGGTAAAATATCTATACTTGTTAATATAACTTTTTCAAAAACTATTTGGAACTTATCAATCATTTATGAAATTAAAATAAATATTATTAAGAAATTTATTCAATAGAATTTTTTAAATAAAAATACAAATTAATGGACTTTACTCTTCTAGGAAAGCTGAATAAAAATATAATTTATTCAAAGGTAAAATAAATTCAATTGTTAATAACTTTTTCAATAACTATTCGGAACTTATCATTCAGTTATCAAATTAAAAGAAATACTATTAAGCGACTTATTCAATAGAATTTTTTTTTATAAAAATACAATTAATGGCTTCTACTTTTCAATCATATATCCTAAAATCATACCCCTGTTGATAATGATGTGGCACCTCCTTGCCATTGGGTATTTCCGATAGGCTTTTCGTTAGTTTCTTGCCATTCTGCAGGCCATTCGTTTGTGCCCCCTGGGAAACCACTTTGATGCGATGTGGTGGCCGGGGACTTAAAGCCAACACCTGGGTATTATAGCCAACTTGTCCCTGACGTCGGGCAGCTGCATCCGTTTGAGTGGCCTGCGTCTTCATGGCATTGCGGAACTTCTTCTCTATGATGAGAACTTCGGGACTGGGCAGTGGAAGAGCCAACGGCAGGGGCTGTGGTATGATCAGGCCCACCATGTTGTCTGAAATCGAGAGAGGTAATAGTATCAGTAAAATATGTTCTGATTGTGGAAGTAATAATTAAGTAATAATTTTAATATTTAGAAATACAATTAAGTAATAATGAAGTAAACCAACTACTTGTAAAGATGTTATTTAAATATATTTTATAGCTTGGATTACAAATTACAGCAAGATAACTGCATTGTAAGTCGAATAAAAACACTATCGCTATTAACGATTTAAAAATGTGTCTGGCGCTCCCATCTTTACATATTTTGGGAAAATATAAATGCAGTTCTGTTGTGTTTTTTAATGCATATCGAAATGTAGAACAAATTTTTTAAATCGGGCCATTCATTTAAAAGTTATAGGCACATATTGAAAAGCAAGCAGTGCAAGCAGTTGCTTTGCTGTTGGTATGACCCTTCATCTGAGTAACGAGTATCTGATAGTCGAAATTCTCGACTCTAGCGTTCTCTCTTGTTATAGACTAAAGTGATTCACTCATCTCACCGTAACCCCCTGGCCATTGAATAGCTTAACCTAAAATCCTCACCTGGAATGGGCTGGTGCAGGTGAATCGGGGCATGGTGGTGCTGGCAGGGCTGCAGTTGAACTGGTGGTGGCAGCCAGGTTTTCGGCAGGGTGGAGCTCTGTTGCGGTTGCATCTGTTGGCCTTGGAGATGGGGAGGCTGCAGGGTCTCGTACATAGAACCCGTGGCAATAATCGGCTTCTTGCCGCCAATTAATCGCTCCTGACTTCGGGCGGTTTTCAATCGCCCCGAGGATCGAAAGCCGGCATTCACATTATCGAAGCTGGTGAGTGTGTGGGACCGGGCGAAGCTCACGTGTTTTGTTCTGGTTAAGGAAGTTTATGATTGAGATGGGATTTCTGGAGGAGACTGTCATCCAAAGGACCCACCTGACATTTCCGGCCTGCTGCTGGTGATGGTGATGTGTGGTCGGCATCGTGGCGTATGTGGGGCAGTGATACGAGCTGTGGATTAAGCAAATCAGCAGAATATTAATCAAATTTCCCCCGGCAGCATTTTAGCATTTTCAACACACAAGCATTTCATTTAGTTTAATTTAATTCGTTTAATTTTAACTAGATTTTTTTTTTTTTTGCTTTTCGGTCACGTGCAGACACATAACATAAATAAACATTTTTAGTTTAGCGCACTTTTTATTAATAGAGTTTATTTTTTGCAATATCTTATTTAAGTATTTTGTTAGATTTTTAGATCACTTTACATACCAAACATTTAGATTAGCGATTTGATTGGTGTGTGATGTTGGTGGTGTAGGATTTGGTGGAGCGCAAAGCTCGACATAATAATTCCGTAGCAAAACATCCTGGTAAAAGGATTCAAGTGGTGCTGTACAACAAGTTGCCCTTTACACATTTTGATCATTTCATATCATTTAGTATTTGGTGGGGTTTTTGATTGTGGCAATTCAATTTGTTAAGATTTGGTTGATTTTTACAGTCGTTTTTTGGATTTTTTTTTGAGGAGAGAAGGACAGGTGGATGAATAACGAAAGGAGTACACGAAAAAGTATTTTTATACAGCATTTCTAGTAGGTGGTTAATCAGTGGTTTTTTTCGAGTGGTTGAGTAGAACTTGGAGGCAATAAGCGGCATTATGCAATGGATGAGTCGGAAAGGCAAGCATTGCAAGCATTTTACATATATATACAGAACAATATATATATATTGTATAGAGATAGAGAGATCGGGAGAGTTGGGGGATATAGCGAGCGACAGAGAGTTAGTGACTACAGATAGTGCGACAGTAAAGCATGATCTAAGCGACAGTTGGCATAGCAATTTACGGTTTTTAATTTGGGTATTTTTTTTGTTTCTTGATTATTTCTGTTTCTGTATTGATTCTCGATCCGCCGAGTCTAGCGGTTCATACCTGTGGTCCGATTGGTAGTCGGAGTTGTTGTTGGTCACCTGTGCTGGCACCTGCTGCTGCTGCTGACCAATCCAGGTGTAACGTCCCCCCAGATCCGCTTCGCTCGACTTGCCAGTGCTCAAGATCGAGGCCGGTTGACGGCGAAAATAGGAACTTTCCAATTCGTGAGTGTCTGTGTAGTTGTTCTGGTAGCTGGAAAATAAAATAAATGAAATTGAAAATAGTTTTAAGCCACAAATTGTTGCATACTTTTGGACACCTTTTACAAAGCGAAGTTATATTTTGGCATCTGATATATTTAAAAAAAAATGTTCAGGAATTTAAATGTATATTATTTTCACATCACAAATCATATATTGTTGCATACTCTTAGACACCTTCAAAACCCTAGGGGTTTTTCCCTTATAAATATTTTTTAAAATTTATTTGAGTACTATGATTTCTACCCACCGTGGATATTTTTCAAATGGTGCATAGGCGGCCAGATTCTCATCGGAGGGCACTCGCCGACCCACACAGCCGCCCAGAAAACTGCCCGATTGCGTTTGACCGCGTCGCGAAAGGCAGCCAAAAAATCGTTCCCGCCTAGGACGCTGCTCTATGCTGTGCAGCTGGCGATCTGTGAGGCAGTACTTTGAATATATCAAAATATGTAGGTTAAATATAAGGAAACAGATATAATACTCCACATTTAATTCACCTGTTCCCTAATATCTCCGCGTGAGTAGACTGAAGTGCGAGGCTGCAACTCGGTGGAGAGCGTGTGGCGAAGTCTTCGGCGACCAGTGTGTTCGTCTTCGGAGTCGTAGCTGCGATCCATGTGGCTGGAGTAGGTGGTCTAGGGATTTAAGTATGGGAAAATACATTTTATTTATTGAAAATTCTGATAAAAATCCTATTAAAAACGGCATATTCCTTAATTTCCTACATTAACTTAAAAACTTAAATATTTATATCAATTGGTTGTGAATACTTAATATCTGTATTTGCTTACTAAATGCGTATACTTAATTTCAGTATTGTATAAATATTACGTATAAGCCTAATTTGATATCTATTTTAAAGTGATTTCAAAATTCCTTGATTTCAATTTAGCATCTCAATAATAAAAGTAATAAATAAAATTAAATTATAATTATTATAATGTTTAAAAACATTTTTTCTCAAAAGAATTAAATTTTATTACTTCCAAAATATGCAATTTTCCTATTCTTTACTTTTAAAAATGCTTTGTAATTTCAAATGAATTATAAATTACAATTTTCCAGTGCTTAATTTCTTTCCCTATCTCCCCTTTTCTACCTAGCCAATTTTCCCTAATCCTAATCCCCTCATTTCCTTCCTACACTCATAAAAATTAATTTCTAAATTTTGGAAATCTCGCCATTGAATGGGCCTACCTTTGAAAATAGAAAAAAAATTTCTTGTTATTAGAAAATTAGCCTTTGAATACAGAAAACCTTTCTTGATGGAAAAAATTCAAGAAAGAATTTTTCTTAAAAATAGAAAAATGAAAATCTCATATGTCTGTTTTGCCGTCGCAGCCAAAACATTTTTGTACGTATTTTAGGACAAAATTACCTTTGAATATATGAATGAAATGACCCTAGAATATAGGAAAGTAGCCATTGACTTCCTTCCGCTGCCGAATGTTAACGACAAGAAAAACGAAGTGGGACGAAGGGCCTACTCGGCTACCGACTTCTCTGATCCCCCGAGCGTCAGTTGTGAAAAAACTTCGTGAGTGATGGACGTGATTTTCAAGCGGATAAGAGGTGAAGCCTTTTTCCGAATATTCAAAGGTATGTAAATATGTATATAATTTTTTGTATAGCGGGCGTACAATTGTATGTATGTAATTAAAGGATAAATTTCAAATCTCTTTACCAAGCGTATACCAATTTAGTTGAATGGTTTTTTAGCTAAGAGCTACGTACATACATACATTTGTATATAAATCTGTGGGTGTAGAGTTCTATAATAACTTTATCTTATTACTCGCATTTTATTTATTTTTCAGAGTGAAAATACCTGCAGTTGCATCAGCCAAATAATTTGTTTAGCGAAGCTGTAATTTTGTTTTAAAACATTCTAAGGTAAGAAAAATATGTTGTATTTGTTTGACATACTTATGTATGCATGTAAATATCTATGCATGTACGCGGCTCACCCGATCTGAAACCCGATTTTCAACCCTTTCATATTCTGCTCCTCTCTCTCGCTCGCTTGACCTACGCGTCGCGACGTTTCTCTCTACTCCTTCTTAAAATTGTCATGATCTGACCTGCTTACATTCGGTCTCCCTTCGCGCAAAGGACTGTATGTAAATATATATGTATGTATGTGGCTCTTTCTGAAATTAGATTTTCAACCCTTCCTTCTTCATTTTCTACCTGTCTTGCTCCTCTCTCGGTCGTCTGACCAACGTGTTTGTATTTTGGCTATTATTAACATTACATTATTATCTATTATCTAAAAACATCTATCTATTCTTATCTAAAAACAAATCATTGATATCCCAATAACTCTTTTTTTCCAGATGAGGAAAGCCGAAGAAAATAATTTTGCCTGCAACTACATATTTGGTTATAATAATGTTTTCCTAAGTCAAAAATGTGTTATTTAAAATTGTTTAAATGTTCAGTGTTAAATGTTTTAAATTTAAATAAATAAAATATGCAAAAGAAAAAACCAAGTTACATTTTATTTTTAGGGTTTCAGTGTTAATATAAAACTTCCCTTCAAGAAATATTATTTCTTAAATCAAGAAATAAAATTTCTTGAAAGGAAATTTAAACAAGAAAGAATTTTTCTTGTTCAAAAGGTGCCTTTCTAAAAAACCCTTTCTTGTTTTAAGAAATTTAATTTCTTGAAACAAGAAACAAACCACCTTTGAAACAAGAATCGCCTTTCTTGTTTTAAGAAATATTTTTTCTTGTTTTTATGGTGGCTTTCTAAACAACCCTTTCTTGTTTTAAGAAATTTAATTTCTTAAACCAAGAAATATTTTTTCTGGTTTTAATGGTGCCTTTCAAAAAAACCATTTCTTGAAACAAAGGTGAGGTCGCCTTTGGCAAAAATTCAAGAAAGAATTTTCTAGATTTTAAGGAAATTCTTCGATTTTTTTTTATGAGTGTAGTTTTTGACCTCATATCTAAAGCTTTCGTAATGTTCCCGGCCACTTGCTGAGTTGTCCTTTCCTGCCCTCCAGATTTGCTCCAAATTAATTGTGTCAATCATTCCTCCTCCTTGAAGTTTTTCGCCTGACAGAAATTAATTTTACTCGCCGCACACTTTGTGGGTGTTTTATGTTTTCGGCGTTTAGTCGTTTTGTCGGAGAGAAGTACAAACCTTGGTGGAGACCTCAATGTTGCCCAGTGACACAGCATGATGCAGACCTGTAAATGAAAAGGTCGTTGTTTCACATTCGCCAGCGGAATAAGAGATGCGATTATGTGCCTTTGAGCCGGGGATCCCAAGGACTCACCAGTTCCAGTCGTTGACGTTGATGATGATGCTGCTGTGTTGTTTGTGCCACGCAAGGCAATATCCATTTTCAAACAGGCAACAAAGGAAATAAAAATGGAAAGGAAAATAAAAGCGAAACAGGGGCAAACACACAAACACACACACACACACGAATCAACTTCTATATATATCCTGGGAAATCTTCGTTTTCGTCTCCGCTCCTTTTTTTCCGTGTCAATTGTCTGGGCCAGGCTGTGAAATCCTTAGCTTTAGCTGCTCCATGATGACTTCCAATATTGGTGATTAAAAAACTTAATTACTACGAGTACTTCGTTGTCATTTGAATCATTTGAATCGTTTGAATCGCTTTTCCAGACGGTGTATACTAATCTTCGTGGACTTATGCAAGGCAGTCAGCAATCGATATTTGCGCTGGCCAAAAAAGCGTTGGGGAAAAGCCGTAGGAAAAACGCAGAGTCGACGTTTTTTCGATGTGGCTCCTTACGCTTTTTAATTTGTGCAGGGTGCAGGGTTTTTTTCGCGGAGTTTCCTTAATTGTTCTTAAATTTCGCTGAGTTGGCTGCTGCTTTTCACAGGCTTTTCCTTCTATATATCTTTTTTCGGCTGGGGTGTGTGTGTGTGCTGCGTGGCTTGAGTAACCCGACAGTTTTCACGGATTTTCCGGTCTCCAAAAAGAGGCTCCTCACTCGATGGCGCTGATGCTGGAACTGAAGCTCAGCACTCGCATTTTCCGACGCACCAGAAGAGCTTCTCTCGCTCTCGCACTTTTAAGAGAGTTTCCCTGGAAGCGAGGAAAAACATAAAACAGATGTTCGGCATCTGGTGCGTTTTTCGGCGGGGGTTGTTGGCTTTTCGGGGGACTCTGCCTCGGATTCTGCGACTGCAAAAGCGCAACAATGAAAACGGCTGGAAAATAGGCAGCGAAATCGGCAGCAGAGCATGCGTTTGCGCACAGCAGCTGGGTGGAAAAAGGCAGCAGGACGTATGTCAACAAGGCAGACAGTCGGCCAGGACATGACGGCCAGGACATGCCATCGCCATATCCTCATGCCTCATGCAGCTACAGAAATGGTGGGAAATAAGAAAAAAAAAGAAAGAACAGAAGAAACAGCAGCATCGTCACGTAGCCAACGGCTAAATTTCACTTAGAACGCGTTCGAGGCGTCCACAAAAGTTGACTTCACACGGCTTCCATGTCTGGCTTTAAGGCAAAAACATGTCTAACAAAATGTACACGGTTACCAACAGCGAGCAATCGAACTTTAACTGATTTACACCATTTTTTACATTATATTGTACTTTTATAGTAAAAATATTTAAATTAACATAAAAAAGTGTTGATATATTTATTAGTTTTATATTCGTTACAAATTAGGAACACTCAAACTTTTATTGTTTTAGGCGACTTTTAAAAATATTTAAGATAATAACACGTTGAACTATCTAAAAAAGATTTAAATTAAAAGATATTTCTAAAAAATAAATTTTGATGTTTTCAAAGCTCTTGATTTAATGAGGATTATTTGTCAATATTATTTTAACAGCTTAGGATCATTTAAAAACTTTATTGAGCACCAATTATTTCCAGTTTATACTAATCTTTTAAATCTGTATATTTAATATTTACTTGGCCTAAAATATTTTAGGTTTTAGTCAAGTTTTCAAAGATAAGATAATAATAGAAAATTAATAAATATATTTAAAAAACATTGAAAAATAGTAGTTTGTTTTTAGGGCTCATGTAAATATAAAACTTTTGGATCTAGATACTTAATTCTTTCAGTGCGCCTTCCCATCATCCTCGGGAAAGCTTTAATCGAAGCAACGAAGCTTTCATGCCTTTGCGGAAGAATTTAATTGGTTTTTGTGTGTGAGTGGGGAAGCGTTATACTCCGGCATTAAGAGTAGTTAGGTTAATTTGCTTGAGATATCTGCCACAAAATGAAAGAACAAAGCCAAACAAAGCTGCCGCTGCAGCATTTCAACTAAATTACTCCTGAAATTTCCTATGGCATACTTTTTGGGGATGGGCATTAGGAGGAAGGGGGCAGCAGAGGTCATAACAAAATTACAACAGCTACGGCAAACCACGAATTTAGGTCTGTTTTATGGCATTAGGACACATATAAAACGTTTGAAGATTCATTTGGCGGAAGGGGAAATGGTCCACGCCGAAACTTGTTGTGGTTCTTTAGGACAGTGATAATCTTCAACTTGTCGCACAAATCTGTCTTACATTAAAGCATTTTTCGCACTTCTTAGTAATTTCCTTAAAATATAAAAAAATTTCAATATCCCCTTTTTCATAGAAAAAATTGAGATATACACTTAAAATAAAATAATTTACCAAATTCAAATATTTTAAAAATGTTATTGTATGTTTTTTTTAAGTATTAATAGTTTAATGATTTAAAAACAATTTCGCGAGGACTATGATAGATAAGCCTTATCTTTATACGTGGTTTTCTTGTCATGTTGTTTTTCAAACTTTAGAACCCTTGGCCACATACGCCTCACATAAAAGGGTTATCTGGTGTGAACCCGGACTTAGATCTTGTTAAAGAGTCCGAATTTGAAACGATAAGGGGTCACAGACACGTATATAAGCGGGTTAGCATGGACTATTCCTTGTCAGTCGTCTGCCCAATCCGATTTTAATCGAAAGTAAATCAATTTAAGATGTCGAAGCTCGTAGCCGTGTTATTCCTCGTGATGATCGTTGGTTTCGTGGCAGTAACTGCGGACAGTAGTGAATTGACAGAGTCCTTCGGCAGACTAAATGCAGCACTAGAAGCGTACAACAACAATTTAAGACAACAGCTTGGCATCTGGAGGAATATCGAGCGCCTCGAGAATGAACTGGCTATGGTCGGCCAGTGATCCTGATCAAGGATACATTAAATGGACGGAAACTCTGCCTTCGACCTGTTGCATACTTTTTTTCCCTGGTAACGGCTATAAAAATCAACAAATGTAATTGTCTGCTTAGGGCAAAGATGATTTTCAATGTTTATAAAAATATCATAATAAATATACTTATGTGAAAATTTCAAATAGTTGACACTGAAACATATTGTGGGCATTTTCGGGTACCGAAGAATTTTCTTGCAGTGAAGAATTTTTGGGTTATCTGTGGTCAGCCTTGACATAGCACTTGCTCCAGATTCCGAATATAATCCATACCCAGTTGATAGGACCAAACAGGCACGTGTAAGAAGCGGGGAACATAATAATTATAATTTGTCAGTTATACGATTTGAATTGCAAGTAATTTAATTTAAAAATATTAGAGCTCGCCGTCGTAATTATCCTTGTGGTTATTTCCAGTTCAGCGGCAGAAACACTGGAAAATTATCAGTTAATTAGCCAGCTGGCTGACATGGAAGTAGCTCTAACTAAAATCCATATTTTTTTAGTGTAACAAATAATTTCTTTAAATTTAGCAATGTAAAGATTTATTTTTTTTCAAGCAGACTTTAAAAAATAAATAAAAAACATAAACTCACATGAAAAGGTTATCTGGTGAACCACCCGGAATTAGTTCTGGTTCTGTATAACACGTATAAAAGCGGGTGAGCATAGGCTAAGTTTTGTCAGTCGTCTTCCCAGTCCGATTTTAATCGCAAGTAAATCAATTTCAGATGTTGAAGCTCGTAGCCGTGTTATTCCTCGTTATGATTGCTGTTTTCGTGGCAGTAACTGCGGAATATAGTGAATTAGATGCCGCTCGCAGATCACACGATTTGCTCCTTGAATTTTTGCAAGAACTCGAGAGATTGCAACAGATAAGCAGGGATGTTGATGAGCAGCTGGAAAATAATTGAAAGGACATCATCGGCCAGCAATCCTGATCAAGAATACTTTAAATAATCGGAAACTCTTCCTTCACCTTTTTCCACCTCGAGTGATGGATATAAAAATAAAAGCATGTAATTGTTTGTACTAAGGCCAATACGATTTTCAATGTTTAAAAATAAAATCTTTTATATATATGTGAAAATTTCAAATAAATCATTGTGAATGATTTTCTGGCAGTGAAGAATTTGTAAAGTATCGTATGCGAAATGGATTTCTATTGTTACTGTCTGCTAACTTTTTAATCACATTTTGTAATCTGAAAATAAATTCAGCTGTGACCATTTTCATAGTCGTATATTTTTTAAACAGTACAAATCTAAGACTCACATTTTTCTGTTATCTGTAGTCAACCTTGACATTGAGCTTAGACTTCAAAAATATATATTTGGTAAGGGAGAGTGAGGAAATCGCCTCACTATAATGGTTTCAGTTAGTTCAGCTCGGACCTAAAATTTGGTTATGATGATTAAGATGAACAAAGATAGCTTTGAAAAAGTGCTGGCGAAATTGCCCTGCCCTTTGCTAATTGATAAGACCTCACAGATACGTATAAAAGCAGGCGCACAGATCTATAAATTGTCAGTTGTCTCCCCAATCCGCTTTGAATCGCTGGTGAATTAATTTTAAAATGCTGAAGGTCGCAGCCGTTGTTTTCATTGTGTTGATTGCTGGTGCCGAGGCAGAAACTCCGGAAAATAATCAGCTACTTAGCCAACTGGCTGACATGGAAGAAGCTCTAACTATGGCGAAGATTCAGATTACAGATCTGCAGAAATCTTTGGCCGGCTTAAAGTCTGTACTAAATCCGACTTTTGAGAAAATCGGTTCCCGATACTTTTTGTTTGAACACTTTAATAACCGGAACTGGACGGAGGCCAAAAAGATGTGTCGCTATAAAGGAGCCCATCTAGCAGCCATAAAAGACACATATGAATTATATGAAATTAGTGGTAGACTCTTTAGTGATACTCCCTACTGGCTGGGCCTGAATAAACTCGACAACCAAAGTCTCTTCACTTCGGTGGCCTCCGGAAAGCCAACTTCCATAGGGATAACAATAGGTTTTACCAATCACAAGGAGTGCATTTCCTTGAAAAGGGGTTACATGGAGGAGCAAAATTGTGACAATAAGTTTAGTTTTATTTGCCAGAAAGATGACGAAATTTAAAAACTAAATAAAAAGAATGTTTATACGAAAAGCTAAGGGTATAAAAATTATAAAAAACTTTAACTTAGGTATAATAAATAATGTGTAAAATTTTACCAAGCAATCTGTTAAAAACAAATAAAATACATTAAGTATCCATAGATAAACTCGTTTTATTATTGATCCTAAATGAATTCAATATCTTGTACTGATAGATGAATCAGTATACGAAATATTTTTTGTTTCTCTAGATTATATAAATAAGAGGCGTTGAAAGGCAATTCCCCATCATCATTGTTTTCCCTGTTTAAGAGCTGAGTAAATCATAACTCATATGGGGCTGGCTGACTTTGCTTAGTCAACAAGTTGACACGAGAGGTTGCCACAGGCCTCTTCGATATCTCTCACCACATCTTTGTACGACTGTATATCCCCATAAGCTAGGCCAATCTTTAATCAGTTATGTAACCCGAAATGCCCAGACCGAAAAGCCCCAACCATTTCCTCAATATAGACGACGATAGTTTCCGTTGCACGGTGTTTGCTCAGAGTCCACAATTTCGAAGGCAACGAAATCATCCCCAGTTTCAGCCTATATGCCCAAAACCCAAATGCGAATATGTGTATCAAGGCGTGCATATGTATGAGTTGGCCTACACAGAAGAAAATAAATCAAATTAAAATTTTAAAAAATGTATTTCTAATTATTTCGAGTCAAAATGTAGGAAATATGAAAAAAGATAATAAATAATATACTAAAACATTCCCTCGGAACTTTTTTAATGATTACTTTCAAGGGTATTCTTTTTCCATCAGAATAACTTTTTTTTTTAAAGTGCTAGCACCATCATTATCAATTTAAACAAACGTAGGGGTCAAAGATCCCATTTTACGTCACTCATAATCATAAGTAAGCATGTATATAATCGGGAAAAGCAGACAAAAAATTTCAGTTGCCTTTTCGAGTCGATCTGGTTCTCATTTATTCTTCAGAAATTAAAAATGTTTAGAATCGGTATTGTATTATTCTACCTGGTGATTGTTGGAAATCGTTTTGGATCTTTAACTCAGGCCCCGGAAGATAATACATTAAAGATCCAATTGGATTCCCTCAGAGAAGCAATCAGCGGTGTTCAAGAGCAGCTTTCTTCTATTCACGGAAACCTTAAAGACATTAAAACATCCCTCAAGCCGCGTTTTGAACGGATCGCCGGAAGATACTTCTTCTTCGAGCACACCCAGAAAAAAACTTGGACTGATGCCATAGCCGCATGTCGTTCTGAAGGAGGTTATCTGGCATCTTTTAAAGGCGATTGGGAGTTCAGTGCCGTCAGTTGGCGACTCCAAAAAGATACTCACTACTGGACGGGCATCAATCAGCGAGCGGAAAAACGACACTACGTTTCCGTAACCTCTGGAAATTCGGTTAACTATATGAGGTTCAAAGATTTGGCATGGGAAAAAGGGGACTGCTTTACCATGTTTAACGGATTTTTGTACTTTGAAGATTGTAATGAAAAGCATAACTACATTTGTCAGGGTGACAATAGAACATAAATACAGAAAAAAAATCCAAATCAACTAAAAACAGTTTTTAACATTTAAAGCGGAAATTTGTTTGTACAATTTTTAAAAATTATAACAAAATAAAACCTTATCTTATTTGTTATCTAATAAAAATAACAAAAACCAAACTTTTTTATTGCCTTGTAAATCAATCAAACTAAAATAAATAAATGAATCATTATAATAAAATATTAAAGACTTTCATTTTAACTTTTTGTTGGTTTAAAATAAATAAATATAAAAATCTAAATTAAATAACTGAATTATAAAGTATTTCAAAAGAACGTATTAAATATTACATTTTTGTATAAAAAGATGTCCATATATTTTTTCTCAGTGCCTCAGAGTAAGCTGGCTGCAAATTGTCTGATGGGCCCTGTGAAATTTCTCGCCCTCGCAGCGCTTACAACGCAAATATTCAGGCTTTCCTGCTGCGGCGACTTAAATGTGTTTTCGGCTTGATATTGAGTCAAATATCAAGCATACGCACTGTGGCCCCGACGCCCCGGCATAATGCATGAAAAATTGAGCATGTCATTGACGCTCAGCTGCTATGCTATATGTGCCATATGTATGTATGTGTGTACGAGTGTGTCTGCCGATTCTCCCCGGACGACTGTTTACAGTCTAGGCACGTTTCGTAATGGGGACCCCGGGGTTATGTGCCCACAATATATGCAACATTAAGGGCCGGTCTTGACTTTGGCTAGGGTAAACTTTTTAATCGCCCCGGCTTTAGAGTGCGGCCTCTTTTATGGATGCTATGGGATGGTATGGGATCGGAAGATCCCGCACAAATTGACGCTTTATGTTAATGCCATTAATTAATAAATGAAATATGACATTCACACTGCTCACTTCGCTGTTGTTGAACCTGTTTATTAAATTTTAGCACGTAATAAATGAAAAGTTTATTATGGCCACCACACACAAATCCTGTCGTTTTTGGGGTTAAAACGCTCAAACTTACCCGACAGTTTTGGGTTTCCCTTCGAAGACACAAATTGAATCGAATTGAATGGGTTTCGGGCTTTCGTTTATGCTTTCTTTATTAACATTTATCACACTAAACTACTAATGATAAAGAGTTACAAATATGAGTTTCGGCGCTTAGGTTTTTCTCTGAAAAATTTCACGTATCTAAATTCCATCAGATAAAAATTGTTTTAGCTACAAGTTGTACCTTAAGTTGGTTAGTTCTTTTTTGTTATTTCGGAAAAACTGCAAATAGTTTATGGTTTTATTTTGTTTTTTTTTTTTTTGGCACATAGATATGCTTGAGGGTGTATTATTTTATGCTAAGTGTTTCGTTTTCGCTGAACACAATTGGCGAAAAAGGAGTTGGAGTCGAAAGTTAAATATCTAATTTATTTTAATGACCATGAAGGAGCGAAGAATTTCTCCAAGAATTTTTTTAGATTCATTGTAAACATATGCTAACGTTTCCTTATTGCGTTTCATGGCAGTTGGTTTGACTGAAGTCCCTTTATTCGTGCATTATACAAATTTTCAATGGAAACTTTTATACAAAGGAGGTGAGATGCGGAAAATTCGTGTTGCTTCTTTTGTGGTCTTTAGTAAATGTATTTTCATTCGATTCGTTCGTAAATTTTTATAAATTGCCTTTCCGTTCTGTTAGACATTTGCATTTGGTTTTCCTTTAACATATTGTTTAAATTGTTTGTTTTGTTTATTTTTCAATGGCAATTTTACTAGTTTATTTTAATATTCACTTTATGAACGTTTTCCCCTCCGCTGATGATTTTGCCTGTATTATTATTCTGTCCTTTCTTGTTTATTTGCCTTTTTAAGCTTTTGAAAAATTTTATTTATTCTGTTTATTTGCCGCTGGCCTTTATTTTTTTGCTTTATTTAATGTATCATGCCTTCATTGAATTGCTTTTTATTTATTTTCTTTTAATTGGTTGCAATGTGACTTGTTATTTAGCTGATTATTCACCTGGCTCTTTTACAAATTTGGGTCTTTATACGAATTAATTACTGATGATTTACAAATTGGCTTTGCTTATTTTCTTGTATTTATTCCCGTTATTTATAGGCCATTTATTTTTTGGATTGCTTTAGTTCTTTTGGATTCGAAATGAAAATAAATTGGAATTGATTTAGGCATTTCTGGCAAATTTTAAAGAGCTCATAAATACAAATATTCAATAATCTTTATGAGCTCTAATATCTCAAAAATCATATTACTAAAAAATTACTGGAAATGCCTACTTCCATTCCAAAATATTTGTAATAACCGAAACAAAGTACGGGTCATGCTCGCCTCAATTAATTAAGGCTATCATAATGGCTGTAATTATTATTTCATATGCCTCATTTCGATTGGAAAATAAGGCAAAAGTAATTTTCATTTTCATTACATTTCCATCGATATTTTGTTTGCCCTCATTCTGTTGTCCACCGTTAAACGCCTCTTAATTATGCAATATATAATTGTTATTGAAAAATAAAGTACTTGGCCGACACGAAAAACTCGGCACTCAGGACAGCTCAGCCTTGTCCTCCGGGGAAGCGAGTCGTTTAATTGGATCGACTTCATGTCCATATACACACATCCTCTTTCGTCCATATATATGTATACGAATATATCGGTAATCGGTTTTCGGTGGTTAAATTGTATGCACGTTTATAAAATGGACCATTTAAGAAGTTTGTTTGTTTTCCACTGTTCTCTCTGCTCGATTGAATTATCTCATAAATATTTATGTATTGGCCACAAGTTGAATACTTTTTGCTTGAGACAAAGATAAAGCTTTTTCGTCTGTCTGTAATCTCTATAATATATTAATATATGCTAATGAGTAAAATTTTCATCCTAGCTTAGTGCAAAAGTTTAATGTGGATTTTCTGTGAAAAATTCATCGAGTTTCGTTTTTCGTTTGGGGTGCTGTGGGATTTCAGTTACACTTTCGACTTCATTCGGCTTCGGTTGGAGTTTTTAAGTTTACATTTCTAATAGAGCTACGACAAGAGACTAGAAGAGATCTGACAAATTGTGCATGCGGTTCACGTAGTCGTGTGTGTGGGTGGGACCATAATACCAAAATATAAGTTTTATAGGACCCAATTGTTGCGGGGACCTCGTCGATTTTCTTGATTCTTTTTTATGCGTTTTATATTGCACTCGGAAAAGTGGTACTGAAACTTAAAAAATCACTAGAGACACTACATAAATCATAAATAAATTGTTTTATATTGAAAACTAAAATTTGTAAAATATGGAGTTATTTAGAAAAATTTTAAAACTATTTTTGCCATTTACAAAAAAGTAAAGTCTGCTTAACTTTAAGACAAAAGAGAACAGAGATCCGAGGGAATGAAATATTATATAAAGGTGTCTAAAAGTACGCTACGATTTATTTAAAGGTTCGAAATCCCATTAAAGGTAGTCCAAGTGTTTTGAGACCTCTAGTGATTTCTAGTAATCTGATTTCACAATTTGGTATCTTTCTGCATTTCGTTTACACATTTTTCCGAGTGCTCTTGTCACACCCACGATTTTCCTATACGGACGTGGTGATTTGCTCCACGAACTGAACGGCAGAGGGTCGGCTGAGGGACTGGGATCGTTTCAGTCGGCATTGTGGATTGTTTCGCAATGCCGATGGATTTCCCCCCGCACCCGACCCCGACCCCGCCCCCTGGCTATGGCGATGGGGGGTTCTTTGCAGGGAGGCATAGGCGTGCGGCACGTAGATGAACTCCCGTGTGGGTGCCGGAAAAGTGGCAGGACCCTGACGACAGTTACACTGCTGCGACATCGTGGATAAACCCTCCGGAACACTTCGACTGCGGGTGGAGGAACTGGGTGGAGGTGCTCCGTGTGCTCCATAGGTGACTGGATTCCTGTTCGGAATGCTGCAGGTGCATATCAATGGCTGTTGGTCCGCCGGTCCGGGGTTTCTGCGAAAAAGGCAAGTCAATTTCCATGGTTTAGGCGGCGTGTCAACACAGTTTTCGGCATGCGGTAAAATCGGTATAGGGGCACGGGATATCTCACGACGGCATCGTAAATGCCAAAGTGGCAAATTGGCAAAATGGCAAATTTGCGGCCTGCATGAGCAACGAAGGAGGAGGAGGCCAGCCGCCAAATTGATTGTCTTCCTAGGGCTTCTAGACTGATTGCCAATGATTGTTTGGTTCGGCGGGAAATCTCTTAATTGGTTTTCGATTCCATTTAGATGTTGGCTTCCGTTTGGGCTACTTCACTTTTGAATCTATGAAGTCATAAGCTATCACGTTTCTTGGAATTTCAGTTTCAGGCTCATTTTTTAAGTTTTGTAAAACTAAAAAAAATTAAATTATACCTACATTTATTTTAGAAATTTAATACATAATAATTTCTTTACAATTTCCTTCATGGATAAAAAAGGATTTTCCTTATCTTTTATCTTCTCATATAAATTTAAAAATTTAAGTCCCCGATGTTCACTGGCCGATAATAATAAATGCTATATGGGGCTTTAAAAATGCATTAAATGCTAAAGTGTCATCGCGATATGCCGTTCAATTTTCCTGTTGCAAACCGTGTATCACTACCTCCAATTTGATATTTTCCCTGCGCAATTGTAATCCCATTGACTTTTACCCATTTATTCTATGTAAGCTGTCGATAGCTACTTAAGTTGTAAAATTGTCAGACAATTTCCAACTGAACTTTGATTTGCCATTCAATTGCATATAAAAGGAGCTGGTTCAGTGCACACACCGGTGTGATTAGGACTCGGAATCGATGTCGGAGTCCCTTTCCATCTATTTTACTCACTTGTTGCTCTTGTGACAGCCCAGCTCGTAGGTGCTGTGCCAACTGCAGTACATTTGGCCATCGCAGCAGTTGCTGTGCTGCTGGATGAAGGACAGACTGCGCTGCAGTCGCTTGCCCATCTTGGCCCCAATGCTCCCCTGGCCCAACTGGTAGGCTCCACGGCCCTAAAAAGGTAAAATAAAATATTTTAAATCATTGGTTTCGTTATTTATTAATACGTTATTTATTAATAGGCTCTAATTAAAGAGTTTGGCAAAAAATAAAATAGTTTCAGCCAAGAAAATAATACGACATATAAAAGTGTCTAAACGTATGCTACAAAATATTTTAAATACGAAAATCCGATCTCTCCGAAAATCGATTTTCTTTTTTCTATTGCTTTTAAAAACCTTTTCCAGTGAATTTTGTGCTATAAATATTTCAAAAATGTATCTTATGTTTTTTTAACAAATTAATGGACTTAGTTTCCAAAAAATTCTACAATATGTTTAAAATACGATTTCACTCCGAAAATATACTTCTTTTTTTCTATTGCTTACTTTTAGACAGCTTTTCAAGTAAATGTAAATGTGCTTTAAATATTTATACTACTTTTTCTGCCGGTGTGACATTACCTGGTGCTGCTGCTGCTGCAAATCGAGATTGTGACAGGCCAACTGCTGCAGGTGGGAATGTTGCTGCTGCTGCTGTTGCTGCTGCTGCTGCAACATGTGCCTTTGGCAGAAGTTGGTCTGCAGATAGGGCTCCATTTGATTGAGACTAATGCAGCTCCGACTGAGGAGATCGGGTGCGGGGTACTCCCCATAGCCATAGTCCATCGGCAAATGGGGGCGGTGCTGGCGGGCGGAGGAGTGGCGCATCAGCATGGGAGTCGGCAAATGGCCATTTCGCTGCTGATAATGATGATGCAACTGCTGCTGCTGTTGCTGCTGCTGCGGCTCACTTATGAAGAATATTATAATTCCCGAGATGGCAGCCGCCGCCGAGCATATGTAATAACCCGCTCGACCGTATTTAAGGGAGTAATCGTTCAGAAACGAGGTGAGTGGAACGCTTATCAGCACAGGAACTGACTCAACACCGCGAATAAATCCTGCGGAAGTTGAAACCCCAAAGTTTAATTCTCGTTTAACATACTTAAAAACTTTCGACTCACCCCAGGCCTTGGAGAAATGTTTCAGCTTGATGCGTTCGAGTGCCAAAATCTTCAGGGAGTATTGAAAGCCACCCAAGCCAATGCCATATAGCCAGCTCAGTACACAAAGGCCTGTATAGCCCATGACAAAGGATAGAAATAGGATGGCCAAGGCCACAATCGATAGGAACAGCTGGAGGTAAATTAAAAATAAGTATTTTTCTTGGATTACTAGTTAATATGTGACCCACCTGTGTGACAATTTTCGTATTGATCACAAAGTGCCTGATCACAAAGCAACGTCTAAGTAAAGCTCCAGCTATAACCACACCCAGGGCCATGGAAATTCCCAGAAATGTTTGCAAGAGAACCAACTCTTGCACATCGGAGCCCTGCTCGGCGGCATTCAGAGCCTGTAAAGAAATAAATTATAAAAGTGGTAAATAAAATAAAGTTTCGCATATTTAAAATAATTTTTAAAGGTGCCTAAAAGTATGCAATAATATATTTTGACGCACTTTTTACTGCATACTTTAAGATACCATAAAAAAGGCCAAGTTTATGATATTGAAAAATAAATTAACAGTTCATAAAATCCTTTTAACTTAAGAAGTATAGGTCAGATAAAGTAAATCCCCCAAAAATAAGTAAGATAAATTAGCAAAAGCACTCACCATTAGGAACATGGGTGTATAAATGCCAAAGGAGGCAACGCTGGAGGTCATGAGTAAAATTTTAACAGTCACCGACTTCAGTGATGATATGTCCAGAAATAAGTATCTCGGTTTGCTGTCCACCTCCTGGCTGAGAATCGGCTTCTTTTCTCTCATCTGGAAAATGGGGATGAGGATACAGGAGGTCGGAGGCCGAGTCGTCAAATTAAAACCAAAACTTTGCACAACACAATTTCCCACCTTTTTGCGCTGATTTTTGAGATGCTGAATGGCCCGGCGCTGGGGATGATAGAGGGAGGCGGGTCGGTACATTAAGCCCATGAAAAAGCTGAGTGCCGTCAGGGCAGCGACAATCTGGAGGCCCAGGCGCCAGCCCGCCTTGCCCACGCCCTCCTTCAGGATGACGGAGAACAAAGCGATGCCAACTCCCTCGCCGGACATGGCCACCATTTCGACGAATTGACGGCGCCGCTTAAAGTAATTGCCCAGCATCACGGTGGAAGCCTCCCGCACCATGGCGACCCCGACTCCAAAGACGAGGCCTAAGGAAGTGTTTTGAGCACATTGAAAGAAAATATTGGGAAAGAAAAAATATCTAAATTAAAAACAAATTTTTTTAATATGTTAAAAGTTAAAAAAAACTTAACGTAAATTTAACATTTTATTTATTTCTGAATTTCAGACTTTGGTTTTAGGTTTCTTTGCTAAACCGTTTTTACTGCAGGTTCAACTTCCCGTTGAAAATTGGCTTTCTTTTATAGTAGTAATAAATTGTTATAAATTATTTAATATTGTATAGGTAGTGCGACAGGATTAATGGCATCTTTCTGATTTTTTTCGTTTTAATTATATTAGGACGAGTTGGGTAATTTTTCCTTCAGTGTTTTGGGGTGCAAATGATAAGCAACTTCCGGAGCCGGCTGACTGGCATCTGGCATCTGGCAGGTTATTTATTTATATACGCACCATAACTGAAAACAACCTGGTCAAATTCCGTGGCAAATGAGGTGAACAGTATGCCCAGGGGCATCACCAGTCCGCCCACGATGGACAAAAGGCGGATGGAGTGTTTGCGACAGAGCGACACCACAAACGATGTGGCCACCATGGAGACTGACCAGCTCAAGGCGCCCAGCAGCTCTGTAAGGGGAGAAATGAAGCTCTTGAGTGATAATGCTCTAATATTCTAAAGCGGCGAAGTCAACTTGACAAAGGTCATGAAAAGGTGTGTGGGTTCTGAGGTGTTAAAATTTCAAAATGTAAATTTAAAGGGGTGTCGTTTTGAGTCAAGAATTTTACGCGAAAGTTATTTAAACGGTAGGCTTTGGTCATAAATCAATTATATGCATTAACAAAATGGCATTTCGATGTCTACACATGCTTTTGCCCCAAGTAAGTAATTAATAATTGAAATTTCAAACACATTGTTTTTGCTAATTTAACAGAATCTTGTGTTGTGAATTAATGGCCACAATAAAACATGTGTAAAGAGTATTAAACATGACAGCCCGTGTGAAATAATTTTTTTTAGCTGAGAGTACAAATTGTTTATCATTTAAATATTTATTGCTTTATCTATGAGCAGACCCCCAAACTTAAAGTTTATTGAAATTATAAATACTTGAAATAAAGCAATATGCTAAAGGTCTTCCAATAACACCACCTGCATTTAAAATATCTGCATTTACAAACAAATATAACGATATAAAACGCAAAGCCAATTAATTGGAAAGCAAAATATTGGTTTAATCTGTAAACAATACGAACTCCACATGCTGCCACAATATTAACACTTTATTTTTACGATTTATGGTTGGATCTAAACTGGCAAACACTTTCGGCAATACACAATATTCACACTATTCTTAAATTATGTCCGCACTGTCAAGTGCAAATGAAATTTATGCAAAAGTCCACACCTACAAACATCTATTATTCACAAACATTTGCATTTCTAGCACAAACAGAGTGGCAAACATTTTGATTACTCTCGATGGGGGGTCACAAAACAGAAAACAGAAAACACCACAAATGTGCAGGGAAAACAAGAAAATGACCGAGAGATAACAACAGGCTGCGATGGCTCTGATTACACATTCCTATTAAGGACCTCGCCTTGGCAAACGATTGTGCCACCTGTCCTGTGTCCGGTCACCCCTTTTTTCCATGACTTACCTATGCCACTGGTATTATGCAAATACTGGACGGCATAGAACCACAAAAGGCCGTAGCTCAGCTGCAGTCCGGTGGTCAGGATGTGGACCAGAAAGGACACGCCACAGATGATCCAGCCCCAGCCTCCATCGGGATAAAAGTACTGCAAGTGCAGAGCAGAAAAAATTTAGATGATATCCTATCAAGCTATATTTTCAGTCCTTTTAAATTACATTGCATCAGAGATCTTAGGTTAATTTTAATAGGATAATTACTAAAATTGTTATTTTTAATCATTTATGAAGGCGCTTAAAAGTATGCAACAGTTAAGTATGTATTTATTTTTAGACACCTTAATAAGATATCTATTTAAGATATATAAATATTTCTGATATAAATATTTGTTGGTGTCATTGTGGAAAAAATTACGAAAATATATAAAAACTATCGCAGCAGGGATGAAAATATTCCCTGCGATTTGAAATCACTTATTAAAGAACCTAAAAGTATGCAACATAATTTTATTTTTCTTTTTTTTAAATTTCATTTTATAAAAATATTATTGCATTATCTACTGATTTATACGTTATGGGAAAAATTTTTTTGATTTTTTCCAGTGTCCGAAAAGTATCTGGACAAAGGCTGGCAATTACTGTTTGACAGTTCCTGTGAGCTGGGCCCTCTTTCTTTCATATTCCTCACCTGTCTAATGCGTGTGGTGTCCACTCCGGTTCGTCGCAGTGCCGGAATATTCCGGTGCAGCAGGTGGAACTCCCGATCGGCCAGTCCGGGAAAGGCCGAATCCTCCTCATCGGTGATATGGCTGGGATGGGGGGGCGTGGCATGCAGATTGGAATGATGATGATTCGCCTCGTAGCCTGGACATTGAAAAACAATTGACGGATGATTCAATGACGGTTTAAATTGCCTGGTTTAACGCGAAGTACACAAAAATAAAATGGGGCTAATTTTTTTAATGTAAAAAAAAATTTAATATTAATTTCGGTTTTTTTCCTTTAGCTGCTTATTGAATTAAAATTCTTAGAATTTTTTTAGTCCCTTTAAGAGTTTATAAATACTTGCTTTCGGTTTTCCCTCACCCCCCTAACCAATTTTCCACCGAAGAGAGTGTTTTTCTTTTTTCAATTAGAACGTAATTTATGGCCTCTTCTTTTTTGAATTTTCCATAAGTGTACTTACCAAAATAGCAGCCCCCGTTGGCCATCAGATGGTTCTTGGTCCTTTGTTGGTGGTGCTGCTGCTGCTGTTGTGGCTGATGGTACCAATTATCGCACAGGCAATATTGCGGGGCGTACTGGTGGGGGTGGTGCTGATGCTGTGGGTGGTGTTGTGGGTGGTGTTGGGCCAACAGCTGTGGGTGGTTGTGCTGCTGATGGTGATGGCTGGGCATTGGGTTGTACATATAACAGCAGCCATTCAAAGTGGGATTCGCATAGCGGGGCGGTGGTGGGACGGGCATTACATTGGGAGCTGCTCCTGCACCACCCACTACACCACCAACTCCTCCACCACCGTGTCGACTGCAGTGGGGCATCATGGGCATGGTCATCTGCTGCTCAATGGTGGGCAATGTGGCATAGCTGCCGAAATTGTCACAATGCCGTTTGCTCGGGAATCTGGGCAATGTGGGTGGTGTGCTGGTGGTTTGGGTGGTGGTTACTCCCCCACAATGACGAGTGGGTGGCGTGGCAGTGGACTGCATTTTCGTTTGCTCAGCGGGTAAATAGGAAAGCCGTGGACATGAGACCCACCAGGCGAGCGGCTGATTATTGAAGCGACACTCGTGGCACAAATAACGCTGGTTGAGGCTCGATGATTCCTTGTCTGTTTTCTGTTCCTGGGTGTCCTTGGTTTGGTTTCCTGGTTTTCCGGACAGTAGATCCTTGGGTTGATGGTGCTCACAGCTCAGATTGTATCTTCGTCACAGGGCACATTTGTTGCACAGCACGGGACTACGTTGTTTGGGCCTCACCAAACTCGAGTACTGACGGGGATTCTCCTGGGAGGGACTCTCTGGGCGATTCTCTTGGGAACTTTCCACGGGATTCTCCTTCTTGACTCTCAGCCAGGAATGTTGGTGGTTATTGGTGGTACTGCTACTGGGCAACAACTGAGGACAGCTACCATAAAGCGCCGATGAGGTATTCGATAGGCGTCGGTAGTACGGTATCCTCTGCTCCATATCATCGCCACCGAACGGGGGGGACTGGAACTTGTACGGCTGACTGGGATTGGGGAGCAGGCAGGATATGATGCTCCGGTTATCTCTACTATCACTGCAGTTGCAATCACATGTGCACTGGATGACCATTGTACTCCGACCGGCAGCCCCAAAAAAGGAAAAACGGAATGCTTTTTAGCTCGGTTTCGCCGAAGTGTTGTCAACTTCAATAATCCACACCACTCCTGCAGCACATTATTTTCGAGTTTGGGGTCTCGGTTTCGGTTTTAGGTTTTCGGTTTTCTGGTTTTCCGGTCTTTGGGGGTAGAGCTCTCCAGAATTTCTAGGCAGCTGCCGCCGCCAGTGTCCGAATGCATCCATTTGGGGCCATCTCGAACATTTGCAAGCCAAGCGCAAAATTGTGTTCCGTCACTGAAAAAAATGTAAGAAAAAAAAATTAGCATTTAACATATAAACTCTGATATCACATTTTGACAGAATTAAAGATAAAATATTTTTAGAGTTTTAAAAACTCTTAAAAATGTGTCTAAAAGTATGCACTGAAACATTTACAGGGCTTAGAGGAGTACAAATATTACGCAGCATACTTTTAGACATTTTCAAAAATAATTTAGAAATCCTAGTGGTTTTTATCATTACTTTTTAATAAGGGAATAATTTTGTTTTACCCTTTTCTTTAATTTTTGATGTTCTAAAAAATATCTTTCATATCTTCCTTGTTTAAAATTTTTAAAATATAAAATCACAATCGAAATTCTCAAATTTTGTTTTCAGTTTTTCTAAAATCCAAAAACAAGCACATGGCGATACACAGATAGAAGCAGAGGATGTGGGAGCGAATAAAAAAAGAAGAGAACCAACGGGAGTCGATAAATAAATCAAATCAAAATCAATTTGTTTACTCTACACCAGCACACAAAACAAGAAGCATATGCAATGCATAATTCAATTTGTTGTTCAATTGCGTGTATTTCAATTGCCTGCCAGCCAGCCATGTTAGTCGAGTGGGCGGTGGACCTCCAAAAGGGGGCGTGGCACACAGAAACTTGGATGGGCGAAAACTTTGCGGTCACTGTGGCAGAAGAATTAGGGCAAATTGCGACTGGCACTTCGTATAACACATTTATGTGCCATCATATTTTATTTGCATTTTCTAAATTATTTAATATCCCCGATGGAAATGAACTGTAAATTGCTCGAAGAATGTGTCCCTTTTAGAGCGAGGAATTTGCAGCTTAATGTGTTCATATTTGGCCTGGAAAAATGCTCTAAATTTTTATATTTGTTTACTGAACTAGGAATGTGAGTGTGCGCAAAGCAGATTTGGCTGTAAAATATTTAAAATACTTGAATATACTACTGCTACATTCTGATATATATACTCATTGAAAGGGCAAAACAAACGATATTAGTATTTGGTCAGCTTTACTCATCGAAAACCCTTATCAATGTCAGGCACTATGGAAAATTAATGTCGAAGTGTGTAGTGAATTTATTACTGGTTTATTTATTTGCCAATAAATTTGCGGAAAGCACATACTTTTAAAAAGATTATTAGGTTGTGCACTTGTCATTGAATCATAGGGATTTATGTTACTCGCAGATTTTAATTAAAACGCTTGCCATTTCTGACAAGATAATTTCCCGGGAAAAAGTTTTCAACCTGATAAGTCAGAAAAGTTACTTTGAAACGACCTTCATCAAATATGTCAAAAGAGAATGTTTTTTTAGTATTTATTAAAGCTGGAAATTCTTGAACTATATATTTCCTTAGAATTCATGATCTCCACAAATCAAATTTCTTGCTACATCACAAAATGACTCCTATATTCTTTGTTTAGCTTCGAAAATTCAAGGAGCTGCAATGAAACATCAAGTCCGCACGTCTCTCGATTTTCCCCAAAAACTTGATTGATTTATGTCTTTATCGTTTGACTATTTCTCCATTAAGGAGCGATGGTATCATTTAGATTAGTCCAATGTCCCATTGAGGGGCTATAAAAATGATAAATGATCTGGAGGAAAACAAGCAAGCTGTGGGTGTGGGTAAACACAAAAGCACCGAAAGGGAAACTTGCATCATTTTGCATCGGGAAAAGTTTGTGCTGTGCAGCATATGGCCCAGTTATCCAGTTTTATGGCTGCATCGCACACAGCGATTTGGCCAACGAGTATTTTCGCATTTCGCCTCCACGAATGCACAGAGGCGCATTTAAATTGATTGTGGGAAAAAGCGGAAGCATTTCCCGAGCAAAGGAAGTCGAGGAAAAGGAGCAACATCAATCAAAAACCCGCTGCAAAGGAGCTCAGCAGGTGGGCGGTGGGTGGTGGGTTGGTTGATAGGTGGAGTTTCCCTGAAAGGACGCTACGACTATTACCTGTGGAAACATAAAATTTAACAACATTGTAGCAAAGAGCAAACAGGCTATACATAACGATATCCTATGTTATCCGCCGTAACACTTCTTGGGTACACAGAACAAAAAAAAAGTTTGGAGTGCTGTAAAATACCGTAGAATTTATAGTTTAAGTTCTGTGAATTTTTTAAAATTTTATGTGGATGCTTTAAAATATTTAACATCAAAAGTTAAATTTTTCTTTTTCTTAAAATCTACCTCAAATATTATATTAAAAAATAACAAACCCATTTTTTCCTGTACATAAAATTACAAAATGTAAAAAAATATTTTCCCACTTTTCTTCTCTTTGTGGATGGTTGTTGGATTTTTCACAGCTTTTTGGGCTTTCCTTTGTTGCTGCATTGGTGCTTTGCAATAAAATCCTTAAATATCCTTGTGGCACATGGACACAAATATGACTCGTTCGTGTCAGCAGTTTTATGTTCTTTAAAATGCAATATTAAAATGTGAGAGTGCCGTGGCCATGATGATGGCAAGCCTTTCAATATTAACCATCTCACCTCCGCGGCATTTTTATCCCCCCTCCGGCAGGCGAAGTGTTGACTTAACTGGTCATTGACTTTACCAACTTTATGCTGCAGTCAAAATTATGCAGTCCGTTTCGGAATTGTATGACATCTGACAGCCGGTAGTGCGGATTAACTCTTAATAAAATCGGAGTGGCTTATTTAATTTAATTTAGTTTATTATGGCCTAAGTTGATTGATTAAAATATAATTGCGTTTGCCTTTAAAGGATTACCAAATTAATTAAGTTTATATGTGTGTAAATGAATACTAAGCAAAATTGTTTTTCATAAAATAGATATAAAGGATACGGCAAATAAGTGCAATAAACCGAAAACGGAAGCCCACTAGCTTCAATTAAAATGTGAAATTATTTTATGTGTTCGAATTAGTATATATAAGCCAAACTTTGACGAGTCCTGCATTCAATATGGAGTTTCATTTGTATATTATTTTGGTAATTATATTTATGGTATAATTTGATTTGTTTAGAGATGATGTGTTCTGTGTTGATTGGAATTTCATTAATTTTCATTTGACTTTACATTTTTTGGGCAGTAGTTTAAATAAGGTGAAATCCCTTGTAAAGGTGCCCAAGAGTATGCAGTGAAAACGAATCCGTCGAGTATCCGACATCAAAAAAAGCGTTTGCATACTTTTGGACACCTTAACAAGTGATTCCAATTAAATTCATCCTATTTAATCATCTTTAAAGTAGCATTACACCATTTAAACGCACTGTAACCACCCGCATGAGACCAAAAACTGGCGCTATGTGTCTGTGCGGTTGTGTCAAAAAAAGGCCAACTTTTATTTACAGGGGGCGTGGCGCAGTGGGCGGCGAGAAGGTGAGATTTAACTGGATGCTGGGTCATTCTGGGGTCGGTTTACTTTGCTGATTAAACATATGCGCCAACATCAGCGAGCCGCAACAAAAAGGCAAAAAAGAAAATGGGAGGGTAGAAAAGCGATGGCTCAGCCACATAAAATTTATTTAAACTTTCCCGCTAACGTTTTTCAGCGCGGTTCGAGTTTGTCGCCCCCAAACTGGCAGATAATGGGTATCATATTGCCTTGGGGTCTCACATTTTAGTTCGCCGTTTTTTCTGCACTTTGCATTGTAATAAACACACGACAATATGCGAACACCAGCAGCAGCAACATTCAGTGGCAACAACATAAACACCATCAGCACCCTTGCAAAAAATAATAAAAATAAAAGTAAATAAAATGCGCGAACCGAGAAGAGAAGATAATAAAACGAAGGCAGCTTTGTGGTGGCCATGTTCCAATTACGGTTTCCTTCTTGTGGCCAAAACAGCAGGAGTTCAGTCAAGAGCTTATGCGGTCCTTAAAGTTTGCTACTTAAAATAAAATGCTTTTCAACTGGGATTAAAAGTAATTTATCGGCGCAGGTAAAGTTCAATGGTTGCGGTAAAAAATGCTTAAATCTCTTTTCATTTCAACAATTTAATATAATACTAAACTTTTTTTAGGTTTTATCAGGGCTTTTTAAATACCTTAATTATTATTTTGCATATTTAGGAGCTTTAAACCTAACAACAGGAAAACTTTTTTATTTAAGGTAAGTATAAAATTAATTTTGTTCTAAAACAAAAACTCTATAGAAATGTTACTTTGGAGTAAGAAGGTTAATATAATCCAATGCCTAACAATAATAAATATTACATATAAATATCATTAATTATTATTTACCTCAAATTTATAACAAAACTAGATAACAAATTGCAGCTGCAACTGTTTGTATTTTTAAATAACCATTCAAAAATGAAAAACTTTAGTTGACCACTCGATTTTTCTATTGAGCAATTCAAACTTTTGCGGACAAAAAACAAGATCGAGATGTTTTTCTGGAGTCAAGTCCCATTTTCAATTCGACAAGTTTGTGAACTGTATCGAAACTGTTTGCCAGAACACGCTGACCCGAACTTTCATTCTATTTCCTTTGCCCATATGCAGTTACAACTTTTATTTGGCAGTCTTACCAGAAAAGGGTACGAATTTTAAGCTGTGCACATATACGTATGTAAGTGCCTTCTTTGTGTGCCTTTGGGTATGCGAAATGCTAAGAAATTTCGGCAATCCCCTGGGTAAAATCATTTGCAATGCAGCCGGCGGCAAAGGGATATATTAATACTTTTTCATTTAGTTTGCAGACTTCCCAAAAAAAGAGAAAAAAAAAGGGAAAACTTTTCAACTTGACCATTTCTTGCCCGTCTGCAAGTTTGCGCATATTTTATACTCAAGTGCTCTGCAGTGTCGGCTAATGGATTTATGTTTTTAGCCAAATTACGAATTGAACCGTACAGCGGCATTAAAATGTGTCCCCAATAAGCCAATTTTAAAGGGTGGCCCGTAAATAATCGGGTTAGCAAGGGTTCATCCTTATCGAGGGAGGAGCAAGTGCCCAACGAGCTGTGAACCCAACTCAAAAATCCTATCACGGGCATAATTAGGTTTGCCG